TTTCAAGGTAAAAAGTTCGCAATGAATTTTAATTTGTAAGTTCTAAAATCGGAAGACAGCGAACAGGCGCCAGTGATACGTCACCAGCGTCACAATTATGTCTACTGTATCTCCAAAGGAAACATTGATACAAAGCATGAAAGACTATTAAAACGTAATATTACATTTTCGACAAAGTAATTTTTTGTCTTGGGCTACAACCCCTCTGCAACAATTGCTATAATGTTCTGCCTCATACATCAACTCGAACTTTATTTTGAAACATGTACAAAAATACGTATGGTATTTCTAAAACTTTTTCAGCTTCGAGAATACTTTTTCTGTTAATAAAGTGTAAAAAGTATAAATGATTAAAAAAACTAGAAAAGCTGTGGTTGTGTTTACTTTAAAATTAGGCAGTAATCGTGGCAATAGGAATTATAATTCAACATGTCCGCATGAAATGCTCACGTAAATATAAAATTACAAACTATAATACTTTAAAATATTACAACACGTTAAGCAATGTTACCTGAATTTTATAGAAAATGTTTATTTGAAGAGCGATCGAAGGGATCAAACAATGCACATCTATATACGTGGCAAAATAAGAGCACTCAGTGTAAAGTGAAATTAAATATAGCTAGTATTTGCATGTCATTAAAATAACAAGGCCTGTGCGCATTCAATATAGAATCACTTGTTGTTATACATTCTATAAAGTGATTGTCAACATTGTGAAACAAAATTCGAAAACATATTCATGAACGTTTTTACTGTATCAATAAATGATGACCAAAAACATTAAATTAAAAAAATGTCATTTACTCCGAATATTTTAGAAATGTTTTTAAAATAGCTCGTTTAACCGTCAATACTAATACGCTCCATTGCGTACGAGGCATTTTGCAAAATATATTTGCATGCACACTTTCAAAACCACCATTTTAATGACCAAAATAGATGGAATGTTTTGTTTTGCTGCTGCTATCTGAATCTGTAGCATGTGAGATTTATATTTGACTTTAGCGGATTGGTGTGTTTAAAAATGAGCTTGCTATTATGATTAACGAGAAATGGAATTTGTAGAAAACATGTATTGAATTTGCGCATGCCCCTGGAATACTCAACAAAAAAACAATCATAAGAAAGAAACGTGTAGTTCAAGACAAATAAACTGTGACATATATCGTTATTAATGCATAATAAAGGCTAGCTGTCTTAACTGTTCGAATGAAAATCATAAAACCACTCCATCAATTGCGAGAAAGTTGTTTTGTCGACCACGACGACACGGGAACAAGGAAGATTATATTGAAACATAAACGTTTACTGCGCTGTAGGGAACACACCGTGCTATTGAATGCAACAACATAGATGAAATAGATGTAATAAATCCATTATCTTTGATAACAGTCACACGAATTGCGAAACTGGCATGACTGCTACAAACTCCAGCGGTGTTTCCATGGTTATACATCCTTTGGTAACTGTGCGGGAAAATGGCTATAAATTCCAGAGTTTAATTAAATAGCGCTGCTTGTCACTCCTACGTGTCTCTAACTGTGCTATTCAACTGGGCAAATGGTAAGTCCGTTGGGGTACCGCAGATTGAGATGTTTACTAGTGCTACCACCTGAATGATGCAAGTTCATGACGTCCTGGTTGAGTCTCTCAACAGCGATTTCATTTTCAATGTGAGTATATCTTAACAGAGATAGGAAACGAGGACTTGCTCTTTCTTGTAAACCACTTTTATAAAGAAACTCTCAAGTTACTTTTAAAGACATTTACATGCATGAACTACTACAATCAGGTTACTTGTCTGAAGGGAACAAGAGGTCTGGGAACTGTTGTAAAAGCCAAGGTGGTAATGGCCATTGGTTCTACATTGACATTGGTACCATAGTGGTTCACAGTACTGCACACTGCGTCCTAACTCTGCATTCCTCAATCAAAAAATATATAAATAAATGGTATCACTCAACGCTGTCTCAAATTGAACACATAGCCATGGCTCGTCAACACAAAAAATCCGCAATAGTGTTGACATTGCATGTCAAAAAAACCATTTTCTCTACCCCTTTCCAAAGAGGGTCCTGGTCGTTTAAGTCCACTGCCCAGTTCACTCGACAGTTCAGTCGTGATTAGAACAGAATTATACAATAATATATTTAGAAAAAATCATGACTGAGGAATCACGAGCATTGGTCACAAGTTAAAGTTAATTGATTTTAATGTGAAAGAAGAATTTGAAGAAGAATGCGGTGCAGTCCTTCCTCAATATGTTTACGTTTAATTAAATGCAATTTTCGACCAAAACTGAGTTTTCTATCCTTAAAAAGTTTCATTTTAAAATTCTAATTGTTCTTTTAGAAGTTAATTTATAGGGATCGTGCAAATGGTGAGGCTAATTTATGCGTTCCTTTGTCTTGATCGATTTTTTTAAGGTTGATTTTATCAGTTAGATATTAACATGTTATACCGTATTCAAAAAACTCACTCATACTCACATTCAGTGAGTGCGACATAAAAATCTCACTCTATGTTATCATTGGCAAAGTTATTTCTCCATCTATGTCAAAATTTTCTCTTTGATATTTCAAATCAAACAATCAGTTGAGTGAAATTATTGTCTTTGAGTAATTATGAAGTGATTTTGAAGCCCCACTCATTGAATGTGGGTGTGAGTAAACAAAACAAACAAACAACATTTATATACCGGCCAGTATTAATCCCCGCCAGGGGGGTTGACCGGTCCATGAATTTTTCCACGCCACACATCTCTATCCCTCGCCATACTTCCACAAATGAATGTGGGTGTGAGTGAGCTTTTAGAATACGTACGTAACCGGTAACTCGGCTTACTGTGAGCAAAGCTAACTAGATAGTTTCATCTATTTATAATTTCATATTTTTCATTGTAAACAAGTTTTAAAACCATGTGCTGAGAAAATGCCTGGCTGTACACGTTACTTGTGTATCATCCTTTACATCATACTTGGCTACTACTTCTTTTGTGTTGGTGGTGCCTAGACCCGAGCACTTTGACTTCGGGACCATCAAAATGTTGCATTTACATTGGTGCCTGTGCCTGAGCACCGTGCCAAGGCACTTAGAACCATATATCACTGGTGTGACATACCAGAATATGGTAAATTGGTTCCACGACCTTGAGTTTTGTATGGTTTCTTATAAGTAAACTCATGCTTTAATTAAAGGATTTTAACAATCAAACGTCCCGCAAAAGAAGGAAGGTTTATTAAATGTCCTCGGTTTGTGGGACATTTAATCACTGATATCCCTGAAAGCATGCGTTTACTTATAATAAAGTTTCGAAAATAATGTTGATGTGTAAAGTTGTATTAGACATTTAAATTCAACGAAAATTTTTCTAAACAGTTCTATTGCATACATATTTCGTCATAATTATACTATCTTTATTGCCTTTTTTGCAGAATGAAATAAATACTTAAATTCAGATAGTTTATAATGATATATACTGAACGCGAGTAGACAAAATAGATTTAAACGGTGAAAGTGCAATAGTGATGCTTCAAATTTTTTATTTGAAGGTTGACTTAATTTTCAATCAAGTCAATGCATTTTGAATAGCATCACCAATTTTGATAAAATGTAGTTGATGTAGTTGAGCATTTTCCTCAATCATCTAGAACTCAGTTCTTCAACTTCACCTAGCCTTGTGTTAGAAGAACATACTTTTTCTTGCTCCAGTTTCTTTCTCTCCGTTCGCGAATTTGCTTTTGAAGAATCATTGCTCTAAAGACTTGACGTATTAATCTGAAACATTTTTTCGAAAGCTTTATTTGGTAAGATTCCCTTTCTTTTTGAGATGATTAGATCCAATCATCTACCAGGACAAATTCGGTTACATGAAGTATTACAAGCCGTAGATTAGCGTTTTGTATGTGCAATGACGTTTTCATCAAGGTTTCATGTGTATCGCAGATAATTCAGTTCATGTAGGTTTTCATCAATCTTACTTTTGCTTCACGTAACGTTTGGTTTCGATTGTTATTTTTAATCAACTTATAAAACTTCCAAATTCGTGAAAGCATTGAATTTAACAAAACTTCCAAATTAGTGAAAGAATTGAATTTAATAAAACTTCCAAATTCGTGAAAGCATTGAATTTAATAAAACTTCCAAATTCGTGTAAGCATTGAATTTAATAAAACTAGTATGTCTCCTTAATGTGTGTTAGTTAAATAAAACTTGTGAATAGATCTTTTTAAAAAAGTTTGAGTTTTTGCTGCTTTTTTAACCTCTCTTCGCTTGCTGTTACCTTATGTGCTCAGACAAGCAAAAAGCGCAAAAATTTCTCATGAGAAAGATTAGAAAAATCATTGAGTTTAGTGTAAGTTGTATGGATACTACAGTACTGCAAATATTTAACACATTTACAGTGATGGGCGATATTAAAATATCGATTCGATAACGATTACGACAATACATGGTCTACTTTATATCATAAGAAAACCGAATTGCTTTTTTATCGGTTTCTAATCATTTTACAGAAAGCGGAACGTTCACTGCGGAGGGTAAGGATTAGACTGTGGAAATCGTGAATTCAATACCTTCCTCCTTCAAAGGCAGATTGCTATCTTTGTAAGTTTAGCCAATTTAGGACCAACAGATTTCTTTCATATGAATGTTTTATGCAGTGCGGTGTTTGAAATTCCCGTTGAGTCACCTGATTTTTTCAGGTTCCTGAGACGATTGCTTAAATTGTCCAGCAAAGTGCGAAGATCATATCTTCATTTAATTAGATTTCTTTCAGTTAAAAAATAATGATGAGAGAAAGAGGGGGGTGGGTCCCCAGGCTCCGCAGTACCTACAATACCTTGCACGAATTATAAGTACATGTTCTACTCTACTCAAGCTTCAGCCAGTAACAACGAAATACTTGAAGCTACTACAGGAGAATTATTTGTCAACTTCAACCGCAACGTGCACCATTCATTAGGTACACCACACATACGTGCAAACCGTATCGAAACTTTCTGGTGGAAATTCATGTAAGGAAAGATAAATGACTACATTAATGTCAAAGGAAAACCCTTGCATACCAGGAAAATCAGTTTCCTTGAACAATCATCACAACCATGTATCTTGCGTCAATGGAGAAGGGACACTAGTAGAAGTATCCTTCTGAATAATGGAATCTTGCGTCAATGGAGAATGAACAGTTGAAATATCGTTCTGAACGATGGTATCTTGCGCCAATGGAGAATGGACACTAGTTGAAATATCCTTCTGAATAATGGAATTTTGTGTCAATGGAGAATGGACACTAGTTGAAATATCCATTTGAATAATGGTATCTTGCATCAATGGAGAATGAACAGTTGAAATATCGTTCTGAACGATGGTTCTTGCGTCAATGGAGAATAGAAACTAGTCGAAATATCCTTCTGAATGACGTTGGGCGTTGAATATACGCGATATTGAAAACATATTGGTAAATACTAAAACAACAGTTCAAGAATTAAATAAATTGCATAGGAGATCAAAATTCATTCCATGAAAGAGCACAGAACTTCAGCACCTTTAATCCCCAATTCACGACATACAATTGCTTCAATGAGCTTGCACTATTAACGAATTTATTTTCACAGAAAAACTGCAACTGGAAGAGAAGGAATCATTTGAAGAGAACAAGTAGGACAACCGGCTGTGATAACTAACTGGGGGTACGCCCTTTTCAGAAACTTGATCAGTTTCAAAGCAATTGAAGAATTTTAATAATATTCATCGACTTAATCAAGATGACTTTCTCTTTATAACAAAGAGTTCGTATTGAACAATTAATTAAACATCAAGCAAGGGTTGCACAAGTTGACAGGGAACGCCGAAGATCAATAATTCAGGAGGCTCACAGGATATTTGAATACATGCATGCTCTACTTTAAAAGTTTCTATTGAAATCAATGGTGATTATGGATTGTAAACAACAATAAAACGCGTGCACTGATTGGTTTATAGCTGAGCTTGCAATAGCCTGTGCAAACCGTTCTTAGCTCAATCAATTTAATCAAATAGAATTTGCAAATCAATCATGAATACATGTTAGAAGAAAAATTAAAACGTTTGTTTTAAATTTGTCTGTTTCGCATTATCGTAGTTTTGTAAAAGAAATAAAAGATGTTTTTCGTGTTTGCACTGGCTTATGAAAACCTCGAAAGAACTATAGAGCAGGTGCAACCCTTGACCTTCGGTCTCGGGCTTCCACTGATCTGCTCTCGATAATTTCCACAGGTCTCCTCGGTTTGATTAGTTCTGTGTAAGCACAGAAAAAATCTTTTATTACTTGATTATAACATGAATATGAGCCCAAATCATCAATATTTCTCAGTCCCTCTCTTTTATTACTTGATTACAACATATGAACATATAAATATAGGTCCCAAATCGTCAATCATCCACGGTCCCTAACACTAGTTCACAATGACATAATATCATCAACACCACAAAAATAAAGACAGTACGGTGTATATTGAAAAGACAACCTTTAGAAATTGATGTGTTGTGACGATGTGAATGCATGATCATTATGTTGCCACGGTGCATAAAATATTTACGACTACGTGGAAATATTACGTATCTTTGTTACTATTACAACAGCTTTTTCGCTGCTGGTAAATGTCCGAAGATCTTATTTTTTACACACCCTGTATACATAGGCACCATTTTCAATGTTCGTGTATGAAATTACCTCTTGTTCTTCCATCAGGTTGATCTTTTTTTTAAACAGTTTTTCAAGATGCAATATAAGCACACGATGCGAACAACGTAAATACTGTCTTGATATAACCTTTTTCAAAAAAAGACAAAAATCAAGCACCATGAAAACGAGGTTTTTGTAGTCATAACGGATTAATGACACAAGTGTAATGTGAGATAAATAATGCAAATAAAGTCTTGTACATTTGGAGTTATCTATAAGTCCATAACTTTGAAACCAAATTTACGACTCAAAGGAAAACAATCGTTGTCTATTATCAGGGAAGTAAAAGTTGGGGGGGGGACACTTGGGGACGGATCCACAGTTCTTACAGCTCAGGGGGCTATCCAATTTCTACTTCAGAAATCAGAAAGTTATTAATCACAGTTTAATATGCCGAGCTTGGTCACGTATAGTTCGGTATGAATGTAAGTGTAAGCCTTTTCCCAAAAGTACTAAAGGTAATATTCATACAGAGATTATGACTTAAAATAACTTATGAATGACCTATTAATCATCTCAGTGAAATGCTGTGATCACCCATGACGTCATATATGACTTTTTTAAGATTTCGCTGCTTCATCCTTGTCAAACCTCCCCCCCTGTTAAAACTAGTTCTATAGCACTGGCCATAATTAATATAAGTTAATCTTTACTATCCATCAAGTCGTTTGCTCTACCTCGCAAAAAGTCTGCCCAAATAAGATTATGTAATCGCACAACATGCTTTTAATTTCTGCATAATTACCTATGATTTGAAGACAAAATGATCCTATGTATTTTTATAAATTAGCCATTAAAGCAAACATCTTACTACGTACGTGTTTGTAGAGATTTTCCAAAGGTCTAAAAAAAAAAACGAATCGTGTTCGACTTCAAAGAAATTGGAGAAACAAACGAAATGGCTCAGCCGCAGCACTATAACCCTCCAAATTTCAACAGCAAATGCAGGCAGCAAAAACGTCAGTTTCATACTACGCTGAATGTTGTGTTCGGTATAGGCACTGGAAAGGATAGTATTGTCAGAGAGAGTACTTGGCATGTTATAATTCGTGTTATATAAGTGTTACAATCACAAGCAATATGAGACAGGTGCGACAGGAAATGACTAATCGATTCCCAGAGTGGACAAGCAAAGGAAATAAGATCCTACCATTCATTTCTACACAGCACTGCCTCTTTCCTCACTAATCTTTTGGGATCGTCCAAACATTTTGATAACGACTTGATAATTTGGTTTTTTTACGGATACAACTTGTGCAATAAAATGGCAAAAAAAACAAACTTTAAAAAAACGAAAAGTCGTCATAAATTATAAATAACTAAATTAAACAATGCTACTCTGATCAAACAAAGCAACCGCTGCACAGGAAAAGTATTTGCAAGAGCCGATTGCGTGTTCCAAAAAAATGTAAAAATACACGATATTCGTAAGGAAAACGTCATTCTTTCAGCGTAAAACATTGAACTTAATGTAACTGGACGGCTACCTCACGCCAAAATTTGAAGCCAACAATTCAACTGGTCCCAATCTTTCCGCGCGCAGCCCTCAAAAAACTTCATTTACGACGATAAGCTAGAAAGCGAGATTTAAGCCCCAGATACGCATGTCTGGGGGTGAATTTAGCTTCAAGCAAGTATAAGCATGTTTGTATAAATAAGGCAACCTTCCAGTACAATATTTACTTCAATGGTATAAAACGAGACATTGGTCACGTCAACCAGATAATTTCTTAGCGTGGTTGCTTATGAATAAGAAGAACGTGTAAATGTGTCAACTTACTTCGTGATAAGGTAGGACAGTCAAAACACCGAGACATTTTAAAGACATAGAACGCATTTGCTAAAAAAACCAAAAAATAACGTGTACATAAAACAAGATGAGCGTTCGAGACCGGGTACATATAGGATCATAACTGAGTTAAAGAACGAGTCTCGCGGTAATGCTTTGCGCGCTTAGTCAGATGTATGGCCATTCTTGGGGCACCTAAAAATGGCGACATAATGGGTTGTTGGTGTTGCAATTTGTCTACGTCTATCCCCAAAACTGGAAGATCAAAGTGAAATAGGCCAAGAAATGGAAAAGAAGCAACGAGACTTAGCAAAAAATTTCATTGCCGTTATTAAAACAAGGACTGATTTCTTACGCATCAGTAAACACAGTTTTCGAATCGCCTTTTATGGCGTTCTAAAGTTGCCTTTCAACAGATCTTGTTCGTCGTAGCATGAAGGCCAGTCTATGCAAATTCTGACCTAGGTAGATGGTATGGATATATATTGCACTGACGAGTCCCTTGAATGACGTCACAAATGTAAAACGTTCCAGACGACGGACAATGTCCATCAAAATGCCAACTTTCAGCAGCATTAAAATGGAACGATACGACCAAATCAAGAACTTTTTCGCTGATGTGTTAGAAATCACACCAGATTTAATGTCGCAAATGAAAATTTTTGCTGAAAGGGGCACTTGAAGTATAGCTAAAAGCCTTTCACACGATTCAATTGTTTCGGTTACGACTCTTAGTTGCTTCTTCAGACGGTCCGATAATTTTGTTGATACTTATGTTCGTTTGGATATTTATAGTCATTTAAACAGCGATTTGTGTTATCCAGTACAGTTTTTCGTATTTTTTTGTCCTTGTTTCTCAGTGTTTTTCAATTCTATGTAATTTGACTAGTCGGCTTCCTTTGATCTTGTCGGATGAAAATAAAGCAAGCTCTACATTCATCTGATTTTTTAGATTGACAGATCCGACTATGGGAGGCTTACTTTATATGTGTTCACACGTTCTGTTTTTAAGATCAAACTGAATCGGATCCGATCAATCGGATCGTGTGAACAGGCCTTAAGAAAGACGTTATTTTACAAATGGTTAGTCAGAATGTATCTCTGTATCAGACATGGAAAGTAAACACAAGCGCGCAGAGCATTACCGTGAGACGAATTCTATATAAAGACATCTTACCAAGGATGGTGCATTCCTCGCCAAGTGTAAGTACCTGGGTACGAGTGACGTCACATACTGCGATAAAACTGTGGGCAGCTCGTGCGTCAGGGAATAAAAAGTCTTCAGAGTGGACAATTGGATGCTGCTCTCGTCACATGACAACGATTGAACCAGTAATGGAAATAACTACAGAAGGTAAATGACGTCACATGACATAGCTACACAAGCGACAAAGACATCAAGGACAGAAGCTAAAAGCAGAGAATGTCGCCCTTCATTGCGCATGCAGCAAGGCAGTTAACAGGGGCGAAACTAGAAAGCTAATTGGATATTCATAATATACGAATATTCACCAACCAATCAGCGTTCGAGATTCGCCCTCAACAACAATTACGTTAGACCGAGTTACATAAAAGCTGTAGGTAAACGGTACCAACCATCGAATGGGGTTTGTGAGGAAAATTCGAAGTTGAGCACTCCAATTAACCACACGCATGTGCCGAAAAAACAATAAATCGCCATCAACAATATGACGGTGATATCAACATACCGTTGGTATTTCGCTGAGTAACACCTGTTTTGGAAGCCCGTTCATGTTGTGAGAAAGAGCACATAGATAGAGATGCTTCGTTTCTAAAAATCAATCAAATACGACGACTTGAGCCAAGGTTCGTACAATGCCAAAGTAACGAAGAGCACACAGAGCAAATGAATTGCACGCAAAGTAAAAAACGACAAGACTTTACCAAAAAAATACGAAAACTAAAAAACATTTCGAAAGAATCGAGAGATAATGGTGCGGTGACATATAACTTGAAAAATATATCACGTTGATCGGTTATTGTAAAGTTCGGACATTAGACCTTTAGGACTCGAGTTACTTTTTTGAGCAATAAAGGGTTGAGATACAATTTCAACTGCACTTTTGAGTAGAAAGTAGTCAAATGACATGTTAATAATAACTCGATGAAAAAATATGAACGCAAACACATTCAAGCACGTCTAAATAAATTCAAGTGCTTTCAATGCCTTGAATTTTTCAATTTAAATTCACGGACATTCGAGGACATTCAAGTTCCTCACGTGTTGAGCACGTGCATCTTTACCAACAAGAGAGTGTTTCTGCTATTTACCTTTTCTACTTGAATGAAATAGATTAGTAAGCAGGGGCGAAACTTGAACAAATATTCTCTGCTTGTACATGAGCTGATATGAAATAACGAAAAAAAAATGATCAAATAACGGTTAAAGATTGGATGACACTTTGTATATGAGTCCGGACCTTCATATTTGCATACGACGCATTGACCATTACGTCATCAGAATCCAACATGATGACGTAAAAACCATCCGCAGCGCATTGACCAATGACTTGATCGTCGAATAACTTAAGCAACTGCGATAAAAGAATAATGATTGCACAAGAAACGTTGTATACTGATCTGGAAGTTCTTATCCAACATAATTTCATCAAAACATACCTTATCAACGAGTTTCAGCCCCAGATTATGACCTCGTATCAGCAACGCTTTAGAAATCTATGAATGAGATCATATCGTCACGTTACTAACTCTTTCCTAAGTCACAGTTTCTCAATTTTGGGATTTTAGCCAAAAACCACTATTTTGTCCAGCGGTCTGTTCTGTATTTTTTACCGAAGTCAATTGACCAATCAAAAACGACTCAATAAATATTCAATATATGATGTTCAATAAATACTATGACAATTATTAACAGAAGTGGATAAAGAGGTGCACAGTGGTGCTCATCCGTGTAGGCAATGGTACACAGGGGCGCATAGAGGGATGCAAATTGGAAAAATAAAATTAAAACCCATCCTTTTAACGGAAAAAGCTTTAATGACTACATTTTAGTTTATTGACTGATTTATTTTTTTAATAAAAGGCGTCGATGATGTCTATTTTGTTGACCAAAACGGGAACTAGTATCCACCATTTATAATGAGTACGTTAGTAAATAATTGCTTTCTAACCGCTGAACTTTAGCTGATTACTAAGCAAAGAACCTCCTCCCCCCGTAAAAAAATCCTTGCTGCATCCACAACTGACTTATAAAATTATATATTAATTCCTTTCTCTTATCCAAAATTGACTTATGCATTAAAGTTAGTAACGAGGCGATACAATAAATTCTATTTTTATCAGAACGTCACCAGGGGTAATGATTAGCGGGAGGGAGGGGGGCGGGTATTCATCTAACCTTGCCATGATTCCTAAAATTGCTTACCCATATGAGAGAAATGGTTGCTCTCCACTTTTCGTCTTCAGTGCGATCTTTTTCCAACAACGGATCCAGCTTTTCAAGACACTTTCCTACTTCCACTTCGACTTCATTCTCTACATAAAACCCACTTGCCGTGAAGAGCCTCGGAGAGCTACGAAGCCCACGAATGCTCTCCCATTTTGAAATATGACGGTTGGAATTGTAATGGTATTTTTAAGAGTTTATCAAATACTCAGACTAGATCACATAATACGCAGTAAGATGTTTATATAAAAGAGGAGTTCATGTGTAAAATTGCCGATATAAAAACAGAAAGAAAATTTTTAAAATTCTCTTAAGAAGTAGAGGACTACATAAAACATTCCCAAGTGTCTGGATCAGGTTATCTAAACACTTGAAACCATTTAGTAATTGTTTTTACAAAAAAAAAACATCGAAAAGCATAGCGTTGCAAGCTTTATAAGCGAAATTTCGAAAGCTAAATACCAATGTTGATCTACGTTCACATTTATTCCGCCAGAAATGCTTCCTAAAATAATTTAGGCGAGAAATCGTCTTTTTTTCAGACATGTTCGAAATTCTCACGTCAGCATGCCCTGATCCAAGCACGGGCATCGACCAATCAGAGCACGAGTTTTTAATACGTCATTTCATATGATCCTTACCATCTTGTATTCTGTTGATTAGACCAGCCAAGCATTTCGAAGCTTCAACATTAGTTAGTCGATGACGACATTCCACAGTTACGTTAAGCAAGCGTGAATACAACTCTGGAGTACGAGGATGCACGATCTATAAGAAAATGAGCATTTTCCTCATGAAAATTAAATACAAGACGCCGTATTGGATAATATTTACCTTTTTGGGAACGTTGCATAATACGGATTTTAACAGAATGACTAATTGTGTGCGTTGCCACGGCGACGATGTCTAAACAACGAGTAGTAGAACTTAATACATGAAGCTATTCTTATTTAGGGAAAGAAAAGATGTTTACTGTGTTTGTACAGGCTTGTGGAAACAAAAGAGACCTTTGGGAGAACTCGAGAGCAGATCAGTGGAAAACGAGGGTTAGCATCTTATCCAGAGTTCCCACAAACGTCTCCGAGGTTTGCATTTAGCAAGTGCAAACATAGGCGGCCAAGAAATCTGTTTTACTGTTTAGGCTTTATATGCAATCAATTTAAATAGGAAATATATTCTTGATTCATATGCAATGTTTATCACGCAGGCTATCTCGCGCGACTTCCACGTTTGCATAGTCTGAACAGTCTAATATTTTGACAAGGTTGGCAACTCTCAACATAAAATTACCGACCGTTAACACATCACATTCACAAAACTGTAAATATCTCATAAATACATAGCAAAACACGAAAAACAACTACATCTCGTAATTAACGAATAATTTTACGATATTTTTGCAGTTTTTTAGCATTCAAATGTATTTCTATGCATATGAAAAACGTGAATGTTTTTAGGGTTTGTGGCAAATATTTTGCAAAACCTATGCTGGGGACACTCATCTTGTGATTCGTCATATTTTTGAATACTCAAACGCAATGCAGATTAGTTGAATTTGTTTTCGCATACATTAAGATTGGCTACAATTTTTTCAATTGTTTTCACATAAAATTTTGCGGAAATCAAACACAGAAAAACAACACAGAAAATACATTGACGTTGCGATCTTACATCCAACATGTTCAACACATCATGATCAAATGCTTCGTCGATTTTATCAAATTTTGCATCTACCAAAACTTCAAACACGATGGAGATGATGTCTTTACAGCAACTACAACAAGATACAGCTTCAATTACTTGAGTGATAATAAGAGAGTCACGTGTTTGTGGATGTAGATCGTCCAGGTTAGTAGAGTCCTATAAAGGACTGTTATTATTGATGTTGACTGACGTTTCGAGAACCTTAGTCAGTCAACATCAACAACAACAGTCCTTCTCAGGACTCTACTAACCTGGACGATCTACATCCACAAACATGGAACGACATAACCGGGTTCAAACCATTTACTTTAATAAGAGAGTCACTGCAATCTTCAATCACAGGAAACCTTCCTCATGGAGAGTATTCTTACATTTTTGTGCAATTCTTTGATCAGTTCCGTTGAACTCCAATCTTGAACTTATGTAATATACAAAATTCAAAACACGCAATAAAACTCACCGCTCAGGCAACTTAGACGAAATTATCCGCAGCAATTTGGAAAATGTTTCAAGTACTGCCGAAGCGAAAACGAATTCCTCATCTTATGAATAAAAAATACCAAAGGAGGTTCAAGAAAATATAATCAGCATTCGCCAAAACGACGATCACTATATGAACATACTTGCCAGTGAATTTGTGACGGCAAGTTTTAACACGCGAAGGAAGACAACTTCTTTGTAATAATCAAGAACGCTGAATGATTTCTTTAGAGAATCTAAAACACAAAATTTCGAAAAAAATCGTTTCATAATGGGCAGGCAAATTACATACAATAAATGAACAAAAAATTTTTTTCTTGTACAGTCACAGGCCACTGGAGAAACGTCTCGCATGTAATTTTAAAACGATGTAGGAAGTTTAGTTGAAAATTTGGATCTGGCAATTTACAAGTGAAAATTATTTGCTAATGCAATGCTAAATGCTTCGACAATGTTTCGGCCATGATCGGAAAGCATCGTATATTTGCTGAGGTATTTTTGCAATTCACGTTCTCTTTGGTACGAAAATTAGTGGGCAGAATAATTGCTTCGAAGAAATCATTTTGAAAGACAAACTGTCGACAAGTAGTTTTCAATCAATTTATTTTATCTTTCAATTCGAAAGCTTTATTGAGAAACCAGTCACCACGGTCGTTTTTTTTTGGAAAGCCCGCTTGGTTACTAAATCATCACGTTCCTATAACTTTTTCGCCTAAGTCATATTTTTTCAATTTTGGGATTCTTGCCTAAAACTACTATTTTGACCTCTGGTGTGTTCTGTATTTACTGCCCGTGCAGAATACACAAGTGGGCAAAATGAACCAATAAAAAAACGACTCAATAAATGCTCAATAAAAAGTTTGGCTTTTTTAAAGTTATATTGACTCTTTTCTTGTTTTCTCAAAACTACCAACAATGACTTAAACATAAAAGTTAGTAACGCAAAGAAATTTGGAGCATCATTATACCTCGGAATGATACTAGATGTTGATATCTATGTGTCGAAGGCCGTAAGCAAAACGGGTGGGGCTACATACGCTCGATTGACTCAACTTATAGAACTAAGCATACATTTTTAACTATATTCGGTTTTTGCAAGCATTTAAAATCATAGCAACATCGTCACCTTCAAGAATTCCAATCAAACAATCAATTAGCCGGCCGATGCTTGTTTCATGAGCGGAGTTTTCATCTAAAAATTATACAGACACGCTACAACAACCTTGCATTCAGTAATACTAACGATTAAAAAACAAGAAAATAACATTCTTCACAAAGTAAACAAACCTTTACACAACTTTGTAAGATTGTCAACCAAACAGGGTAAAATACATGCAATATTTTCTTGTTCGGTACAAAATATGGTCAAAGTGTCAATAAGGTCTTCGTGGGTGACACAGGAGCTTATGGGGACTTTGTTCATTCCATTCGGGATCGGCATATCGTCTGTATCGAAACAAACAGTCATTATAGAAAATATAGGTCACGTGATCAAACGCATAAATGTCGCCATTAATAAATGAACAAAGTACCTATCGCAGAAAGTCTATTCACAAGCTTTCCTATGACATGACGACGAACCAAGAAAGAATATCGGGAAGAAAGATAAGCCAATGCTAGTTTAGTTTCATGCCTTAAAATACACGAGCGATGCAGTTCAAAATCAAAGTGCACTTTTTAAAATAAATCGGAAATTGTTGAGCACAAATTAATCCACCACTCCAGCGACATGAGCCATTGACAAACCTCACGATTTTCTCGTCATCTTGAAGCATTATCGCGAGCAAATGACCGAGGAACGATACCAACTGAAGAGCAAGAAAAAAGAAACAAGAATAAGAAAGAAACGATGATTTACAGAAATTTTTTGGTTTCTGATGTTCGAATGCGTTGAACCATTTGTTGAACATAGTAGGATTATACATGACGTCCCGAAAAAAAAAACGGAACTCACATAAAGTAATTATGCAATCGCTAAATTTATTACGCACAATAACGCAACTAGCATTCAAAACTGTTCAATGAACTTGACAGTTCTGCGCCTGTGGAATTTAGCACGGTTTGTACAGTATTAGTTAAAGTAAAACAAGTAAAAGTATTGTCATACACTGATTTTCATCTTAAAATTAAAACGCAAAACCTTTGGAAAGGCAAAGCGACATTAACTGAGTTATGATCGTATTTTCCATAAGTTGCAACGAGCTTCGACAAGCGTACGACTAAATCTAAACAGGCTGTACAAACAGCCATCGCCGATTAATAATCTTATGCAAATTTCATTTTAATGCATGCATAATTATTTGTACATGTTCCGCTGTATTTAAGAATTGAGATGGGCAATTAAGACTCACAAAGAAATGGTCAAAAAATGGCATACAAATACTATGCAATAAAACACCATAAAAATAATGGTTAAATGACGACCAAACAAGAAGAAGTGATGAACTAAAAATGGCGATAACCCTAAAACACAAATACAATGGTCCAAAAACTGCAACACCAATAATAATCTCTATTCATACAGCACAAATAATGTTCGAAACCAAACTTTACAAATTGCCTTGAAAAGTGCAATTGCCATGGTGGAAGGTCAAAATGCCTAATTATTACTTAAATTGTACAATTTAATTTCCAATACCTCATCTTCGACCAGAATTCCACTGGCTGTCATGGCAACAAGGCCGGCTATTCCAGAGCTACGATGAAGAGGATTTTGGTTGACGAGCAACGAGAAGAACAATCCGAGAAGATTTTCTTTGAATTTCATCAGACAATTCAAAGAATCTGCAAACAAAACCATACAGAAACGCTAGCAGGCGTATCAATGGAGAAAATCAGGTGAAACCACAAGCTACAGCTGCAGTTGTATTTATGCTTTTGGTTGGTTAAACTGCAAGGATTCTTTCAACTGTGTTATATTCAATTAATGAATCTCAAGATCACACGGACGATGTCTATATTTGTATTGAATTGCCTTGTAATGACCAGATACTGAGATTCGTAGTTCGGTTAAACGCATGTCCACAAAATGCGTCAATGCAAATGTTTCCCACTATAGAAGATACATGTTATAAGCAAACGTATGGACAAATTTGTTGAGTTTTTGAAAAGGTACAACCATGCAGGCCCTTCAATTCCGCAGCTATAAGTTTTTTCCAGAAACCCGTAAGATAATGATCAAACTAATAAATGGTTTGAGCCCTGGAGTATCGTTACATGTTTGTAGATGTAGATCGTCCAGGTTCGTGGGTCTCGAGGATTGTTGGTGTTATTGTTTACTGACGTTTCGACAATCTTGACGGCAGTCATTCTTAGAGTCAAGTGGGGAGTAAACTATTCGCCGTATTTGTTGTCTGTTTAATTTTACTCTCTATGGCCATTTCTTTTACATACAGTACGATGACGTATGAACCATACAACAAATAGGACAAACCAAATAGTAGAGTGGAGTGGAGAGGAGTGGAGTAAAGTAGAGTAAAGTAGAGCAAAGTAGAGTCGAGTAAAGTAGAGTAAAGTAGAGCAGAGTAGGGCAGAGTAAAGTAGAGTAAAGTAGAGTAGAGTAGAGTAGAGTAAAGTAGAGTAGAGTAGAGTAGAGTAGAGCAGAGTAGGGCAGAGTAAAGTAGAGTAAAAGAGTAGAAGTGAAGTAGGAGAAAAGGAGAGTAAAAGGAGTAAAAGTAGAGAGGTAAAAGGAGTAAGAGTAGAATTAGAGTGAGACAGAGTGGGACAGAGTAAAGTGGAGATAAGAGTAGAGTGAATGGAGCAGATTAAAAGAGGAGGAAAGTAGAGCAAGAGTAGAGAAGAGTAAAAGTGAAAAAGTAGAGCAGAGTAAAGAGTAAATTAAAATTGAGCAGAGTACTTTTCCTTAAATTCTTGCGACTTCAAGGAAACTTTCCATCAAATGGACTTTTGATGGCTGACCTTCAAAACAAAAGCAAGTTAGATTTGGTCTCGAGCAAAGGAGGTCTTATGCAAACGAGAACTTTTCAAGCCATACGATTGGATGATAAATCAAACCTGTTTGACCATTTCAAACTGCTCCAGAAAAATTGGAATAACTTCATCCAAAACTTTCCCGCAAATCACATCTTGAAAAAAACGAGAGAACGTGCTAGCAACGACAATTGGTGATAGAAAAGACTAACTTATTTTGCATTCAAGGACGAAAAAACCCAACAAAATAAAGAACTAGTTCTCAGCCATGCGCATACAATTTTCACAACAAAATACGAATTTTATTCGTTTATTCATTCGCAGATTTTCACAACAAACTATTGCGAAGAACCACTTAACATGAAAACGAACCATGAAATGTTTAAAATGACAGTTTGTTTGACAGCATGTGCAGATTCTATTGAGACAAAAACATTCAAAAAAGATTCAAAAAAGACAAACGAGAAAAGTTGCACAAAGATGTTGTGTGGAGGATAGCATCATCAGATGGATGAGCAAGGAGTATGTTGAATTTCGGTGACGAGTCTGACGTCATAAGAATTATTTTGCTCCATTATTGACCCAACGTAGGACCATATAAAATCCACTTTCGTTTTTTCAACAAATTAATATACACGTGCTAGATGCTAGATTGAGTAAACATGCGTCGCGTAGCGTAAAAATTTACAAAGATTCCCATCCCCCTTTACTAACCACAATCCCACTTCATTCTCCTCCTTAAAAGCAGCAGAAAGCAATGAACCTCAGGGGTTTTCATAGAGGAAATACGTGGCAAATTAGGTTTGAAAATTCTTTACACTGAAAAAGGGGGGTTGAAGACTTTTCACTTTTCCGAACAACTTACTTTTCGAATTTTAAGCTTTCGGTACAGCCTTAACAGGCCCTTACGAGGAAATACGAGGAAAACGAGAAGAAAGTCCACATTTTGTAGCTACAGACAAGCGTAATCTTTAAACTGCTCACCTGACGCCATCGAAGCATTCTGAAGTATACTCGCTGAAATTTTTAGTATCTTTTGATCCTGCTTCAAAAAATTTCCTTTAATATCTAAGTCGAAAAAAAAACTCTGAGACAATTTTTCAATTTTCGATATGTTCGCGACGCACTCTAAGCCACATGTAACAAAAATACGAACCAGAAAGCATCTTCGTTAAAATGTTGTTTAAAGTGCCACCATGATTTAGCTTAAAAAGTAATAGTTAGCATGTTAATGGGTAAAAAATTATGTTTTTCATTACAAGAAACACAACGGTACCTCTTCGGCCAAAGCAATATTTCGCATAATACTCCGAATCGCCTCCAAGCAAGCTGCCTAATTAAAAACAGAAAAATGTTAGATAACAGCGTTATATTGCAGGAGGTTAAAAAAGAAATTCATACTCAAACCTCGACGGACTGTTCGGATGCCATGAATATCTACATAATCAACAGAAAAAGAGAACAACGCTATAACTCAAACGATACAAGGCTTGTTTATCACGTCACAAGCAGCCATGTTGGTTGAATTCAACACAGAATTTTGCAATTTGGCGTTGACAATTGCAATTTCAAGCAACATGGATGAATTTTTTTTTTGTTTTTCCATTCATGCGAGCCACCTTTCACAGAATTTGACAGATGAAGACGTTGTTTCAATATCGTTGCCTTCAAAAGCGCACGAACACACATATCTTTAAGTTTGACGTGAAGACAATACATGATTTGACCGACAATGTTCAGGCCTCGAATAAAAAGTGATTTTTGAATACGTTTGCTTCGTTTCAAAGCACTGTGTAAATCAGGGTTCGTACAAAGCTAAAAGAATGAAATTTGAGCACTTTTCTATGACTTTCAAGCTCATCTTTTAAAAAATTCGAAGACGAGGAACACCTTGAATTGCAAACAAAACACAACTAAAGTAAGAAATCATTAAAAACATCATTAACATGAAAGCAAAACAACTTTTCCCATAACAAATCGAGAGCAAATGGTGTTTTTTCGTAAAACTTGAAAGCTTCCAAGATGGTATGTTACTTTGAACTTTCTAACATTTACCCTTTAGGACATGATTTATTTTTTTCGTGCATTAAATGGTTAAGATACAATTTCAGCTACACTTTTGAAAAGAAAGTAGCGCGATGACATGTTTACAAAAATTTAAAAAAAATTGAATTCAAGCACATTTTGTAAATTGGTTCGAGTCGCAAGAATCTGGGAACTTTAGTAATTATTCTAACAACAGGAGATTGATTATTTCGATTCTTGTTTACCCCTCGAACATAAATGCAACAATCTCTTATTAAGCGCTAGCACATATAGTTTTAACATTACAATATACCTCTTGTTTTATATGATTCCACAAAGATGGCACCTGCTCGCTAATGAACCGTGCATCGTAAACATTTGCACACGATGCCTTAGAATGAGAAAGTAGTCACATTTCGAAACTCCAATTTTTCAACTTTCAATAACAATTAAGATAACGTCGGATGAAAATACGTACTAGGGTCAACAAAGCATCTTTCTTGGCATAAATCACATCGGAGGATATCTTTTCAATCAGCAACGGAACGCAAAACTAAAAGGAATTAGAAAAAATGAATGAAGACTCGAAGCGAAAATATCACTTGGAGAATAGGAAATACCGTAAAGTCTCGAAAGTAACCACCCGCAGGCAACTTTCAAGGATTAATAGCCTCAAAGGTCGGCCGCTTTCACGAAGGGGGCGCTTAATTTAGAGTTGTTATTTTCGGCATCAGTTAAGTCCGATGGTTGACTATTAATCTACGCATTAAAAACGGTATTTTTCAATGTATTCAAAGTTGGGTAATGTTGCGGTAGTTGACACAAATGTACATGATGAACGTTTTATTTGGATAATGAAATTTAAATGTGATATAGATAAAGAGCGCGGTTACTTTCGAGAGAGCAGTGTCTTTCGACGGAGCAGTTCAGTGAAGTGTAATATTAACTGGAACGCTAACTCCAATACTCGGGCTAGAGACCATTTTGAAGCCACCCATGATGCCTTTTTGTCTGCGTTTTTAGACATATTACCAAATCTCGTGAGGTAAAACTTATCATGGCCATTTGTTCTACTGTATTTTAATGTATATCGTCGTTAATTTGTTAAAATAATATCACAGAACTTCTAAAAACGCACAAAAACCCTTCAGAAAAACTAGCATGAGTATTGGCTTCAAATATGGCGGCGTGGTAAGCGTTCCAGTTGATATTATAGTTCACTGAGGTGATTACTTTCAGGAGTGAGGCTACTTTCCACACTCCACGATAACATCGTGGATAAGCAATATTACAGATGGATTGGTTAAAATGTACTTACAGGTGCAAATATGGATGTGGACGCCAGACATTTTCGAAGCGCTAAAATAAGCTGCTCTCTTGTTATGGAATGTGGATCATTGGGAGGCTAAACAGTTAATACAAGTCAATTCAAACTAAAGTAGCCGTATAATGATAGTAGAAGTACGATTATTTTTATAGATACTTTGGGGAAATATCGAGAAGAACTCACTGGAGTAAAATCAATAGGGAAATAGCAAGATGTCACTTCGAACAAATCTTCGGCCAAATGGTCTAAAAGAAACGTTCTTAGAAAGTTCGCATAATTTTGCAACAAATTCAAGCAGTGTACACCACATTATTTGAAACACGTAATGTCAACTTCATTTATTTGCTAAACCAAAATTGTGACTGTCCAATGGGTTTCATTCTTATAGCGTGTATTCCAACAGTCGATTGAGGGACAACTATGGGAATGATGCCCAAGAAAGCTCTACGAGCCACCATATTTTTCTTAGAATGCCTGAATGTGCTTCAAATGTAGTAATCATGAGACGGACATAGCTCTCATGAAAAAAGACAAATTAGCAAACCGCTAAGGAATAGAATAGCCCGCACTACAGGTTTGGGGTACGCTCAAATTCGTCTTTTTCATACCAATAGGAAATCTCTTTACGATGATTTGAACAAGCTCGAAACAAACCAGCAAGTTTCTTGGATCCTGAAATTGACGGGACATAGTCGTTAAAATAATGAAAGCGTTCATAAAAAACAACGAAATTGCGATAAATTAGACCTTCTCTCCGTCCATGGCTTGAATGTAACCAAAAACAAAATCCGTCCCAAGTGTTTGGAGCTCTAGAAAATTAACACGAACGAGTCTCAAAATCAAGACAAACCAAACTTGGATGAAAATAATTAAAATCGAACTTAATAGAAAAGCCAAAACAAAGGTTTATTGAGTTGACTAAAGACTGGCTGAACTGGCTCATTGCACAAATCAAAGAAGTTTGCATGTTAATAAGATTTAAAAACATTATGGCGCGATAAAATACAGTAATTTTATTAATTTTATTTACCAGTCATTTTCTTTTCAAGCAGTACAGTGAATAACATGAAAACGTTATATCGATCTGCCGGTAATAATGACTAAAAAATTCACAGAAAAACATGGTTTGAATCACAGTACATGAGTTTTATTTAAAAAAATACATTGCGATAAAACAGAGGAACAAATGACATAAGCTAGAATAATTTGATAGGTTGTTAGTGAAAATGTTATGGCATTGCTACATTTAAGAAATGCGCGATTACTAGCTAGTGCAAACACGAAAAACATCTTTTGTTTTTTTATAAAATAACAATCATGCAACAAAAATAAATTGAAAACAAATAACATGCATTCATGAATGATTTGCAAATTGCCTTAATTGATTCAAATGATTGAGCTACTATGGTTAAGCTAAGATCGGTTTGCACTGGCTGATATAAACTCAGCTATGGACCAATCAGCGAAGGCGTTGTATTGCTGTATAACTCCAAATGGCGCTCCCTTTCATGGATAAATATCCTGGGTCCACCCCTCTAGTAAATAGCTAGATGGTAACTGTCATCGTTCGTCAGTAGCTAGAATTTGCAGGCTTTTCAAAAATCAACAAATGGCAAATAACGATCTTATTCCATCCAGTGTGCGAATTAGTTCAGAAAAAACGATGTGCAATTTTTTTGACAAAAGTGTTTCTTTAGAGGCATAATCAAATCGATATTACGTTAATTATTATATAGCACTAATTGCTAAATTAATATTTTTAAATGTGAACAAATTCATGATTTACGACAGTGTTTTTCGTTAAAACCGCTGATTTTTGCACATCGTTTGAAAAAGTGATGTGCAATTGTTTTCATTTTAGCTAAAACGATGTGCAAATTGCACATCGCACACCGTTAATTCGCACACTGATTCCATCATAGTAATTTTTGAAAAAGTCTTCATATTCTACTGATGAATACATGTATAGTACTAGTCGAAACGTTTAGAACAAAATTCCTACTTTTTACAGAGTGTGTCAATTATCTTGTGTTTTACAGAGTGTGTCAATTATCTTGTGTTTTACAGTGTGTGTCAATTATCTTGTGTTTTACAGTGTGTGTCAACTATCTTGTGTTTTACAGAGTGTGTCAATTATCTTGTGTTTTACAGTGTGTGTCAATTATCTTGTGTTTTACAGAGTGTGTCAATTATCTTGTGTTTTACAGAGTGTGTCAATTATCTTGTGTTTTACAGAGTGTGTCTATTATCTTGTGTTTTACAGAGTGTGTCAATTATCTTGGGTTTTACAGAGTGTGTCAATTATCTTGTGTTTTACAGTGTGTGTCAATTATCTTGTGTTTTACAGAGTGTGTCAATTATCTTGTGTTTTACAGTGTGTGTCAATTATCTTGTGTTTTACAGTGTGTGTCAATTATCTTGTGTTTTACAGAGTGTGTCAATTATCTTGTGTTTTACAGAGTGTGTCAATTATCTTGTGTTTTACAGAGTGTGTCTATTATCTTGTGTTTTACAGAGTGTGTCAATTATCTTGGGTTTTACAGAGTGTGTCAATTATCTTGTGTTTTACAGAGTGTGTCAATTATCTTGTGTTTTACAGAGTGTGTCAATTATCTTGTGTTTTACAGAGTGTGTCAATTATCTTGGGTTTTACAGAGTGTGTCAATTATCTTGTGTTTTACAGAGTGTGTCAATTATCTTGTGTTTTACAGAGTGTGTCAATTATCTTGTGTTTTACAGAGTGTGTCAATTATCTTGTGTTTTACAGAGTGTGTCAATTATCTTGTGTTATACAGAGTGTGTCAATTATCTTGTGTTTTACAGAGTGTGTCAATTATCTTGTGTTTTACAGAGTGTGTCAATTATCTTGTGTTTTACAGAGTGGGTCAATTATCCTGTGTTTTACTAAGTTTGTATTTTACAGTCGTAGCTAATACACACATTATTACCTGTACGTGAATCTCTTTGAAAATTGCATGAACTATCCTAACAGCTAATCCCTCTTGAATCGCCTGATAGCTTACCTAATTGTAAACATTCATGAATAATATTTGGCACATATAGAAATGAGAAATTGGATGTTATCATCATATCAATCCCGAAGTACTCTATAAAGTATTAATTAATCCCAAAGTACTGCGCTGCATCCCACAATCATCATAACACAAAAAACCGTAACGTTACAAGCGCAGAGAAAGTTGCAAACAATGACAGATGAAAAACGCAAAAGAAAAAAACTTCACAAAGAAACTGTAATTTTGTTAAAAAAACCTTTTTTTCTTGGTTAGCAGCTCATATTACTTCACATGGAAACGTTAACCTTGATAACAGGCTTTTTGTACTGTCATTGCTTGCTTTTAAATGTTACAATCTGCAGCCTGCAGTAAGAATTAAATGTACCACATGAAATGCAAAGGCAAATAAAATGAATTGCAATAAGATAACAAAAATGCATGATCTGGTTTAAATATTCAGCTTCACACAGATACAATACAACATACCAAAGCCAATAAACCAGAAAAGACATGAGGAACCACAGAGAAATGATCCTTCAGACGATCACAAAAAAATTCCACTAGAACAGTTACTAATAATAAAGTGTAATAACAGTTGTGATTTTGGAAGAAGTATTTTACAACCAGATAAACTCCCTGTAACCAGCAGCAATCCATTCAGAAACTCAAGCTTATCAATTATTCATTTGTTTATGTAACTTATGCATATTTAAACACTGTTTTTATTCCAAAGCCATCATCAGAGAATATATATAATACATTAATCATAACACGGTTTTAATATGCACATGAAAAACATGCGACTTGGACGAGATTTGAACTTGCACCTTCGAGATAGTAGTCCGCTGAGTAAAACACTGTTTTAGCGACCAGATTGTTTGTGTGAACAAAATCCTACAGTAGTCTGTGACCTTGTGAATATGAATGTTCATAATGGCAAAATGTAGATAAGAGTAAAGTGTGCTTAGTCACTAAATTATCATAAGCATACCTTCGTTGTTGAGGAGTTTGTTGGTTACAAGCCTACAAAGCAACAAGGACAGCAGTTGTGTTCCCTTGCATCTTTTACCTGTTTCTTGATTGGTAAGATAGGGTCTAAAATTGAACAACAATTCAAACATCTCACATTTTACTACAGCCACAATACATCCAAAAGAAAGTCGAGCAATTGTCTTACACAAATAAATGATAGAAACATATATGATATAAATGATGTTAGAAAAAATCGAAAAGAAAATCGTGCAGCATTAAAACACAGCACATTACATTTAATTTTACATTTGTTAGAGGAAAAAATGAGAGTTCAATCACCAACTGACAAGATTGTTTTGATTATGATAGTTTGGGTAATTGAATCACATATTAAAATGAAATGTAGAATAATTTCTCTATTCAACCCTTTGAAAACATTAATAACTATGAAGTTATAGTTTGCTATAAAAGGAAATCAATTTATTCTGTATAGCAATTGACCTTTATGAAGAAAATGCCTCAATAAATCATATGATTACATTCATTTTCATACAAAGCAAGATTTCATATATTTATTTTCCAAGTACAATTATCAACAATAATAAATGTCTTTCAATTTGATGGTGACCAATGTGAAGAAACTTAGTTCATGGTTAATAATATCATGCTTCCAGATAAATGATCAAATAATCATGCAAATCTATCACATCACATGTATCAAGTGCAAGTCCCTAAATCAACAAAATTGTGAGAAGATAAACTTATACAAAATGGGCCATTTAGTTATGTTCTGGTATGTCACCAGTGATACATAGTTCTAGCACTTTACACCTTTCTCTAAGCTTAGAATTTTCTGGGAACGTAACAAAATTGCTATTACTTAAGTCAAAGGTGCAAAGTCACATACATTATAACCCTTGACACTATCTTGTCAGCCTTGCTAACTGTAAGAGTTAGATTAATCTTTGAATCAGAGATAACAAATTAAATTCTAACTGATAAAATCAACTTAATAAACATTCAAACAAACGCATAAATTACCCTAACTTTTCCACGATCTGCAATAAATTAACCTCTTGAGAGAACAGCTAGAATTTTATAATGAGATGTTTCAATGATTGCATATACAACTCTGATAGAAACTTGCACTTAAGAAAACTTTAACCTTTGTTAAACATATTGAGAACTGCACCGCGTTCTTCCTCCAATTTTTCTTTCATATAATGGTCGATTAACTCGTCGGCCATGATCTTTTCTAAATTCTAATTAACTGAACCAGTGAACGGACAGGACAGTGGACAGGGACGGTCGAACAGCACTTCTTGGGGAGAGGAGGGAGGGAGATGATTTTGACATGTAATCTCAACATTTATGTTGTCATATCGATTGCACAAGTGGTTCACTGTTGAGACAAACCCGATTGCGAATTTTTTTGTGTTGAAAGCATCGGATATTTTTTAATATCTTAAATTTGAGTACCGTAGTTATATCTCATATGTAAACGCCCATAAAAATATCTTGAGTATTTCTTTATAACAGCGATTTACCGGACAGAGTGAGAGCAATTCCTCGTTCTCTATCGTAGTTATATACATGTTGAAAATGAAATAGTTGTTTCCACAAGAAAAAAGCACTTTTCAACAAATATAAAAAAGTACAAACACATTCAATGCCATTTAGGCGAGAGCGTACGGACAATAAAGAAAGGTTAAGATAACTGGGCTTATACTGGGCTGTTGAGTTTTGACCAATGGTTGTGACAAAACAGTTGTCTTGTTTGAATTCTTGTTCTGCTACATTGCCGATATCAAGATCGCGAAAAAATAATATTATATAAAAGTAGACGTACATTTTTTCAATTTTCAACCTATTCAGTGATGTCAGATGAAACATTTACAAAGTTTTGTGCATCATTTGGCAGCATTTCTTCACTATCTCGTCTTTTAAAAGGGTGTAATCAAATTTCACTTTCGACCTCTAACGTCATTGAAAATTTGTTTGGTACTAAGCATATTTCACAATCTTGGAGAAACAGAATCATAAAGCCTCATAATATTAAAAATTGCATGAGCAGAATTGAAGGCAATCAATACTAAAATTTATGAAATAGCTGTTTTCAAAAACTTTAAAACATTTTGCGAATGCCATGTGTTATTTTCTAAATTTGAAATTTTCTTTCTTGTGACTTTATTTTTACGGAATTTTATGGCAAGCCATTTCAGAAAAAAGGTGGTCGAGAAAAAAATCTCCGTTCAGAAAGCAAACCAAACTTGAGAAAACCGTGTTTATCATTGAGTATTTGCAGATGGTAGTTTATGGCAAGCCAAACGTGACAAAAGTGTATTGAGAATTCCAACCGCTAGTCGAGAATATCAACCATATGCTCAAAATATGATCTAGCATTTGAGAAAAACAAACTATACGGGTTGAGAATTTTAAGCGATGGTCGAGTATGCGGCGCCAAGCCGGACAAATTTGTCTTTCAGGAAATATAAGTGCTGAACTTCAAATTTGCATTTTCTGAATCGAATTAATCGGTTCTCAACTCAAAATATATCTGATAAACTTAACAATATATGCCAAAATTAAAAAATATAATTAGAGCATACTTTTTTCGAAGAGCATAAATTTTTTAAGTTTAGACTTTTTAAAGGGTATATTTAAGGAACGCAGGACCGTCGAGATACGGTCTCGTGATAGCGACACGGCATACTTAGATGAAGCCGAAAATGGCGCGCAACCAGCTGCAAAGAGAGCAAAGTACGCCCCAAAGTCTGGGCACAATTTTGAGGGCCATTAATAATAGAACAAAATGATCCTTAATAATAGAGCAAAATGCTTTAAATGTTAATCATAAAATTAACGAATCCGACGAACAACCTGATGAGACTTCTGACACGTTGAGTATATTTATGGGGAGGGGGCAGAATTTCAGGAGATAGATGATAAGGTAGACAATGACAATCTTCTCGAAATTATAGCTCAAAGTTTGTCTTCTGAAGAGTAAACTGGACCTCCTATTACAGCGTCTCTTGCGAAAATTATTCATTCCAACACATGCTTGTTCTGTTGGTTACAAGAACGTGAGAAAATGGCACGAGACGATGCAAGAAAAGAAAAATTTTGTGTCAGATCTTGTTTTTCAAATTTTGGGAGTGAGGACGCCAGTTGTAATGATAGAAAATAATCTTGACGATTATGGACTTGAAAAGAATGGAAATTTCACAATTCTTCCCAATGGTGAGAGACAACGTCTGAATTTATACGATGCTTGTCTTAGAAAAAAGCAGAGACGGAAAAGAAAAAAGAGATAAATTTGGGCATGTAGTATTGAATGCTGCATTTAAACAAAAGAAAAAGAATCGACTGAGAAATGGTTATGAAGTTAAAGCCAAAAATGCAGGTCAAGAAAGATTATCAGACGTTACACATAAGCAATAGAAATGTTTAAACCTATGTTTGGTAGCTTTTTTGGAAAATCGTTCATACAGTAAATCTTTATTCAAAGGCTTTACCAACTCACTTGTCTCGCGTGCAATGCAGTATATTTCTGAGAGCAACATTCAAGAACAGTCTGTGAAAAAGGAAATTTTAGAGCTGGTGGTAAATATGAATTTGATGGGATTATCGGATGATTCAAAATTGAGGAGTATAACAATTAGTGAAATCAACTGTCGTCATGGCGACGATATCACTGAGCATGGCCTTCAAATGCTGGAAAAGAAATTTGGGATAAAATGTGCCGAATCATTTTATCCAGGTATTTTTAAATGGCTCTATCTTAAATTGTTCTGATAGTTAATTCTAAATAATTATAGCTAATCCAATTCATAGCTTATTTTTGAATACTTATTTCATCGTATGTATGGTGAATAAACGTAATTTCTAAAAACTTGATGTTTGTTTATTGTAGCTGAATTTATTGGTCAGGGATACAACCTTGTCACGGACGACTTTGTTTCATCTCGGGTTTTGAAACTATCCCTCGTTGATAATAAACAATTTGGTTTTAAAATTCCTGAATTTGCACAAATAATGAAGTCAAATGAAGCTGTATTTTACAAAATACATCGACACAGGAATGAAAGTTCCATTAAATCGCGCCTTCAAGCCTTGGGCCTAAATGTGAGCATGACACCAAGTATATTGAAGATGGTTCCAGAACTTGATGTAAATCTCAGCATAGAACGTCAGAAAAATGACTTGTGATCTTCAACCAATACAAAGATGTTGATAGAAGTGAAATTAGCAAAGATAAATGTTGAGTAATTTGATTCGACAAAAATTAGTTTTGATAATGTGTTTCGATCTGCTGTGAAAGATCTACCAAGTAAAAATATCAAGGACAAGAAAGTGATGAAGGAGTTTGTGGATTTTTTCAATAGATTCGGTCAGTTTATCGTCACGTTTGCGTATGTTGGGGCATCAGTTGAATTTGATAGTCATGATGATAACATGGAATTGTAAAACCAGGTTGAAAACAGTATTGGCGGCTGTATTGGTGCATATAATGCAAAAATTTCTGGTGAACGACAAGCATCAGCGAACCAAGAAAGAAAAAACCTTTTGAAAACTCCATCCACTAAATGGAAAGGAGGGCATTAGACTTGCAAGATAAAGAAAAAATCTCGGAATGGAAGACATCTGTTGCTAATGATCCAGTTTTTTTAAAAATATATACTAACTTTGCAGCACATTTATACGTTAGTTGGAATGATTGATAATAAGAAAGGAAATCTTACCAAGGAAGCTTTCCAAAAAATTTTTCAGATTGACATTTCAAGTCTTTACAATAATGATTTGTCAAAAACAAATTTGCAAAGGGAAACCAAAGAAAAGGATCAAGAAAGAAGAAATTCCAATACAAGGTTGGCGTCGACAAGAGAGCCGGATAGTAGTGGATTTAGGAAGATATATGATATTCTTAAAAGGCTTTTATCATTAATTGATGTTTTCAATGTCTACGGAACATTGGTTCGATTCATTTCATAAGTCAATATTTTTTATTTGAAGGATCACTATTGCACTTCTGCGTTTATTTCAAGTATTCCATGCATACCATTATAAATTAACCTGTTTTTGAATATTTCATTCATTCTGCAACGAAGATAGTATGAGTATGCCAAAACATGTATGCAATAAAAAACTTTGTAAAAATTATGGCTGGTTGTATAAATGCGTAATATCACTTTCTGCTTAGCTTAAAGTTTTCAACATTCAATTGCTGCTTTTACATATGTTCTGAATTCCTTCTCATTCTAAAACTACTAATCCTGGGTGTTTAAGTACATAGCTACCTTACTAGATTTCTAGTAATTTTTTCCCGTAGTGCATTTTGGTGCTACAACGGGTTTGGCTCAAAACACCATGATCTGCTTTTTTATGTCACTACTTTCCTAAACAAAACAGCAACTAGAAATCTTTTGTGACAGTTGGTCTAGTAATTGAAGGTCATTCTCTCAGAAGCCCACCTGTGAAGTTAAATGTGCATTTAATTATGTTTGAAAATGTTTTTGCTTTGCAATTAATTTCGTTTTCCAAATATCGAATAGTGATGAAGCCATGAAGGTTCGCAATAATTTGTTGATCATAAATAGGGAGCTCGTGATTTCGGGAGTATTCTCAACTACTTTTTTAGATGTTACTGTTTTATCATAGTAAATGCCAATTTGTGAATTAGAGCCTTTTGAGTTGAATCCATATCGTAAACAATCGTTCGTGAAGTCGTGATCCTTCATCGGGAAAATTCTATTAAAATGTAGTGGAAGAACCTGCATTTTTATGGCTAAACGTGAATTTAACATCCCCTTAGTACATTCGCATGAAATGTCCGTTTTTTTTAATATTTCCTTACGGTAAAATGTTATCACATATTAGATGCTCCATTCAAGCAACATGCTATTTTTGAACAATAGCGCCCATTATCAAACAGCAGTTTTCATATTACTATATGAGTTGGTATCGATTCAACATCTCAATTTCTGTATCTGTGCAAAAAGGGGGAGGAGTGACAGCCTCATCTTATGCAAAAAATCACAAAAATCAGCTGACTGCTTTAAGGTAATTATCTGGAGTAGTTTGAAATTAAATGGCAATTTACCTAGTCCCAATCCCGTCCCGAGCGCCATGATGGAATGGACAGTTTCAGCGCCTTTTTAGAGTTGTAAAACAGGCGATGTACAAGGCAACTGGAGGGACACCAACCTGAAATTAGAAGAGTTGTATAAAGAAAACATTGGAGTGCAAATCAATCGAAGGCCATTCAGTTATGTTGAGGATGATGAGATTGAACTACCCGTGTTGACATCTCACCTCGTTTTGTTCCTAAGATGATTAGATCCAATCATCTACCAGGGCAGAAGACAAATGCGGTTACATGAAGTATAGCATGCAGTAGATAAGCGTTTCGTATGCGCGATGACGTTTTCATCAAGGTTACATGTGTATCGCACATAATTCAGTTTATGTAAGTTTTCACCAATCTTACTTTTGCTTCACGTAACGTTTAGTTTCAATTGTTATTTTTAATCAACTTATAAAACTTCTAAATTCGTGAAAGCATTGAATTAAATAAAACTAGTATGTCTCCTTAATGTGTGTTAGTTAAATATAACTTGTGAATAGATCTTTTTAAAAAAGTTTGAGTTTTTGCTGCCTTTTTAACCTCTCTTTGCTTGCTGTTACCTTATGTGCTCAGACAAGCAAAAAGTGCAAAAATTTTTCATGAGAAAGATTAAAAAAATCATTGAGTTTTGTGTAAGTTGTATGGATACTACAGTACGGTAAATATTTAACACATTTGCAGTGATGGGCGATATTAAAATATCGATTCGATAACGATTACGACAATACATGGTCTAGTTTATATCATAAGAAAACCGAATTGCTTTTTATCGGTTTCTAATCATTTTACAGAAAGCGGAACGTTCAGTGCGGAGGGTAAGGATTAGACTGTGGAAATCGTGAATTCAATACCTTCCTCCTTGAAAGGCAGATTGCTATCTTTGTAAGTTTGTAAGTTTAGCCAACTCAGGACTAACAGATTTCTTTCAGTTAAAAAATAATGAGAGAAAGAGGGGGTGGGTCCCCAGGCTCCGCAGTACCTACAATACCTTGTACAAACCATAAGTACATGTTCTACTCTCCCCAAGCTTCAGTCTGTAACAACGAAATACTTGAAGCTGCTACAGGAGAATTATTAGTCAACTTCAACCGCAACTTGCACCATTCATTAGGTACACCTTTCTGGTGGAAATTCATGTAAGGAAAGATAAATGACCACATTAATGTTAAAGGGAATCCCTTGCATAACAGGAAAATCAGTTTCCCTGAAAAATCATTACAACCTTGTATCTTGCGTCAATGGAGAATGGACATTAGTTGAATTATTCTTCTGAATAATGGTATCTTGCGTCAATGGAGAATGAACACTAGTTAAAAATATCCTTCTGAATAATGGAATCTTGTGTCAATGGAGAATGGACACTAGTTGAAATACCCATTTGAATAATGGTATTTTGCGTCAATGGAGAATGCACAGATGAAATATCGCTCTGAACGATGGTATCTTGCGCCAATGGAGAATGAACACTAGTTGAAATATCCTCCTGAATAATGGTATCTTGCATCAATAGAGAATGAACATTTGAAATATCGTTCTGAACGATGGTATTCTTGCGTCAATGGAGAATAGAAACTAGTCGAAATATCCTTCTGAATGATGACGTTGGGCGTTGAATAAACACGATATTGAAGACACATTGGTAAATCCTAAAACAGTTCAAGAATTAAATAAATTGCATAGGAGATCAAAATTCATTCCATGAAAGAGCACAGAATTTCAGCACCTTTAATCCCCAATTCACGACATACAATTGCTTCATTGAACTTGCACTATTAACCAATTTATCTTCACAGAAAAACTGCAACTGGAAGAGAATGAATCATTTGAAGAGAACAAGTAGGACAACCAGCTATGATAACTAACTGGGGGTACGCCCTTTTCTAAAACTTGATCAATTTCATAGCAATTGAAGAACTTTGATAATATTCATCGACTTAATCAAGAGGACTTTCTCTTTATAACAAAGAGTTCGTATTGAACAATTAATTAAACATCAAGCAGGGTTTCTACAAGTTGACAGGGAACGCCGAAGATCAATAGTTCAGGAGGCTCACATGATATTTGAATACATGCATGCTCTACTTAAAAAGTTTCTATTGAAATCAATGGTGATTATGGATTGTAAACAACAATAAAACGCGTGCACTGATTGGTTTATAGCTGAGTTTGCATTAGCCTGTGCAAACCGTTTTTAGCTCAATCAATTTAATCAAATAGAACTTGCAAATCAATCATGAATACATGTTAGAAGAAAAATTAAAACGTTTGTTTTAAATTTGTCTGTTTCGCATCAGTGTAGTTTTATAAAAGACATAAAAGATGTTTTTCGTGTTTGCACTGGCTTATGAAAATGTCGAAAGAACTATAGAGCAGGTGTAACCCTTGACCTTCGGTCTCGGACTTGCACTGATCTGCTCTTGATAATTTCCACAGGTCTCCTCGGTTTGATTAATCCTGTGCAAACACAGAAAAAATCTTTTATTACTTGATTATAACATGAATGTCAGCCCCAAATCATCAATCTTCCCCAGTGCCTCTCTTTTATTACTTGATTACAACATATGAACATATAAATGTTGGCCCCAAATCGTCAATGATCCACGGTCCCTGATACTAGTTCACAATGACATAAAAATATCATCAACACCACAAAAATGAAAAGAATACGGTGTATAGTGAAAAGACAACCTTCAGAAATTGATGTATTGTGATGATGTGAATGCATGATCATTATGCCATCACGGTGCATAAAATATTATCGACTACGTGGAAATATTACGTATCTTTGTTACTATTACAACAGCTTTTTCGCTATTGGTAAATTTCCAAAGATCTTCTTTTTTACACACCATGTATACATAGGCACCATTTTGAATGTTCGTGTATGAAATTACCTCTTGTTCTTCCATCAGGTTGATCTTTTTTTTAAACAGTTTTTCAAGGTGCAATATAAGCACACGATGCGAGCAACGTAAATACTGTCTTGATATTACCTTTTTCAAAAAAAAGACAAAAATCAAGCACCATGAAAACGAGGTTTTTGTGGTCATAATGGGTTAATGACACAAGTTTAATGTGAGATAAACAATGTAAATAAAGTCTTGTCCTTTTGGAGTCATTAGTAAGTCCATAACTTTGAAACCAAATTCACGACTCAAAGGAAAACAATCGTTGTCTATTATCAGGGAAGTAAAAGTGGGGGGGACACTTGGGGACGGATCAACAGTTCTTACAGCTCAGGGGGCTATCCCCTTTCTACTTCAGAAATCAGATAGTCATTTATCACAGTTTAATCTGCCGAGCTTGGTGACGTATAGTTCGGCATGAATATAAGTGAAAGTCTTTTCCCAAAGGTACTAAAAGTAATATTAATACAGAGGTTATGACTTAAAATAACTTATGAATGACCTATTAGTCATCTCAGTGAAATGCTGTGATCACCCATGACGTCACATATGACTTTTTTAAGATTTCGCTGCTTCTTCCTTGTCAAACTCCCCCCCCTGTTAAAACTAGTTCTACAGCACTGGCCATAATCAATATAAGTTAATCTTAACTATCCACCACGTGGTTTGGTTAACTTCGCAGAAAGTCTGCCAAAATAAGATTATGTAATCGCACAACATGCTTTTAATTTCTGTATAATTACCTATGATTTGAAGACAAAATGATCCTATGTATTTTTATAAATTAGCCATTAAAGCGAACATCTTACTACGTACGTGTTTGTAGAGATTTTCTAAAGGTCTAAAATGGATAAAACGAATCGTTTTCGACTTCAAAGAAATTGCACAAACAAATGAAATTGCACAAAATCATACCCGTCGTACGGCTTGAAGTAAATTGAAATCAACTCATCGTCACGGTAATTGTTCATGTATTCTGTGATGTCGTTCACCAAAGATGAGTGCGATTCCTCGTCGCTTTCGCATTTTAAAACAAAATTACGATGAGGGAGGGGAGGGGGGGGGTGGGTTAGAAGAGTTGTGGGCTTGTGAAGGGGCTCAGCCGCAGCACTATAACACCTCAAATTTCAACAGCAAATGCAGCCAGCAAAAACCTCAGTTTCATAGTACGCTGAATGTTGTGTTCGGTATAGGCACTTGTAAAGATAGTATTGTCAGAGAGGGTACTTGGCATGCTATAATTCGTGTTTTTCTCCGGGGGGGGGGATCGTACTGAAACCCTAACACTTACTATATCACCGTATTTTGACAGAACTGTGAACAATAAGAGTTTGAACTGCGTGAGCTGACTGTCAGACCAACCTTCCGATTTGATAACTTTCTTTGGCACTGGCAGTCTTCTTTCTTCGTAAAATTTACGTTCCCTCACTTCTTCATCTGCAAGATATAGTCAAATTACGTGATTTGAACAACCCAAGTTGACTTAAAACATTTTGCACTGCTCAAAAAAAAAAACAACTCACAAATCTGGACATTCAACAAGAGGAGAAAAAACAGAGCAAGCATCTCAGTTTTTCCTTCGGAAGAATGTCGTTCAACAATGAAAATAAAACATAAGCAAACCTTCAAATAAGTTTGGAATGACTTTATAAACAATATCTTGCATCGTCCTATCAAGTCTACATATAAACAACTCTCAGTTTTATAATATAGGGACCAAAAACCACTGTAGCTAATGATACATTATTAAATGACATGCAAGCGATACAAGGCCATCACATGGTAAAATAAAGAAAGACAAGAGCGTATTTGGAACACTAAAAAGTAAACTTTAATATTATACATTAATTTTACACCACAGGTTAAAGATTGCACATTGGATGCAGCTTTGGATATCAGATAATACATACACGTTTGTTCCAACGCTATCAACAGAGCAACATATATAGCAAATGTAGTTTACAGTTCATGTCTGAGCTGCCCATGTCCATAAACCAAAAACTGGATTCTAGATGCAATTATGAGAAATTAATAGATCGGACGCCATTTTGCTACAAATTCAAATGTTTGAACCATTGAACTAAAATACATGGAACTCTACATGAAGCAAATAATTGAAGCCATGTCTTACGCCAGACACGCAAGATGACATCCAGACATTCGTGTTTATTGTTTAAAGATTCTTTCGCGGAGTAATAATTGATCGACTACACACGCGTGTCTGGGTGTAAGATTTGCCGCATAAAAATTATTAGGCTTTTCTATTACAGGTAGCGTTCCATGTAGTTTAGTCCAATGGTTTGAACTTGTATTTTATCCCGTCTTGTACTGAAAAATTTCAAATTTCTTTATTATTACCTGACGTTGAGTAACGGTTGAGTTTCGTGGACTTTCATGTTGCACGTCGGGCAGTATTTGCTGAGTTGCAGGTATTTGATGATGCAATGTCTGCAAACTATTAAAAAAATCAGTTTCAATTGTATGTAAAACAAACTATTCATGCGAGCTTGGTTATCCTAAAATAGTAATGAACGAACAACTTATTTCAACACGCTAACCATTGCCAAAATAAAATTGCTTTCCAAATTTACAAAAATAATTTAAGTTCACATACTGCAGTGCACACTAAATTCCACAAAATAAAGTACGATAAAATTAGTAAAATATTTACATTTAAAATTGGTAAAATTACTTTGGGAAAGTAAGCAGCGATTGTACTTTAAAAAGTAACTGGAGAACTACATTCTTTAAAATCAATTGACAATGAGTTCCAGATTTGTGGCCAATTAAAAGCGAGGCTTTTTTCATGCTATTTGTTCGTGGTCAAAGTAAGCACATTTATATAGACTTTAAAAAATACAATACGCGTGACTTAGGACCAACAAGCAGTTTAGCAAATTGAACATAACAGGTTTTGCTTTATTTTTTCCCGTTGAAATGCGTGCAAGAAATAAACTGGGAAGAAGAAAAAACACATAAAGATGGATGATCAACGTTTGTTGAATGTGGCGAAAGACCACAACAATCCAGCCGGACAGGAAATGTTGGATACGTCCAATACCTTTTACAGGAAATGTTACATGCGTCCAACACGTTTTACAGGAAATGTTGGATACGTCCAACACGTTTTACAGGAAATGTTGGATACGTCCAACACGATTTACAGGAAATGTTGGATACGTCCATCATGTTTTACAAGAAATGTTGGATACGTCCAACACGTTTTACAGGAAATGTTGGATACGTCCAACACGATTTACAGGAAATGTTGGATACGTCCATCATGTTTTACAACAAATGTTGGATACGTACAACACGTTTTACAGGAAATGTTGGATACGTCCAACACGATTTACAGGAAATGTTGGATACGTCCATTACGTTTTACAGGAAATGTTGGATGCGTCCAACACGTTTTACAGGAAATGTTGGATACGTCCAACACGTTTTACAGAAAATGTTGGATACGTCCAACACGTTTTACAGGAAATGTTGCATACGTCCAACACGTTTTACAGAAAATGTTGGTTACGTCCAACACTTTTTACAGGAAATGTTGGATACGTCCAACACGTTTTACAGGAAATGTTGGATACGTCCAACACGTTTTACAGGAAATGTTGGATACGTCCAACACGTTTTACAGAAAATGTTGGATACGTCCAACACTTTTTACAGGAAATGTTGGATACGTCCAACACGATTTACAGCAAATGTTGGATACGTCCATCATGTTTTACAAGAAATGTTGGATACGTCCAACACGTTTTACAGGAAATGTTGGATACGTCCAACACGTTTTACAGAAAATGTTGGATACGTCCAACACGTTTTACAGGAAATGTTGGATACGTCCAACACGTTTTACAGAAAATGTTGGATACGTCCAACACTTTTTACAGGAAATGTTGGATACGTCCAACACGATTTACAGGAAATGTTGGATACGTCCAACACGTTTTACAGGAAATGTTGGATACGTCCAACACGTTTTACAGGAAATGTTGGATACGTCCATCATGTTTTTCAGAAAATGTTGGATACGTCCATCATGTTTTACAGAAAATGTTGGATACGTCCATCATGTTTGACAAGAAATGTTGGATACGTACAACACGTTTTACAGGAAATGTTGGATACGTCCAACACGTTTTACAGGAAATGTTGGATATGTCCAACACGTTTTACAGGAAATGTTGGATACGTCCATCATGTTTTACAGAAAATGTTGGATACGTCCATCATGTTTTACAAGAAATGTTGGATACGCACATCATGTTTTACAAGAAATGTTGGATACGTACAACACGTTTTACAGGAAATGTTGGATACGTCCATCATGTTTTACAGAAAATGTTGGATACGTCCATCATGTTTTACAAGAAATGTTAGATACGTCCATCATGTTTTACAAGAAATGTTGGATACGTACAACACGTTTTACAGGAAATGTTGGATACGTCCAACACGATTTACAGGAAATGTTGGATACGTCCATCATGTTTTACAGAAAATGTTGGATACGTCCAACATGTTTTACAGGAAATGTTGGATACGTCCAACACGATTTACAGGAAATGTTGGATACGTCCATCATGTTTTACAGAAAATGTTGGATACGTCCAACACGTTTTACAGGAAATGTTGGATACGTCCAACACGTTTTACAGAAAATGTTGGATACGTCCAACACGTTTTACAGGAAATGTTGGATACGTCCAACACGTTTTACAGAAAATGTTGGATACGTCCAACACGTTTTACAGGAAATGTTGGATACGTCCAACACGATTTACAGGAAATGTTGGATACGTCCAACACGTTTTACAGAAAATGTTGGATACGTCCAACACGATTTACAGGAAATGTTGGATACGTCCAACACGTTTTACAGGAAATGTTGGATACGTCCAACACGTTTTACAGGAAATGTTGGATATGTCCAACACGTTTTACAGGAAATGTTGGATACGTCCATCATGTTTTTCAGAAAATGTTGGATACGTCCATCATGTTTTACAGAAAATGTTGGATACGTCCATCATGTTTTACAAGAAATGTTGGATACGTACAACACGTTTTACAGGAAATGTTGGATACGTCCAACACGTTTTACAGGAAATGTTGGATATGTCCAACACGTTTTACAGGAAATGTTGGATACGTCCATCACGTTTTACAGAAAATGTTGGATACGTCCATCACGTTTTACAAGAAATGTTGGATACGTACATCATGTTTTACAAGAAATGTTGGATACGTACAACACGTTTTACAGGAAATGTTGGATACGTCCATCATGTTTTACAGAAAATGTTGGATACGTCCATCATGTTTTACAAGAAATGTTGGATACGTCCATCATGTTTTACAAGAAATGTTGGATACGTCCAAGACGACGATGAAGACGATATTGAGCAGATTTTACTCTCGCGTTCATCTTGTTTGTGCTGCCTGCATGGTCTTAATCAACTCGCCCGATCATAGATCACAACAAAATGCGGCCGTAGCGCTGTTTGTGTAGGATGGTTTGTTTAGCGAATACGTGCATGGAGTCGCCGGTCGTAGACATGGCCAACACATGTATTTCAAAAAACAACATCTCCCAAGTCATTCGCAAAATCCAACTGGTCATGGTGGGGAAATGTAAACACGTCTTGCGTAAGATGCTAAAAAGAGGGCGGTGCAGTTAGCGTTCCAGTTGATACTATAGTTCACTGGGGAGGTTACTTTCAGGAGTTAGGCTACTTTCCACACTCTACGGTATTATGCAACGTCATCGATGGATTGGTCGAAATGTACTTACAGGTGCAAATTATAGGGGAAATATTAAGGAGAGCTCACTGGAGTAAAATCAATAGGGAAATAGCAAGATGTCCCTTCGAACAAATCTTCGGCCAAATGGTCTAAAAGAAACTTTCTTAGTAAGTTCACATACTATATAGTTTTACAGCAAATTCAAGCAGTATGAACCACTTCACTTGAGCCACGTAACGTCAACTTTATTTATTTGCTACGTCTGAAGCCAAAATTAAATGCTCGTGACTGTCAATTGGGCTTCATTCATAGTGTATCCGGACAGTTGATTAAGAAACATTAGCTACAAGCCTACAACGGGCAACTATGAGAATGCATGATGCCCAAGAAAGCTCTACAAGCCACCATACTTTTTAAGCATGCCTGAATATGTTTCAAATGTAGTAATCATTACATGGACATAGCTCTCATCAAAAAAGACAAATTTGCAAAGTGCTATGGCATAGCCAGGGTATATGCTCACGAGAAATTTGTCCTAATTATTTTTCATACCGATAGGAAATCTCATTACAATGATTTGAACAAGCTCCAAACAAACCAGCAAGTTTCTTGGATCCTGAAATTAACAGGACGTCGACGTTAAAGGCATTCATAAAAACAACGAAATACCAATAAATAAGACCTTCTCTCCGTCCATGGCTTGAATGTAACCAAAAACAAAATCCGTACCGAGTGTTAGGAGCTCTAGAAAAATAACACAAACGAGTCTCAAAAACATGGCAAACGAAACTTGGATAAAATATTTAAAATCGAGCTTAATGGAAAAGTTAAAACAAAGGTTCATTGAGGTGACCAAGGACCTGGACTTGTTCGTTGCACAAATGGATGGAGTTTGCATGTTTATATGATTTAAAAACTATGAGGCTCGATAAAATACGGTAATTTAATTAATTTTTATTACCAGTCATTTTCTTTCCAAGTAGTACAGAGAATAACATGAAAACTTTATATCGATCAGCTTGTAACAATGAATGCAAAATTCACAAAAAAAACAAGTTTCAAATCACAACACATGACTTGTATTTGGAAAAATACATTATTAATAAAACAGAGGAACAAATAAGCTAGGATGATTTGATAGTTTGTTTGTGAAAATATTATTGCATTGCAACAATTACGAAATGCGTGATTACTAGCAAGTACAAACACGAAAAACATCTTTTGTTTCTTTTATATAATAACAACAAATGTTTTACTTTTTGAAAAACGCTTACTTTTTAAGAAATATCGAGTATTTTTTGTTTTACTAAGATACTATTTCGCAGTCGTAATACAATGTTACCTGTACATGAATCTCTTTGAAAATTGCTTGAACTATCCTAACAGTTAATCCTTCTTGAATCATGTGATAGCTTACCTAATTAAACATACATGAATAATATTTGGTACATACAGAAATGAGAAATCGGTTGTTATTATCATTGGTCAATCCCAAAGTATTATATAAAGTATAAGCTAATCCCAAAGTACTGCACTGTATAATACAATCATCATTACCAAAAAACCGTAATTATACAAGCCCAAAGAATGATGCAAACAATGAGGTGAAAAACTGAAAAATCTAAAGAAATAAATAACTATAATGATCTGAGTTTTATCCATAACAAGTCATGCTAGACTGCTGCACAAGCAAATTAAGTGTTTCCAGAATGCAGATAGACTGTTAAACCAGGCTTTTTATGCTGTCATTGTTTGCTTTTAGATGTGTCAACCCGTAGCCCGCAGTAAGAATTAAATGTACCAGATGAAATGCAAAGGCAAAAAAATATGCACGGCAAAAAGATAATAAAAATGCATTCTTTGGCTTTAACAGTCAGTTTCACACAGATACAATACAACATACCAAAGCCAATAAACCAGAGAAGGCATGAGGAGCCAGAGAGAAATGATCCTTCAGACAATCACAAAAAAATTCCACCAAAACAGTAACTAATAATAAAGTGTAATAAATGTTGATTTTAAAAGAAGTATTTTACAACCCGAGATAAATTCCCTGTAACTTGAGGCAAACCAATCAAAAACTCAAGTTTATCAATTACTCATTTGTTTATGTAACTTATGCATATTTAAACACTGTTTTAGCAACCAGATTGTTTGTGTGAACAAAATCCTACAGTAGTCTGTGACCTTGTGAATATGAATGTTCATAATGGCAAAATGTGGATAAGAACAAAGTGTGCTTAGTCATTAAATTATCATAAGCATACCTTCTTAGTCGAGGAGTTCGTTGGTTACAAGCTGACAAAGCAACAAGGACAGCAGTTGTGTTCCCTTGCATCTTTTATCTGTTTCTTGATTGGTTAGAGAGTCTGAAATTGAACAACAATTAAACATTTCACATCTTACTACAGCCATCAATACATTCAAAAGAAAGTTGGGCAATTCTCTTACCTAAATGAATGATAGAAACATATATGATGTAAATGATGATTCAAAAAATCAAAAAGTAATTTGTGCAGCATTAAACACAGCACATTACATTTAATTTTACATTTGTTAGAGGAAAAAATGAGATTTCAATCACCAACTAACAAGATTGTTTTGTTCCTGATAGTTTGGGTATTTGAATCACATATTAAAATGAAATGCACAACAATTTCTCTATTCCACCCATTGAACACATTAATAACTATGAAGTTATTGTTTGCTATAAACGGAATTCAACTTATTCTGTATAGTAATTGACCTCTATGAAAAAAATGCCTCAATAAATCATATGATTACATTTATTTTCATACAAAGCAAGATTTTATATGATATTCATTTTCCAACTAAAGTTATCAACAATAATAAATGTCTTTCAATTAGATGGTGACCAATGTGAACAAACTTAGTTAATGGTTAATAATACCATGTTTCCAGATAAATGATCAAATAATCATGCAAATCTATCACATCACATGTATCAAGTGCAAGTCACTAAATCAGCAAAATTGTGAGAAGACAAACTTTCACAAAATGGGCCATTTAGTTATGTTCTGGTATGTCACCAGTGATACATAGTTCTAGCACTTTGAGCCTTTCTCTACGCTTAGAATTTTCTGGGAACGTAACAAAATCGCTATTACTTATATCTAAAGGTGCAAAGTGACATACATTATGACCCCTGACACTATCTTGTCAGCGTTGTTAACTGTAAGATTTAGACTAATCTATGAATCAGATATAACATTTTAAATTCTAGTTGATAAAATCAACATAATACACCACGATACATTCAAACAAACATATAAATTACCCTAACTTTTCCACGATCTGCAATAACTTAACTTCTTTTGAGAGAGCAGGTAGAACTTTAAAATAGGACGCTTCAATGCATATTGAACTCAGAAGGAAAATTACATTTAATAAAACTTTAACCTTTGTTAAACATATTGAGAACTGCACCGCGTTCTTCCTCCAATTCTTATTTCATATAATGGTCGACTAACTTGTCGGCCACAGAATATATACTATACAGAAGTCCCACTCTTGTCGGAGCCTTTGATGTTTTTGGGGCCGCGCATGCTGCTTCGCGCATCTCGGCCGCCATCTTCCTAGCCAGTCAATTTCTGACAAACAATATAAGGATTCTAAAGACAAGTACAAATATTTGCCTGTATCTCTTCAATAAGGTCGTAGATTTGTTCCTAGCGAGAGTTTGACAAAATTTGAGGTATATTCTATGTCTTTCTTTTTTTACAACGTAATTAAACGTGTTGTAAAGCTCGAAATCTTACATTTCGTTCTGTGACTGTGACCGCTCCTCAGCTTTGTAAACTGCAGTCAATAGAATTTTTCTTATTTTGCCTCGTTAATGACATTAAGTTTGAAATCTCTTGGAATTTTTTACTTACAGTGCTTTGGCACTTTGATGCAGTTTAGAAGTTCAGATGACCTGCATCATAATGTATTGAAAAAGCGTTGAATCTTGACGGTCACTTTCATTTGATTCATCCGAGTTGTATGCGGGTTCATTTATTTTCCTTCTAAAGGTGAGTCACTTTTACGTACTTTTTATTTTTTTTTTGATAGATCACGATGGCTTAGCCAAACTTTGAAAATTGCTCCCCAAATCAGACGTTACTACAACAACATTCAACCCAATTCCTTCAACTTTGTCAATTGCATCCTTCATCAGCTCTTCCATTTCTCTTGTAGGACATCCTCCATTTACCAATACATAACCAAGTGGTTGCTTCCATTTTCCCGAAATGCTTCTGAGCAAGAGGACAAGTGCTGAATTTGCCAGTTTATTCGTTCTTGTGCCACTTCCATATTCTTCAAGGCCAATTATTTTGTCATTGGCTATATCATAGAATAAGTTGGTTTTGAGAGATATCTCGTCCATACACAAATTACATAATTTCTCATTTTCTCTCATATGGTCCACTTTTTTCTTTATGATATTTAGTGCTCCCTGAGATATTCCAGTTGCAGCTGGCATCTTAGAGATGTATCTACACAATGTTGTTTTGGAAGGAAGAATGAATAATTTCGAGAGCATACGATAGGCTCTTCCACTAGCATGATACAAGGACACAGCAATGGACTTCATCTGTGGTGAGTATCGTCTCCCTTTCTTTTTTCTTTCATAAAGCTTAATTTGCATTTGCACAAAATGAGCAAGGTTTTTAGGCAGCTTTTCCAATGCTTTTTCCAAATTTTACGTGTTGATGGATTTTTCTTTGCATGAAACGACTTATTTTCCTTGCCTGGGCTTTTATTAACTTTCGTTGTTTTAGTTTTCTAGGTGTATTATTGGAAAGTATAGCACTTGTTTGGCAAGAAAAATCTGAAGTTTGGCTTTCTGTACTATGTCCTAATTAGTTATATATGAAATTATAATATGATATAATAATGATATTACATGATAGTAGTTGCTATCATGTAACAGACATTAATTAATGTTTGAATCCACAGCTGTTATGTAAAGTTTGCAAGAAGTACTTGTAAATTGTGTTTTCCATATACCACTTCCACTTTGAATTATCATATTTAGGAACAAACTGTAGGAACAAACTACTATTACAGATAAAGCATATACAATCATCAATTCAGCAATGTTGAGCATTGTTTGAGTTTACGAGGAAAATAAAATATGAGCATGGGTTTTCAAGACAATTCACAAAATTAAAGATCATTGCTTTTAATTCTCAGGACAGTTCCGCCATACAGTTTATATTTATTTCTAGTAAAAAACTACAGCAGAAGGATTCTATTAAAATAAAATAAATAGTGGAAATTTGGTCTATGAGATTTACTGCAAGAATACATTACTCAACTACCAACTATTGCTACAACACACAGCATAGATGCCATTTGTCATGGTCAAAGTTGTTTTTTAGTTCAACTAAGATTTATTTGTATACCAAAGGTAAGTAATAAATTATCTTATCATTCAATTAGCTCATGTCTGTCTTTGTAATTGACCAAAATTTAAACAACAGTACAAAACTTCAGTTCAGCCAGTGTGTATGCTCTTATGCAATTCACTATTTCTCAGATACATTATAATGGTATATGATCATTTACAAGATTAATATATCGTATATTTATCTACCTAACCACTGATAAAATGTTAATTACATGTTCAATAAAACTATAACTATATAGAATTTATAGTAATATATTGGTCTTAATGGTATCGTATAATCAGTGCAGCTTTAAATTGGCAGATATTCCTGGATGTTTTCTTCTTAAATAACACAGAAAAATATCCTGAAACACCAAATAAATGTTCTTTAGTTCAATCATCAAAGTTCAGTCGTATGGTGTCATAAAGATTCATAGTGTGATCGTTTGACCAAATCGAAAATGCGATGACGATGAGTCGGCATAAAGTACGACTGAGATTCCTTAAACCTTTCAGAAAAGTTAAAACATACCTTGCTTTTGCTATTTTATAAATTACGCATCAGATTGAACAGCCTCAATTGAAAAAAATCGACGTTTTCCAGTCTTCACTTCGCATCTTACCATATAGTTTTATATACCGCTGCCAGCTATTGACTGGCCAGGAATATGGCGGAATTGGAGCATGCGCATAAAAAATTAGCGACAAGTTAACTCAAGAGTGGGACTTCTGTATAGTATATATTCTGTGTTGTCGGCCATGATATTTTCTAAATGAACTGAACCAGCGAACGGACTGAACGGACTGGAAAGGGGACCGGGATGGCCGAACTGGACCCAGTGACTGAACCATCTGGATGGTGGGGTGGGCGAGGGGAAAGTGGAGAAAATTTTTTGACATGTAATCCATGATGTAATCTAAATATTTCCCAGACCTCTGGATCCCTTAAGTCTTAGAGAACTCAATGGACAGGTAACATGATCGTAGTTAATCATGTAAATGCCTAGAGTAATAACATGATTATTACTTTATAACAGTGATTTACAAGACAGAGCAATTTCCCTTTCCTTATCTTTGTAATTTATAATCACGTTGAAAATGAAATCGTTTGAATCATAAAGCTGCATCTTTTGTGTGGTTATACCATTGTCTGATAATAGACTGGGTATAGCCATTGAGTTCTATAAGACCTGGAGGGGAAATGTCAACAAAATTACTATAAATTATCAGCGCGCGGCCGCGTAGTCAAAAACATGGCGGATTTTGGTGGTCAAAGTCAGTGGAGAGACGCGGGCTCATAAAATAAAATTTTGTCGCCCACCCTGATTTGACCACCACAATTGCGAGTATAGAAAATATCAAAACTATTTATTTTCCTAACATAAACACTTTTTAAAATTTTATTTATTACATTGCCAACTTCTGTGGTTTGTGGATGCTGAAATAGCGACAGAAAAGGGAACATTTCTTGACTCCGGTAAGTAGCACAGTATTAGTTTTACCATTTTGTTTTTAACACGATACTTGAAGAGTGTTTCTACTACTAGGTTTTAATTTAAAGTTATTTTGGTCCAGTCTTGTTTGTTCTTCACTTAATCGCTCGCCAGACGTGTCGAAGCTGTCAATTTTTATCGAGTTTTGCATCCATCTTGTATCATGATCAAGGCATTAAGCTAAATTCTCGTGATCAAGGCATCAAGCTAAACTCTCCTGATTTGAATTGAGTTTACCTCCCACAAATGGGGCATAATTTGTTCATGTTTTTTTTGAAAAGATGAAGGGAAAGTTTACAACAGAGTTGTGTTGAAATTGAATGCAGTGCCATGCAAAATTAATGAGAACTATGGTATATGTTGTATAATAAAAATAACTATTAAACTGTTTGCCTGCTCAATTTGACTGACTGTATAGTGTAGACAATTATAATGGGATTGGAAAGTTGGATTTATGCAAACAGTTTTAAAGTACTACTTAGCATTTCTGTAAATGAAGTGCTTATTGTTATAGTAAACAGCTTACTACTTCAAAACCAAGATAAAAGTAGTGTGTTGAGCAATGTGCTAAGATTTGTTGCATAATATGATTATATCATTAATATGCATGAAAAATTAAACATATTATTGTCTCATCTCATCAAATCCATACTTGGTATGATTCCAGGTGATCCACAAATTCACATTGGATGCATTGGCTACAATGAAGTTGAATGTAGAAGAAGCAAAAATAGATGGCAAAGAAATTCTTTGTGTCTTATGAAGAATTAGTAGAAATCAATAAAAAGAATTCTTTTAACAAATTGTAAACAAATTTAAATTTGCTGATGGTCAAGCTACCTAGTCAAAGAAGCAAAGTCTGTCTTCAACATGTGACCTTTCCAATTATGCTTAGTTTCTTTGTACAAAATACTATTTTCGAGAAACTTGATTTGTAAGTCTTTCATTAATATTTTTTTTACCAAGAGATAAAAGGAACTAATTCAAAGGCTTGATGTAAAATACAAAGATTTAACAAGTTGTTTATCATTTAATTCCCAAATGTTAGTTTGTACATATAAATAATTAGTATTGGTAGCCGTACGTTGTTCAAGCAAAACAGAAGAGTAGTAGTGCTCGAAGGGGTTAGCATTTTTGAAAAATTATATCTTGTTCTTGACATATTACACAATTCCAAAAGACTGTACGTAATACACAATAATATCTATAGAACTTGATAAATTTCTTCACCTACACTGTCAATTAACTATTTTGCCTTCATGCAGCAATAGACAGAGTGTTTTTGTCAGAGAAACCGATGCACTTTAGTTTCCAAGTTTGTAATTTCAATGGAAAATTAATGTAGTTCTGTTCAGTAATAGATCCAAGATTCTGCCAAGCTGTTTACAAAGTACAAATTACCAAGCAACAGTATCATGGTGTTTTGATTTTTTTTCTTTTTTGTAGCTCTTCTAGTTCAACATACTTTCTTTATGAGTTTTCAGTAGATTTATCAGGTAATGACAATACACTTATGACTTATGACACTTATCAATGGTAAATTTTCAGTTGACTTATGTCGTAGGACTGAAGCAAACATTTTATCGCTTCCTTAGGAGCATTTTTACACAGATTTATCCATTTGAGCAAGAAAAATAGTTGCACCAAACTGTTTACAAGCAGTCAAACACACATCAAAATGATACCAATATCTGCAAAATATCGGCGTTCGTGTTCAATTGAAAAATGCACGTGCAAGAATCGAATTTGCCCCATCGTTGCAAAGGCAAGATAATTCACAGCTCATTTTCCAAGTTCAGAGGCAGTTATGATCTAGAATGAGTTTCGATGCTTAAAAAATTCGCTTAGTACCTTTCTTTTATCATTCTTTAATATCTAGACATTGTATGTTACTTTTGCCGTGACTTCATTAGCAGTGTACTGTTGTTGTAGGAACAAGACAAATTTACTAAGCTTTTTTCCTCTCTTTATTCTTATTTTCATTTCTGTTTTTATTTTTTAAAAATAATAAAATCACCACACCTTGCTGTAGCATTTGTAAATGGCCATGAATAAGAATGGTTGTTATTAACGAAAGTATCCAACATTTTTATCAGTTGCAGTCTATACCGTAGCATCAGGAATTGTGGTAATGTGGTAAACTGCCATCTGAAGTTAAAAGCACCTTTCTGTAATTCTGTTTTATTGCATACTTGAATAACAATAGCTGTTCGTTTGAATCAAATTACTCATGTCTTTTAAAGACAGGAAAGCAGATTCACTTTAATATTTTTTTTTCAACCAACAGCTTCTTAATAAGTAGGGCAGGTGGTTTTCTTTGGCAGCATCTGCCTATAAAATTAGCCATGTATGGTATAGCAATCACTTTAAATTCAGAAACAATGGAAAAGCAGTGTGCACTACTATAATCTTGATAATCATCACAGTATATATTTTGTCTACAGAAGTAATTTGTTTCAAACCAACAGCTATCGTTATATCAACATGAAACAAGGCAGCAGGGTGTTTACAGCTTCTGATGGTGGTTTATTTCATGGGAATACAATATCTGTTGCTGAATCTTAGTATACAATGCAATTGATGCACATGTTATGTCAATAACAACTATACTCACTCATTGATGAAGGCCATGTCGAAATGTATTAGCAAAGCGTGGTGATTAAATTATCTCTGCAAAATAAAAACAGAAATGAAAATAAGAATAAAGTGAGGAAGAAAGCTTAGTAAATTTGTCTTGTTCCTACAACAACAGTACCCTGCTAATGAAGTCACGGCAAAAGTAACATACAACAATGTCTAGATAATAAAAATGATATAAAAGAAAGGTATAAAACGAATTTTTTAAGCATCAAAACTCATTCCAGATCATGACTGCCTCTGAACTTGGAAAATGAGCTGTGAATTATCTTGCCTACGCAACGATGGGGCAAATACTACCGTGAAATTGGCACCACATTGGGCACAACATTCAACACAACATTCATCACAACATTCAACACCACATTCAACTAAAATTTATCATTCAAAATGATAAATCGAAAAATCGTCTTTAAAACACGTTTTCCATCAAATAAAACAGTAAAAAACAATTCTTAACTGTTTATTACTATTTTACTGTCTTAACCATCACAAAAATGTATAAAAGTCAAGAAATTGAAGAAAACACTAAGATTTATATTACAGTGTACTTTCCATTTCTCTTAATTAGCGTATAACTTAAAACTACACGGTAGAATTTTTAAACTTGGCCAGAATATAGATAATTATATTGCCTAAAATATATCCAAAATCTGGAGAGTGCACAAAATATAAATGATAGAAAACATCTACAAAGTCGGATGACACGAATACGCGTAATATAATATTATATAATTAACTTCCTATATCAAGGTATTTTTGCAAACAAAGGCCTGTAAATAAAAAACTGCACGGTGGAATTTTTTTAAACTTGGCCATATTGTAGATATTTTTATTGTCTATAACATATCCAAAATCTGGAGAGTGCACAAAAAAATAAGTTGTAGAAAATCATCGGCAAAGTCAGATGACACGAATGCGCGTAATATAATCTTGCATAAATAAGTTAAGAATTCCGGTTCTTTAACAAACAAAGACCTATAAATAAAAAACTACACGGTAGAATTTTTTTAAACTTGGCCATACTGTTGATATGTTTATTCTCTATAATATATCCAAAATCTGGAGAGTGCACAAAAATAAGTTGTAGAAAATCATCGGCAAAGTCGGATGACACGAATACGCGTAATAATATTTAATAATTAACTTCCTATATCAAGGTATCTTTGCAAACAAAGGCCTGTAAATAAAAAACTACACGGTAGAATTTTTTTAAACTCGGCCATATTGTAGATATTTTTATTGTCTATAACATATCCAAAATCTGGAGGGTGCACAAAAATATAGAAGCAATAGTATTCCTTGAGAATAAACCGTGAAGTTGGCACCACATTCGACAAACAGCTTTATAGCTAAAAAACTACACGGTAGAATTTTTTTAAACTCAAGTATATTATAGAATTTTATATTGTCTAAAATATATCCAAAATTTGGAAAGTGCACAAAAATATAAATGATAGAAAACATCGGCAAAGTTGGATGACTCAAATGCGCGTAATATAATCTTGCATAAATAAGTTAAAATTCGGTTCTTTAACAAACAAAGACCTATAAATAAAAAACTACACGGTAGAATTTTTTTAAACTTGGCCATATTGTAGATATTTTTATTGTCTATCATATATCCGAAATCTGGAGAGTGCACAAAAAAACAAGTTGTAGAAAATCATCGGCAAAGTCGGATGACACGAATGCGCGTAATATAATCTTTAATAATTAACTTCCTATATCAAGGTATCTTTGCAAACAAAGGCCTGTAAATAAAAAACTACACGGTAGAATTTTTTTAAACTTGGCCATACTGTTGATATGTTTATTCTCTATAATATATCCAAAATCTGGAGAGTGCACAAAAAAATAAGTTGTAGAAAATCATCGGCAAAGTCGGATGACACGAATGCGCGTAATATAATCTTTAATAATTAACTTCCTATATCAAGGTATCTTTGCAAACAAAGGCCTGTAAATAAAAAACTACACGGTAGATTGTTTTTAAATATATCCAAAATCTAGAGAGTGAACAAAAAATTATTAATACAATTCACTTTTTACTAAATTGTTTAAAAGTATTAAACTCTAGTTGTTAGTACCAAATTAATTATGCAGTGACGTAACAGTGCTGGTTATTTTTTTTGAAAATTTGTTCTAGTTGCTCATCGCTTTAATTTTTTCAAAATTTAGTGAATCTAGTGAAGTAAATGACTTGTTTTTGAGTAGTCGTGACCAAATATTACTTTTATCCAGGACCTTTACGTCACGGTATAATTAGACATGTGCATTATTTATATTGTATTTTTTACAGACTTACTAGAAAATTACTTTACTTTATTGTCTTATAATTAAAAATCGGCTATTATTTTCCACAGTATTTTTTTTTCTATCGCATTTTTTTACGTTGTTGACACGATCAGAATATCGATTAATAATTTCAATTTTTCTGAAAATGTTCCTCTTGCATTCTGAACTTATATGAAGTTACTTTTCTTCGACGATTAATAGAGAATTGAACGTTATTTTTGGCAGATTTCAGTTACTACGCTCTTGCCCGTTTCCGCTTTCTTAACACGTCACTTGTAGCTAAATAGAAATGCAGTTATTAATAGATGATTTAGTATTCTCAATGTATTCTCACAGGTTTATAATGCTTTAGTATATATTTTTTACAATTACAAATCAACACTTACAGTTTATCAGCACAAGTCCTCATTTTTGTCTTCCACAGTATGTTTTTGTTGATTTTGAAGAATTTAATTGTGTTAACAACGGTTACAATTGGAATATCCATGGAGAGATTTTTTTCTGAAAATGTTATTTATGTATACTGAAAGTAAATCAAAATACGTTATTGCAATAATTGTTAGAGAATTGAATTTGGTTTTCGGCAGATTTTAGCAATTACGTACTTGGCTAAATTAATGTGCTTTTACAGGTACATACCAGTAGTTTGAGGCACAAGTGAAGCGGCTATTTTGTGCTGATCATGACATCAACGAACGTCGAAATCTGAAAAGATTTTACCATAAGACGTTTGTTAAATAACTGAGCGTGATTTAAACATTCGTTACGAATACGTACTTTGCTTATTTTTGCTTCTCCAATCGATGCTTGCATTTCAATGGTCAGAATACACACAATGCATATGTAATCAGCAGAAACGCGATTCCTCTATTCCAGTTTCTAGGCGAAGTGCCAAGTAAAACGTTCTTTCCATTCATTTAGAATTTATAATTACAATTTTTTTGTGCTTTTCATTGATTTTAAGTGAATGGCAATAACATGTTCATTTTCACAACGCTGAAAGGAAAGCTGTGTTGAATTTTTTTATTTATTTCGCATGCAATAAAATATGGCTGCCGATGGCCTATATTGAATATATCTATATGTTATTTACATAAATTTTACCAAAAATTACTACATTCTACGGTGTGATGTTAGACTCAACTTCGTGATTGGTAAAAATTTTAGTCTTCAGAAATTGAGCACTAACATATATTTTGACTTTTGGATGTGCTACTGTTTGTCATACAAAAGCAATGACTTTTAGCGAGATAGTTGTTTAGCCATCTGCGCGTTTAAAAATCAATTTTAAAGTAGCCACACTATTTCTTGTCATTTTTTCGTTAGAGGCATTTTGTGCCTTAAATGGTACATGCGTGGATAAAAAATCGCTTTGTGATGAATTTGTTGAGAGAGAAATACGGGCATTGCATATTAAGTCTTTATTGAAAAACTGCATGCCGTATTTCTCTCATTGTTCTTGAAAAATGGGTTAAGATTTGAGAACAGGGCCGAAACTAGAACGTTAAAGATCGCTAACAAACAAAATCAGTCGGACAGACCTGAATATATGAATGTTCACCAGCGCACACCCCCCCCCCCAATCGACGTTCTAGTTTCGGCCCAGTTTGAAAATTCCTAACTATGCTGCGACAGGGCGTTCTCTCAGTTTGAAAAACATCAAACATTAATAAAGCAGCAACAGCGCCAAATGAAATTGCGAGAATTTTCCAAATTTAGTGGGAAAGTTCTCGTTATTTCAAAACAAGTCGCTCACGTTGCGCATTCCTCGTAAGCTGCTAGTCGCGCATTGTAATTCTTACAGTGACTGATTCCACACATCACTTTTTCTTTGCTACAAAACTTTTTTCAATGTCGTTTTTCAATTCACGTATTACTTCCTTTTCATTGTAATTAATAGCTCTTTCTATGCACTCCACATTGCAAGAGCATGTAATTGCTGTTTTCAATGTCATCTCTAGTTGAGACGAAGCATGTGTATGTACCCTTAGTATTTGGTGTTAACTTAAACTTATGTATTTGCTGACGACTTACCACTTCAGATTTATGTCGCCAAATGATTTTTTTTCCTTTTGCTAAAGTACTGCAGTACAATAAAACTTCACCTTCAACATATTGTCGGTAGACTTCGGCAGTGATACACCGATCTTTGTGCCTAATTTTCTGTAAATTTCATTCAGTGTGTTGTCTTTCCTACCAATCAGTAACTCTCCGGCAATTTTGTTTCAGATGACAGTTATATCTTTTCTACATGGGTTGTAAAACGCAGGCCCTAACAGATAACTGCAATACATTAAAACATACACCCCACAACTGAAAGAATCTTGCTGGTAGTTGAATGATTTCTCCCAAATTACCTTAAAATTCTCAACTAAAATACGATTATTTATGGTAACCTCGCATTTCCTTCGCCATTTGAGTACAGCAGCAAAGAAGAACTTGATCAGTTTTACGGCTGTCTCGTTTTGCATCCCCTGTTTCAATGGGTCGTAGTAATGGATAGAGGTCTTGCAAATATCAATGATCATCACAGTCCAATGACCACATTCGTTGTCGTTTATCGGAATGATGATGTAGTTATATGTTTTGAGTTTGTAATCACTTTTTTTTTCAAACATCATTTTTGCTAACTTCTTTTCATCAGCGTGTTTTACCACACAATGATAAAGCCTGGAATAGAAAAGTATGTCGAATGTGAGTACACGGTTTCCATTCTCACGTGCACCATTGATAATCAAATGAGTGTAAGCATTTATTATCTTATCATTCAACCACCCAGTATGTTTTACTGAATAAGTCTGGTTTAATAGTGGTTGCTCTAGTGTAGTCTTCACCTTTAAGTTCGTACCCGTGAGTTGCGTTTAAACAAATTGTTTTATTCTTATTGAGAACGTCGTAAAGTTGTTGAATTTCCTTCCAGCGTACTTCATTACTTTGTTTTCCTGGTACATCATATTTATAATTAGGTGACTCATTTTCGTGCTGAACATTAGCCTTTTCCTCGAATGTCTCATTACAATTCCCTGTTTCATCACCTTTTTCAAACTCATCTAATCCACAACCAGAACTTATCTGCGAAAATAGAGTTAAGCCGTTTCCAACTTTTGTGAAAAAAGTTAAATATACTGTTTGTTGCGCTAGCAATTGCCACTCGCAAGTCACGTCACTACATCTGGTATCATCAATATGCAAAACTTTATTGTCATTAAAATGAGAGCAGTATAATGACCACTTTGTATTCGCGAACCATGATGAAGCACAAGCATGAAGGTTATAGTGGAAGGACTCTGACCCTCTTCTTAATTGATTTGGTAAATTTAAGATTTACCTGATTTTTGCAAATACGTCCATCAGCAAATATGAATCTGCGAAACATATAACCAATGTTTCCGGAAGAAAAATGAACTTTCGGTGTTGGAAATGATTTGTTTCTGATTTACACAAGCTGCAACAGGCATGTACTGTGTCCTCCAAGCAATTTTTAATTGCCTTTTCTAAATCATCTATGCCGTTGCGTGGAGATACAATTAATGAAGTTTGTGTTTCGGGCATTCTATCTTCGAAATTACCACAGGACATGCATGTTTTCCTGGTTTGAGTGCCAATGTTGAATGCTTCGCCCATGGCCGTTTCCTTTATGATGAGACACAACCTTGTGAACGCTTCCTGTATGTCACATTGCTTGCCCAATGAAAAATTGAGTTCTTCTGTAAACGCGTTGAGGAAGACAGATGGATAAAAACTTGATCCCCTGCTACAATGCATCTCTTTGATGCTTTTTCTCAATGCATTTGAAAGAGCACAATCAATTTGTTCTTTAACGTTTTATTCTGTTTTATTTAAGAAAATACGTCTGATGGGCAAGACATACAAACATTGCAAAGAGCATTAACCCAACAAGAATTTCTTTTGTTGATTAAACCACAGAATTTCTTACTTTGTTCTAGCTGTTTCAGGTCATTTTCTTTTGTTAAGTTGTGAATTACTACCTCCTTGCGACATTGTTGTTCTTTTGGCATTATTTTTCTCTTCGATGTTTTTTGTGCCGCATTTGTCCATTCCTTTCCACATCCATTTGGTCCATTTTTGATCTCCTGCTCTCTTTCGCTTTTGACAAACGTTTCTTGCGCTTTATTTTAGTTTCTTTTTCTTGACATGGATCAAGGTGTGCTTTGTTACGCGTTTTGTCCTTCTTTATCACCTGACCATCTTCATGTTTATTTTCTGCTAAATCGTCAATTTTCATCTTCGTAACTGCCACTTTGGAATAGGTACTATCTGCTTCGTTCTGTTTGTACGTCATATCACTCATAAACTTTCTTTTACCTGGTGAACTTCGCATCAATGTTGCATCTCTGTCTGTTTTATCAAGTAGCGTTTTGCTTTTGCTTTTATTTTTTCTTTAAATCTGGAGTTACACTCAGTGGAATTGATGGTGATTGTTGATACCTTCCAAGCTTTGGATTCTGCTTAGGAGTTTCCGGATCTTTCTTACCCCATGTCTCTTGACTTGTGTGATATGTCATTTCTGGCAAATCACTATCAGATTCATTGTTGCTCTCAGCGATATTCTTTGTCCTCTTTTCATACCTTCTCTTTTTCTGTTTTTTCAAGTAAACATGCAATCGATCACCATAATTTCGCTCACGACGTCGTATGCGCTCATAATTTTGCAGTACAAATACGTCAGCTCTTAACCGTCTTTTTCCAGGGAAGTCTTCCTGTTTGAGATTTCGCATGGCTCCTTCTATGTAGCCTTCAGTCTTAGCGTTTGCCGATGTGAACGACAAAAACCTACAAGAGCTACTTTGTTGAATTCCTCCGTTCTCCCCGTAGCGTTTCATATCTCCTAATAAAACACCAGACCACAATGCCATCTCACTCAAATACTTTGTAATGAAGCAGAGAAATTTGGGACAATAGCAACGATTCTCATTTCCTGGTGCTTTGCAGGAATTTTCTGAATCCTTCTCAACACATCCTTTAACTTTCCCAACGATGGTAGAAAACAAATCGACAAAAGGGTTTGAAGATGGGATCACTACACTATCCTCACAGTCGCTGTAATCCAAAGTGGTGTGATTGCTTTCCTTCTGGAATTCGGAAATGTTTACAGAACATAATTTGTCCATGTTTTGGATGCGTGCATTAACTCTTGCATATGCGTTCCTTAACATCTTTGTTTGCTTCTTGCTGCATAAGCATATAATAATGTCTTCTAAAGTCGTTTGAAATTCGTGTAGAGTCCTGGCATTCACAAGCAAGGACATGGCGTACATGTTGAAACGATACCAATTTTCTTCTTTCTCCTTAAGTTCGTCTACAGGCCGTACAAATTTTTCGGCAGAATCCAATTTTTTGAGATACCTGTGAACAATGTGCATGAAGTGACTACATCCAACATGAGGTACTGTAAGAGATAAATCATTGTCAAGACTTCTTCCATTGACTATCCTGAAAGCTCTCTTGAAGAATGCAGCCATTGATTCGTTATTGAATTCCTGCAAAACTGCCATTAATAAAGCCCTTGAATAGTCAGTGTTTACCTGCCTTGGAGATGATAGATGCCCTCTATATAACTTTGACTCATCTCGCCGAAATCTTTCTAAAAATGAGCGAATATTTCCTGTTGTATGATCCGAAGTAATCATTTCTGCGACTGGAAACGATGGTTCATTTTCTACTGGATGGCGTATTACTAATGCATAATAAAGGACGCGCTTCCCGTTGTGATCAGCAACTAATGTTCCTGTTGCGTCAAGATAAGAAATATCATCCTTGCACCTATCGTGCCACAAACGCACTTGATTCTCTATCCACATGTGAACGATGAGAGGATACATTGCAATAGTATGTACGAAACCATCGTGGGCTTTTGATGGTGGAAATTCGCGTGCAATTTCCTTTTCAACAAGCGTTCTTCTTATTTTTTCCAGAGAGCATGAAAGGTCTTTATCTTGTTGCAACAACTGTTTTCCTTCACTTGCAATTTTTCTCATGGTTTCAGGTTTATTGCCACAGCCTGTTCTATTTCCAGATGCCATTGCATCAGGGAAAACATCCAGTTTTCTCTTCTGATACATAACGGATGGCTTAAGAAGGCCACTGCAGAATTCTTCCTTGAGTTGAGCGCGTTCTTCTCCTTTAATGGGACGAGATTTTCTTTCACCATTTGTATGTTTGATGCTACCAGTGTATTTCACATGAACAATTTTTTGAGGAAAATCATCTTTGCTCATTGCGAGAGTAAAGCGGCACGAACAGTTTTCAAATATACATCGACCATTAGCTTTGAAATAGATTTTGTAACGTCGCTTTCGTGAGTTTTGTTTCTGAACATAATGCCTGTCGAAGATGAAACTGCAAAATGGATTAGATAGTTGCAGGTGTCCGGCAATTATCTTAGTCCAATTGTTTTGAAGGCGATTCGGTGATACATACGTGGGTACCATCTGCGACCATTCATCCTGACTTAGTGTAAACGATGCTTCTGATGGACATTCGGCAGTGAAGAATGAATCAAATGTTAGTTTTGGACAATCCATCATGCGACCTAAGGTGTCATGAGGAATTGGCAAAATGTTGACAGTTGGTGGTCTTACATGAACAGCTTCTTTTGCATCAAATGGTTTTTTGTCACTCCCGTTCTCATTCCCAATGGCTTTTTTGTCTTTGGAAACATACGTCAAATCACTCCTTTTTAAGCTGTTGATGTTATAATTCTGTATTAGATCGTCGTCTCTTATTTCTCTGAGCGTTATTGATGCGTCATCTGGCATACCATCATGCTTCACATCGTCTGCCATGTCCTCGTAATTAACGTCATCTGGCATGTCATCGTAATTCACGTCATCTGATGAATAAGAGCAAACTATATTTTCTTCTTTCCAAGCACCTTCAATCTCAGCCTCTTGATTCTCCGCAGTAAATAATTCGTCATTAGTTGGAACATTTGGGCTGTTAAGTCTGCTAACTTCTTGTATGACCGTACATTCATTTTCTTCAGTCAACAAATGTGCATTGGCTCGGTTTGTTTGTTTGGAACTATTTTGCACATGTGGTACACTCTTGTTTTCATCCAGCCACTTGTTTCCTCATCCGTTTTCTTTATGCATACAGGACACATGAATGAAACACCATCAAGACAGTTACTAAAACATTCTCCATCTTCTTTATTTTTCAAGTGCTCCAAACCAACGCATCTAGGATGATAGTACTTCATGCATCCTACCTTCTCAAAATTACACACTAAATACCAGCCAGTGTCTTCTCGTTGGCAAAAGCAATAAACAGCTTGTTCGTTGCAGTTCGAGTGTACACTTTGGGGCACGACGCTGCCTAGTAGAAACACGAATATGACTAGAGGGTGTTGCACATGCTGACTTTTTATCTTGGAGAACAGTTTCCAACGTCTTCACTTCTACTTGCATATTTTCGTCTTTCTTAACTTGTATTCTTGCAGACTTATCATTCTCCCTAAACATGTCAATGGTGTAAAGTCATTTGTGTCAATAAATACGTTCTTATCACCTGATATAGGAGCTTTTTCTGCATCTCCTTTTTCCGTTTCTCTTGTGACTGCATACGACTTCCCGGAATGCTAGAGCCAACAACCTACAAATATATAAAGATTATGACAGGAGTTTTACAATTGACTTGCGTTCTTTATTTTCATGCCTTGCTTGCAAATTAGCTTTGACAATAATAGAAGAAAAAATCTGCTCAGTTTATTGCTCCATAGGACTTTTTCTTGTCCCGATCTCCAATTTTCACTGAATGGGGTGTCTACAAATTTGCAAACGACCGTGCATTAGCTGTAAGAAGGCTTCTGTCAACAAATTTTAAAAAAACCCTCACGAACAGATATGTGCATTTAACAACGTTTTACGTAATGCGGTTAAACATATTTTTTAGCTTCATTTAATCACATGGCTTTATTAGAAAAGGAAGATTTTAGACGTTTTCCTCGTTTCATTATCGCAAAACGTTTGTTTATTCAAATGAAGTCTTTACTGTTAGCTATGTCATTCAAACAATCACTCATGTACGAAGTAAATTAAGTTCAAAATGTTTTCTTGATGAAGATAAAACAGACTATTGAAATGAAATCAACTGAGGTCAAATTAAAGTCCGAAAAAATACAAATTATTTATGAACGCGGGAGAAACACGAGTGATGACGAATGATGACGACAAAGATTTTTTGGCTTCAATTTTTGCTTTCAGGCATCATTGCAGTTGTTTAAATATTGAGTTCACTGTTTGCATGCACAATCGAGATTGCATCGTCATTGTAAAATAAGGGTTAATTACACAAAGAATGTATTAATGTCTTATTCACAATAATTTACCTCCTTTTTAGCGATGTTTGTTTGCCTTTGCTGTTCACTCTCGTATGCATTTTGAAACCCTCCCCAATTTCGTCGCCACATCATATAGAGGTATTTGCGTGAATTTGCTAGATTTGGATGTCCACACTCTTCCAAAACTTTAGCCCAAAAACCATCAATTTTCCACCACTTACATGCATGTATGTTGGCACAATTCAACGATACCATTATGGATGCAATTTCCTTAATCTTCTCCTTTAGAGGAAAACATCCTGCGACTTTTGCTTTTTGAAATCGTGTCTATAAATAGATAAAAAAGTGTCCATAACGATTCATTCAAATAAACGCAAATTACGCAGAAAAGAGAAATTGTTACATACCGACATTTTTATAAACGCAATGCAGTTAAAAAATTCTGTAGTGTGTGAATGCTACCTTAGGAAATGCAAATTGAAATAAAGTGAGTAAATCATAACGGTTTTGTTAATTCGGTGCCAAAAAATCAAAAAAGGCCCACTGCTCACCTGTTCAAAAAAGTATGGTTATCAGCAATGTAACTTTCAAAAGTTAACTACAACCGATGAAATGCTTTTGAATATACTTCAATTAATGAAATATGGAGCTGTTATTGTTCTATTGAGATATGCAAATCATCCAAAAATAGCAGTGCCGTCATTGACTTGTTGTTGTCATCTCGTCTTAAATTCCTAACAACAAAGCATCCTAGAACATAACATCCTGTCACTGTTCACAGCTTACAGACCAGCCAGACGTTGAAATCTGAACAGTTGAGTTAAAGTTAAAAAAAAATATGTCTTCGCCAATGGGTAATATTTTTGAATAGAAGAAAGAAAAGTTCATCAATATTTTTATATTTTCTTCTAACAACAAGACTTATTTTTTATTCTAGATGCTGAAAAAATTGAGGAGGCAATGCAAGGAGTAGCTACCCCAAACAGTGGGGGAAGAACCATAACATTGGACGAAGAAATGCTCCAAAGATTTCGCTGTAAATAAAAATATCCTTTCAAGTCATCTAATGAGCTTTATATAATAGTTATATATTATAATTTTACAGTGTTTGAAGAATATTTGCGGAAAAATGGTGAGGTTCCGCCCAGCGAACAACAAGCTCCACATACCCAAGGTGCAGTTTTATATTGAAAATAAATGTTGGAAAAACCTCATTTTTCTTAGCTGATAAAGAATTCTCTTCAGATTCTGAGCATCAGGAGAAAACAGATCAACCCATGCACCAGGCGTCGACTCAGCCTCCATTTTTAAAAGGTAATTAATCTTTTATAGAAAGTAACGCTAGAACTATTCAAGTAAAATGAGTGGGAACACTTTTTACAGATGTGAGATGCTTTATTTGTGGGCAGCTGGGCCACAAAAAATGGAGATGCCCACAAAACAACAGAAGGAAGCAACGGGGAAGAAGAGGGGGGGCAAAAAAAAGTTATTCATATATATTAATGTATATGACTTAAAAATAAATAAAAACTTTAAATAATGTTGTCAGCTAAATAGGCATGTCGTTTGATTTACAAGTTAGACGCCTTTGTTTCCAATAGAACCGGAACCGCTACTCGCTTACATATTACAGACATCTGTAACCATACATCAACGATGATTTTCGATAATGCTATAGACAGATTTTGGATAGGTTATAGACAATAAGAATATCTCCAAAAATGGCCAAGTTAAAACAATTCTACCGTGTAGTTTTTTATTTATAGGTCTTTGTTAAAGAACCGGAATTCTTAACTTATTTATGCAAGATTATATTACGCGCATTTGAGTCATCCAACTTTGCCGATGTTTTTCTATCATTTATATTTTTGTGCACTTTCCAAATTTTGGATATATTTTAGACAATATAAAATTCTATAATATACTTGAGTTTAAAAAAATTCTACCGTGTAGTTTTTTAGCTATAGAGCTGTTTGTCGAATGTGGTGCCAACTTCACGGTTTATTCTCAAGGAATACTATTGCTTCTATATTTTTGTGCACTCTCCAGATTTTGGATATGTTATAGACAATAAAAATATCTACAATATGGCCAAGTTTAAAAATTCTACCGTGTAGTTTTTATTTACAGGCCTTTGTTTGCAAAGATACCTTGATATAGGAAGTTAATTATTAAATATTGTATTACGCGTATTCGTGTCATCCGACTTTGCCGATGATTTTCTACAACTTATTTTTTGTGCACTCTCCAGATTTTGGATATATTATAGAGAATAAACATATCAACAGTATGGCCAAGTTTAAAAAAATTCTACCGTGTAGTTTTTTATTTATAGGTCTTTGTTTGTTAAAGAACCGGAATTCTTAACTTATTTATGCAAGATTATATTACGCGCATTCGTGTCATCCGACTTTGCCGATGATTTTCTACAACTTATTTTTTTGTGCACTCTCCAGATTTTGGATATGTTATAGACAATAAAATATCTACAATATGGCCAAGTTTAAAAAAATTCTACCGTGTAGTTTTTTATTTACAGGCCTTTGTTTGCAAAGATACCTTGATATAGGAAGTTAATTATTAAATATTATATTACGCGTATTCGTGTCATCCGAATTTGCCGATGATTTTCTACAACTTATTTTTTTGTGCACTCTCCAGATTTTGGATATATTATAGAGAATAATCATATCAACAGTATGGCCAAGTTTAAAAAAATTCTACCGTGTAGTTTTTTTTATATTTGTTTGTTAAAGAACCGGAATTCTTAACTTATTTATGCAAGATTATATTACGCGCATTTGAGTCATCCAACTTTGCCGATGTTTTTCTATCATTTATATTTTTGTGCACTTTCCAAATTTTGGATATATTTTAGACAATATAAAATTCTATAATATACTTGAGTTTAAAAAAATTCTACCGTGTAGTTTTTTAGCTATAGAGCTGTTTGTCGAATGTGGTGCCAACTTCACGGTTTATTCTCAAGGAATACTATTGTTATATTTTTGTGCACTCTCCAGATATATCTTATAGATATGTTTAGATACCAATTATTAAATATTATATTACGCGTATTCGTGTCATCCGACTTTGCCGATGATTTTCTACAACTTATTTTTTGTGCACTCTCCAGATTTTGGATATATTATAGAGAATAAACATATCAACAGTATGGCCAAGTTTAAAAAAATTCTACCGTGTAGTTTTTTATTTATAGGTCTTTGTTTGTTAAAGAACCGGAATTCTTAACTTATTTATGCAAGATTATATTACGCGCATTCGTGTCATCCGACTTTGCCGATGATTTTCTACAACTTATTTTTTTGTGCACTCTCCAGATTTTGGATATGTTATAGACAATAAAAATATCTACAATATGGCCAAGTTTAAAAAAATTCTACCGTGTAGTTTTTTATTTATAGGCCTTTGTTTGCAAAGATACCTTGATATAGGAAGTTAATTATTAAATATTATATTACGCGTATTCGTGTCATCCGACTTTGCCGATGATTTTCTACAACTTATTTTTTTGTGCACTCTCCAGATTTTGGATATATTATAGAGAATAATCATATCAACAGTATGGCCAAGTTTAAAAAAATTCTACCGTGTAGTTTTTTATTTATAGGTCTTTGTTTGTTAAAGAACCGGAATTCTTAACTTATTTATGCAAGATTATATTACGCGCATTTGAGTCATCCAACTTTGCCGATGTTTTTCTATCATTTATATTTTTGTGCACTTTCCAAATTTTGGATATATTTTAGACAATATAAAATTCTATAATATACTTGAGTTTAAAAAAATTCTACCGTGTAGTTTTTTAGCTATAGAGCTGTTTGTCGAATGTGGTGCCAACTTCACGGTTTATTCTCAAGGAATACTATTGCTTCTATATTTTGTGCACTCTCCAGATTTTGGATATGTTATAGACAATAAAATATCTACAATATGGCCAAGTTTAAAAAATTCTACCGTGTAGTTTTTATTTACAGGCCTTTGTTTGCAAAGATACCTTGATATAGGAAGTTAATTATTAAATATTATATTACGCGTATTCGTGTCATCCGACTTTGCCGATGATTTTCTACAACTTATTTTTTGTGCACTCTCCAGATTTTGGATATATTATAGAGAATAATCATATCAACAGTATGGCCAAGTTTAAAAAATTCTACCGTGTAGTTTTTATTTATAGGTCTTTGTTTGTTAAAGAACCGGAATTCTTAACTTATTTATGCAAGATTATATTACGCGCATTTGAGTCATCCAACTTTGCCGATGTTTTTCTATCATTTATATTTTTGTGCACTTTCCAAATTTTGGATATATTTTAGACAATATAAAATTCTATAATATACTTGAGTTTAAAAAAATTCTACCGTGTAGTTTTTTAGCTATAGAGCTGTTTGTCGAATGTGGTGCCAACTTCACGGTTTATTCTCAAGGAATACTATTGCTTCTATATTTTTGTGCACTCTCCAGATTTTGGATATGTTATAGACAATAAAAATATCTACAATATGGCCGAGTTTAAAAAAATTCTACCGTGTAGTTTTTTATTTACAGGCCTTTGTTTGCAAAGATACCTTGATATAGGAAGTTAATTATTAAATATTGTATTACGCGTATTCGTGTCATCCGACTTTGCCGATGATTTTCTACAACTTATTTTTGTGCACTCTCCAGATTTTGGATATATTATAGAGAATAAACATATCAACAGTATGGCCAAGTTTAAAAAAATTCTACCGTGTAGTTTTTTATTTATAGGTCTTTGTTTGTTAAAGAACCGGAATTCTTAACTTATTTATGCAAGATTATATTACGCGCATTCGTGTCATCCGACTTTGCCGATGATTTTCTACAACTTATTTTTTTGTGCACCTCCAGATTTTGGATATGTTATAGACAATAAAAATATCTACAATATGGCCAAGTTTAAAAAAATTCCACCGTGTAGTTTTTTATTTACAGGCCTTTGTTTGCAAAAATACCTTGATATAGGAAGTTAATTATATAATATTATATTACGCGTATTCGTGTCATCCGACTTTGTAGATGTTTTTCTATCATTTATATTTTTGTGCACTCTCCAGATTTTGGATATATTTTAGGCAATATAATTATCTATATTCTGGCCAAGTTTAAAAAAATTCTACCGTGTAGTTTTTAAGTTATACGCTAATTAAGAGAAATGGAAAGTACACTGTAATATAAATCTTAGTGTTTTCTTCAATTTCTTGACTTTTATACATTTTTTGTGATGGTTAAGGACAGTAAAATAGTAATAAACAGTTAAGAATTGTTTTTTACTGTTTTATTTGATGGAAAACGTGTTTTAAAGACGATTTTTCGATTTATCATTTTGAATGATAAATTTTAGTTGAATGTGGTGTTGAATGTTGTGATGAATGTTGTGTTGAATGTTGTGCCCAATGTGGTGCCAATTTCACGGTAGTGGGGCAAATTCGATTCTTGCACGCGCAATTTTCAATTGAACACGAACGCCGATATTTTTCAGATGTCGGTATCATTTTGATGTCAAATTGATTAACACTACTTGTTTTATCCATGACAGATGTTTGAGATACATAAAAAGTCACGAAAGGCCTTAAATATTTGAAAATCCTTGTATATAAAAGTTATCCGCCATACATTTCTATAGTAATTGGTTTCTCTTGTGGTACCCGGAAGTGAATTTCGCATATATAATTAGGCTTCACTTTTGCCACAGAATATATACTGTGCTTTTGCTACCTATAGAAGCTATATCCAGTCTATTATCAGATAAGTGGGTAATACCGATTAACATGGCAGTCTGATGTTTGTAAATGATGATCGTCCAGGTTAATAAAGTCCTGAGAAGGACTGTTTTTGATGTTGTTGACTGACGTTTCGACAACCTTAGCGGTAGTCATCTTCAGAGTCAAATGAGGAGTAAACGTCAGGTTAGCCGTATTTGTTGTCTGGTTCTTACGTCATTGTATTGTGTGTACAGGAAATGTGCAGGAAATGTGTATTGTCATTGTGGATTAGTGTGAAGTGAAATATTTTATTTTTGGTTGTGATGTGTGATTTAGGTGTGACGTTTTTAGTTGTAGTGTGTGGGTGTCAATTGTGTATTGTCATTGTGAATTAGTTTGAAGTGTAATGTTTTTAGTTGATCGTTTGTTTGTATTGTGAATAAGTCGTTTGTAAGGTGCAGGTAATTGCTGTGATCTGTTCAGGGGGGTTTGTTCCAAGTTGGTATACCAACTTTCTAATGTAAGCCGTTGTCTATAGTCAGTACTGTAAGTGATGCATTTTGCCGAGTCCCAGTCAATGTTGTGCTTTGTGATTCGGTGATGTTCGGCAATGTGATTAGTTTTGTCTTGTTTCTTAGTAGCTCGTTTGTGCTCAGTAAGTCTTATGTTTAAGTTCCTGCCAGTTTCCCCGATATAGGAGGCGTGGCAGTCGGAGCAGTTTATTTTGTAAACTGCACCTTGTCGTTCGTTGGGTTGTTCTTTGTCCTTTATGTTCGTTAGTACTTGTCGTAATGTTGTGATTGGTTTATGTGCGACACGTATGTTGTATGGTCGTAAGATACGCGAGATAGTCTCAGACGTACCTTTGATGTAAGGTATCGTTGCTGTTGTCAGTGAGTTGTTCGTTTCGTTGGGTTCGTTGGGTTTGTAAGTGTTGTGTTTGATAAAGTCTGAGTTGTAGTTGTTTTTGTCAAAAACACGTTTGAGATAGTTGTTTTCGTTTTGTAGAGCGTCCGGTGAATCACATATGATTTGTGCACGTCTTGTTAATGTTCTGATTGTGGTGGCTTTGTGAGATGTAGGGTTGTAAGATGATTGGTCTAGTAGTCGGTCAGTATGTGTTGGCTTGCGATAAACTGTTGTTGATAAACTCAGGACTTTATTAACCTGGACGATCATCATTTACAAACATATAACGATACTCCCGGGTTCAAACCATTTACTTTATGGCAGTCTGACGTACACAACTGACTTACCGCTGACACCAATCAGTTGAATAACACAGTTAGAGGCGCGTGGGAGTGACTAGCAGCGCTATTTAATTAAACTGTGGAATTTATAGCCATTTGTTCGCTCAGCTACCAAAGGATATATGACCATGGCAACACCGCTGGAGTTTGCAGCAGTCATGCGAGGTTCTTATTGCGTGTGATTCTTGTCGCAGCTAGAAATATGATGTCAATTAAGACATCTATTTCATCTATGTTGTTGTATTCAATGGCACAACGTGTTTCCTTCATGCACAGTAAATTTTTATTTGCCAGAACTTTCTTCTTTGTTCCTGTGTCGTCGGGGTCGATAACACAACTTTGTCACAAATGATGGAGTGGTTTCATGATTCTCATTCCAATTGTTAAAATGGTGGCTTTGAAACTTGAAAGTGTGCACGCAAGCATATTTTACAAAATTCTTCATAGTATGAAGAATTTTGTTCATACACAAGACAGCGTCTTCAGTATTGACGTTTAAACGAGCAATTTTGAAAAACATCTAATTATTTAGAATAAATGATATTTTTTTAGTTCCAATCTCTTTTGCTATCATGTGACGATACAGTTAAAAACATTAATGAATACGATTTCAAATTTTGTTTCACAATGTTGATATTTACAATGTAGAATATATAATGAGTGATTCTATATTGAATGAGCACAGGTTTTGTTATTTTAATGACATGCAAACAATTTTGCCACGTATAGATGTGCATTTTCAGGATTCTGTTCTTATTGCTTTTCAAGTCAAACTTCGCCATAAAATTCAGGTAACATTTCTTAACATGTTCTAACGTTTTAAGATATTTCGTTATTTTCTATTTATATGAGGATTCAATGCAAACCTGTTGAATTATAATTCCTATTGCTACAATAACTTTATAATTTTAAAGCAAATACAACCACAGCTTTACTAGATTTTTTAATCATTTATAATTTTTAAGCTTCATTAACAGAAAAAGTATTGTCGAAGCTGAGAAAGTATTAGAAATTCTATACGCATTTTTGTGCATGTTTAAAAATAAAGTTCGAGTTGATATATTTTGTGTTGCAGAGGGGTAGCCGCCGGTTGTGCTAAAATTTTCGATATAAATCCACACCAGCAATATTTGTATTTCGTACATGATCTTATCCGAAGCTTTCATATGTATAATATCTTGACTGACTTTTGTTATGACGCTTTTTAAGGAACGTCGTAAAATGTTGTAAAGAGTAAGATTATTCGTATGTTAAGTTCCACTTCAATAGATTGCAACATACAATATCATAAAATTTTGGGTGTGAAACGTGTTGTTATGTATAGTTGAAATTTTTAAACAACATCTTAATAAGGCTTTGTCTCCGACCAACCTTCGCTGTTTGCAAATAATTTATGTTTTTAAAACATTGTGAAAGATAAAACATTGTTTTATCTTTCAACGTAGACGGACGCTTCACGCGACACTCATGAAATAATTGTGCAAAATTTGTCGTATAACGTCCCTCAGACCTGTGACACTGAAATTCCCGTATTCCTACAACACGAGTTTTTTGAGCATTCAAACAATCAGCGTCCGTATTTTCATAAGACTATTTCCTAATATCAAATTTTATATAATAAATGCATGAAATATTGAGTTGCTTTAGAGTATGGAAGGCTTTAGAAGGCCAAATTTTCATCTTGCCTTAGCGTTAGCGTATAACTCATAGCCTTTGCCTAAATATAAGTGCTTTAGTCTATTATAATTTAAATACCTTTAGAATTTCGTTGCTGGATAGTAGATACTTTGGAATTATTGCCATTTAATCGAGTCGGCATTTACGAAGAATTTTAGGTTAGGTAATGTACATTTGCTTATTTTAGTAAAATAGATAAACATTTTGTGAAAACATTCTTAAAATGAGCTTCATTCTTTAATTATATTTTAGCTATTCTGAATAATTTGAACTTTAGCCACGACGTCCACGGGAAGGTACGCCGCTGTAAAGGTATTACTTACACACACACGATATCAAAATATGAGTAGCACATTTTTCTTGTGAAAGACTGCGTTTTTGTTGTATTTATACATAATATTTAAATGTTCAACGTAAGTTTTGCAACATCTCACTTTACATTTCATACTGCAGAAATTTGTGAAACGCGGAATTATTTCATAATAGTTTTTCAAGTAGAATTGACAATATATGGAGTTTATTGTTGTGTGCTAAATGCTTATGTCTACTAACTAGTTCCTATTTCTATATTTTGTTGCATTGCGTGCCAAGAATTTTCATGTTTCTTCGCATTAAATTTAACGCTCTGTTTGACTACAGAAATCCCTTAATACCTATTTTTCTTACTGTTCAACGCTGTAGTATAATTTTGAATTTCTAATATTGCACGAAATGAGTTCTCTCCGAATCGAACAACCTGATAAATTTCAATTTGATTAAATTGCTGCATCATGTGTATCAAATTTGCAGTAATATTTTGCTTTAATTTCTCAAAATGAATGCATAAAATATGTCTAATAAAGAGTGAGAGACGGGCCAGGTCAACAAGTTTCGTCGATTGCAGTCGTCAAAAAAAAACATTTTAGATTCCATTCAAATTGAAAAAATATGCCAAATCTTGACTGTAGGAAATCAAAGACACACCTTAATTATCATAATGATAATTGATATGCTTGGAATGTCTTATTTGTAAATACATTAGATCTGCGGTGCAGAACAACAACGCTCAACACAGTTATTTAAACTAGTTCGATTGGATTAAGTTTTGTTAAAGAAATGGACAGTACCAACTCTTCTCAATTAAAGCCCATACCATCCTCCAAAGAAGAAATAATGGCAGAATTAGATGAGATCAAAATGAGTGGTGAAAATGCAGAAATAATTCCCAGGGCGTCACTTCTTTATTTTATAACTTCAAGTATGAAAATCCAACGCCATTCCAAATCTGCAATGATATTGCTTGTTGGAAGCACTGGATCTGGTAGATCATCAACAATAAGTCATTTACTGGACACTGGAGATAAAATTAGTGTTATTGAGACAAGTAATTGTGAATTATCTACGAAAAAAACATCTGAGTATATCATTACTCTTGACGAACCAAAGTATGAAGTGCGTGATTTAGTTTTGAGTGTTATTGATACACCTGGCTTCAACGATGGCGATGGCGTTAAACAAGATGTGTGCAATTTTGTATCTGTGAAAAAATACTTTGAAACACATCCCGAATTTTCTTCGAAAACAAAGATTTATCCAAATCTTGTGTTCATAGTTGACAGAGCCAGTAATAATAGAATGAAAGGAGTCAATAGCACACTTTCACGATCCTTGAGAGGTATCAAGATGTTAGATGTTGTTGACATCAGTCATCCAAATCTTGTTGTGATTTTAACACATGCTTGTTCTGTTGGCCACGCAAACCCGAAAAAATGGCAAGAAAGTATACAAAAAAAGAAAGAACTTGTGTCCGACATTGTTTTTGAAACTTTAGGTGTCAGTGCGCCAACTGTATTGATAGAAAATGATCCTTATAATGATTACGAACTTGAAAAGGATGGAGATTTCACAATTCTTCCCAATGGTGAAAGACAACCTTTGAATTTATACAAAGCTTGCCTTAGCTTACTCACAAAAAGCAAAGATGGAAACGATATCACAGATAAGTTTGGGCATATGGTGTTCAATGCTGCATTTACACGAAAGAAAAATGAAAAACCATTAAAAGGTCATGAAGTTAAAGCCAAAGTTGCAAATAAAGAGGAGTTATCAGATGAGGAATGGAAACTCGTAAAAGATTTTACTGAAGCTGCTGCAGGAGGTAGGATTTGTAGTTTTTTTTCATTTTTATTTGTAGCTATTAATTTTTTTTAATAAAATTTTATTACATCAGTGAACGTTTGACTGCATTATATATAATCCTGATATCGGATCACGCATTTTTTCTATAAACGTTATTTTCCACAGTTACAAATATGTTCTGGAAGCAAAATTTTTCTGTAGAGTACTAAATTAAAAAAAATACATCAATCTTCAAAATTTCTGATCAAGAATACGTTTCATTAAAATATGCATCTTATTTTTAACACATTCTTGTATTTAGAACTGTTGTTTTTTAGAAGTTAACTCTTGAAATAAGAAAAAACTTTTTTAGCAAGAGCAAATAACTTTTTCCATGTTTCATTAATGTTAGAAACTAGTATAGGTAATAAAATACGTTGAAATTTTTTTCAATTGTGATTAGTTGACTGAATTGCAGCTCAATGTGAAAATGTGTAGTTGCACAGCAGAAAAGCTGTAATTGCACTGTAAATACTATAACTTGCTTGGCTGAAGAACAGTGAAAGCCAAAAATTTTTATTTCAATTAGAAAAAACAAACATGAAAGCAGTTGTAAATAAAAGAACAAACAAGATTTTCACGATTGCATTCGTTTTATTTTCAAGAATTACAAAAGAATGCAAAACAGCAAGTAGCTACTGCTTTTTTACAAGTATTACCACACTGCAATTACACATTTTCACAGTGCAATTACAGATAAACTGCACTGTATTCAACCAATCACTGCTGAGAAGCACATTGTTATAATTGCAAGTTTTTCTTCAAAGATTTAACCAACTCACTTGCCGAGCGTGCAAAGCAGTATATTTCCGAGAACAACATCCAGGACGAGTCTGTAAAAAAAGAACTTTTTGGGCTGTTGGAAACTATGAATGCGATGGGATTGTCGGATGATTCAAGATTGAAGAGCACAACAGTCATTCAAATCAACAATTGTCATGACGACATTATCACCGAACACGGCCTTCAAATGTTGGAAAAGAAATTTAACTTAAAATGTGCTGAGTCGCTTTATTTGGGTATTTGAAATTTTTTTATCTTATGGCGAACATAAAAAGCATAATAATAGTCAATTCATAAATAATTGTGGCCAATCCACAGTGGCCTAATTGCGTGTTTTAGTGTCAATTGAAGGGGACCCCGAGAATTAAGGGCCTCAAACAAGAAATACCATATAAATTTATTAAATAAACAAAGCACATTTATAGGACATCAACAACTACAACTTTGCAATTTTAGTATATTGTCATTGAAAGAGAAACATACATTTGTTAAGGAATCTTTACAATACTCTAAACAAAATAAAATGCAGGGTATATTCGTGCACGAAAAAATATCGCGTTAGCTTTGATACTTACTTCATCGTATATGATGAATAAGCGTAATTTCTGAAAACTTGATGTTTCTTTATTGTAGCTGAATTTATTGGTCAGGGATACAACCTTGTCACAGACGACTTTGTTTCAGCTCAGGTTTTAAAATTATCTCTCGTTGATAATAAACAATTTGGCATTAGAATTCCTGAATGTGCACAAATATTGAAGACAAATGAAACTGTAGACAGCGAAATACATTTACAACGGAATGAAAGTTCCATTAAATCGCGCCTTTCAGCCTTGGGGCTAAATGTGAACATGGCACCAAGTATATTAACGATAGCTCAAGAATTTGATGTAAATTACAGCATGAAGCGTCAGGAAAATGACTCAAGATCTTCAACCAATACAAAGATATTAAAAGAAGTAAGAATAGCAAAGATAAATGTTGATGAATTTGATTTGGAAAATATTGTTTTTGCCGAGGACTTTCAGTCTGCTGTGGAAAAGCTTCCAAGTGAAAATATCGAAAACGAGAAAGTGATGAAGGAGTTCAAAAATTTTTTCAACAGATTTGGTCATTTTGTCGTCACGTCTGCATATGTTGGGGGATTAGTTGAATGTGATAATTATAATGACATCATAGAATTGTCAAGCCAAGATGAAAACAATGTTGGCGGTAGTACTGGTGCATATATTAAGAGAATTTTTGCTAAACGACAAACATCAGTGAATACAGAAAGCAACAAAGTCTTAAATATTACATCCACTAAATGGAGAGGTGGGCGTGTAGACTTGCAAGTTAAAGAAAAATTCCATGAATGGAAAAGATCTGTTGCTAATGATCCAGTGTTTTTAAAACATAAATTAACATTGCAGCACATTCATACGTTAGTTGGAATGATTGATAAAAATAAAGGAAATCTTACCAAACAAGCTTTCGAAAAAATGTTTCAGATTAATACTTCAAGTCTTTACAGTGATGATTCTTCAAAAGCTAATTCGCGAGTGGAGAGAAAGAAACTGGAGCAAGAAAACACAAGGGAAGCTCAACGTGAAGAACCGAGTTCTGGAAGATTGAGAAAAATGCTCAAACGAATCAATTCCTTTTTATCAATAATTGTTGATACTATTCAAAATGCATTGGCTAGATTGAAGAATTAAGTCAACCTTCAAACATCACTATTGCACTTTCACCGTTTATCTATTAATCTATTTTGTCTATACGCGTATAGTATATACCATTATAAACTACCTGTATTTAAATATTTAATTCATTCTGCAAAAAAAGCACTGAAGGTAAAAAAGTATGCCGAAACATGTATGCAATAAAAATGTTTAGAAAAATATTCGTTGATCTTAAATGTTTAATATAACTTTACACATCAACATAATTTTCGAAACTTTATTATAAGTAAACGTATGCTTTTAAGGATATCAGTGATTAAATGTCCCACAAAGCGAGGGCATTTAATAAACCTTTCTCCTTTTGCGGGACATTTAATTACTAATATCCCTTAATAAAAGCATGCGTTTACTTATAAGAAACCATCCAAAACTCAAGGTCAAGGAACCAAAAAACTTGTGAAGTAAAGGGTTAAAGGTAGATACCTTTACTAGATTTTTTGTTATTTTACCCGGATTACATTTTGCTACTACTGGTTTGACTCAGAATATCATCATTTGCTTTTTTGTGACACATCTCATGATGACAAATAATCACGTCCAACTGTCCTAGACAGCTCTCTAACAAAATTGGCAACAATTTTAGCGATAAAAATTGTATTGCTATTTTTGGGCAGACAGTTCGTGTTGATTGTTGTCACTTTTTTCTTGAAATATTTGCAAAAGATTATTTTTCCAACGATTCTACATGTGTTGATTGTGTAGACAATGATTAATCGAACGCTTGACAACTGATCGCAAAATATTTAATTGTATTTCCTTCTCCAAATTTGACAAATTGATAGAAAGTATATTATACAGCATGGGTCAATTTATCATATTTTGGTATGTCACACCAGTGATATATGGTTCTAACAGTGCGTTCCTACTAAGTGCCTTGGCATGGTGCTCAGGCACGGGCACCAATGTGAACACAACATTTTGATGGTCCTCAAGTCTAAGTGCTCGGGTCTGGGTACTACAAACACGAAGAGGGGTGTACCCGAGTACGGTGCTCGGGCAAGTGCACCAATGTGAAGAATGACACACAAGTTACGTGTACAGCAAGGCACGTACTCAGCACATGGTTTTAAAACTTGTTTACAATGAAAAATATGAAATTATAAATAGACGAAGCTAGTGGGTACTACGTAGTGTGAACGGCGTGCAGATTTGTACCCGAACCAGGGTATCGTACTCCGGCAATCAGTCTGAACGCGCTATAAGTTTCTAACACGTTAAATCTTCGCTATTCTTGGTTTCCAAGCTACGTCATGGCCACCATGTTGGACGATCTTAACAAATAATTTTCATTATTTACAATGCAAATGTCATCCAACATATGGCGAACATTTCACTGTTCTCTCACTCCCAGGAGATTGGTTGCACACCACCTTTTCTTAAGAATTTAGGGAAATGAAACAAAATCGTTACGAGAATGAGACTGACATCTTAAAAAGGGCAAACTGCAAAGTCAGATCATTATCAACCCTGAAATTATCTAGTTAGCTTTGCTCACAGTAAGCCGAGTTACCGGTTACGCACGTATTCTAAAAGCTCACTCACACCCACATTCAATGAGTGGGTCTTCAAAATCACTTCATAATTACTCAAAGACCATAATTTCAATCAACTGATTGTTTGATTTGAAATATCAAGGAGAAAATTTTGCCATAGATGGAGAAATAACTTTGCCAATGATTACATAAAGTGAGATTTTTATGTTGCACTCAGTGAGTGTGAGTACAGCACTGGCCATAATCAATATAAGTGAATCTTAGTTAAGTTACTATCAACGAAGTGGTTTGGTTTACTTCGCAAAAAGTCGTCCAAATAAGATTATGTAATCGCACAACATGCTGATTTCTGCATAATTACCTATGATTTGAAGACAAAATGATCCTATGCATTTTTATAAATTAGCCATTAAAGCGAACATCTTACTACGTACGTGTTTATAGAGATTTTCCAAAGATCTTAAAGAAATAAAACGATTCGTGTTCAACTTCAAAGAAATTCTACAAACAAACGAAATGGCTCAGCCGCAACACCATAACCCCACAAATTTCAACAGCAAATCCAGTCAGCAAAAACCTCAGTTTCATAGTACGCTGAATGTTGTGTTCGGTATAGGCACTGGTAAGGATATTGTCAGAGAGGGTACTTGGCATGTTATAATTCGTGTTTTTCTCAGGGGATAGTACTGAAACCCTAACACTTACTACATCACCGTATTTTGACAGAACTGTGAACAATAAGAGTTTGAACTGCGTGAGCTGACTGTCAGGCCAACCTTCCGACTCGATATCTTTCTTTGGCACTGGCATTCCTATTTCTTCGTAAAATTCATGTTCCCTCACTTCTTCATGGGACGGCTGAATTTTTAGCTCCGCATAACTGAGTTGTTATGAATGCGATTGTGATTTAAAAGTCAGTCGGACAGAGCTGAATATATGAATACTCCCGCTTTCGCGAAGATTCAAGTACCAGCTTAAAGAATCGTTATCAACCACAATGCAACGCGCGCTCCATCACACACAGTTTTGAACAGTGAACTCCATATATATATATATCTGGAATGATAACGACAATACATTTTATAGATATAAAATTGAAGCCAAAGTCCTAGTCTCTTGCGCGGTTTGTACGTCAGTTCCAGTCTTTCAAAGTTGAATACTCACGCGGTTTGTACGTCAGTTTCATTCCCCTGAGTGCTAAACATACACGGCCAATATAAATTTGAATACAAATTGCAAAAGCATAAACATATAAACAACATCACGACAAACAACACACGAGGCCAACTTTTCGCAAAAGGTTATTTTTTATAGCTGAAACTTTACTACAGTGAGTTCGTTGTAACTTTCAACTTGCAACGAAGAAAAGCCAACTGAAAATTACACTGTATGCTAAAAAGACAATACAATAAGAAAATATGACGAGAAAATATTGAAGCAAAAATTTTTCTTACATTGGAAGGTAATTTTTCAAAGGTGTTTGTCTTTTTTGTCATTTCAGTGGATTTAAAGATCTGTTTTTCCGAATAAAAAAGAAACTTGAATATCCAGTTTCATAAAAAATATTGAGTCTTACTCGCATTTTTACTTTTTCACAGAGCGATTGCATTTTTCAACGATTTCGATAGTGCTTGAAATACTAAATGGTTGTCATCTCGATATCAATAATTGAATATCCTTAAAGACTTTGATATGTTTTAAAGGAAAACCGCAGCGTAAGAGCAGATCGACTAAGTTCACCTCATCTTGCTTCTCGATTTATCACTTTGATTCACTTTCCGTGAACCTTTTCATTCCAAAAATTTCGTTATTTTTACGCTGTGATCAAGATCCGAACTCTACCATTACCAAGGGACAAATGATTTAAAAAAAATAAAATGAACATGCGAGGACTAGAGCCTGACGTGTGATGACGAATGATGACAACAAATATTTTTTTGGTTTCAATTTTTGGCTTCGGTTATCATTCCAGTTATTCAAATGTCGAGTTCACTGGTTTTGAATAGTTATTTGCCCATCCAAACAGATACGCTTATGAAAAATATCACCAGCAAGCTACTGAAAATACTTTTTCATCCCAAAACGGCACAAATTTTTATACATTCACAAAAGATTTATGGAATATCCACGGAGTACAAACTGAAACAACGTTTGTCTATTTATTCAACCAAGAAATGGCCGTGAAGATCGATGGAGAGCGCGTTGCATTGCGGTTGACAACGATTCTTTAACAAAAAGGAAAGTGTTACAATCACAAGCAATATGAGACAGGTGCGACAGGAAATGACTAATCTGTCGCCAAAATTTGAAGCCAACAATTCAACTAGTCCCAATCTTTCCACGCGCAGCCCCCCAAAAACTTCATTTACGACGATAAGCTAGAATGCGGGATTTAAGCCCCAGATACGCCACCGAGACATTTTAAAGACATAGAACGCATTTGCTAAAAAAAACAAAAAATAACGTGTACTTGTAACAAGATGAGCGTTCGAGACCGGGTACATATAGGATCATAACTGAGTTAAAGAACGAGTCTCGCGGTAATGCTTTGCGCGCTTAGTCCGATATATGGCCATTCTTGGGGCACCTAAAAATGGCGACATAATAGGTTGTTGGAGCTGCAATTTGTCTATGTCTATCCCCAAAACTGGAAGATCAAAGTGCAATAGGCCAAGAAATGGAAAAGAAGCAACGAGACTTAGCAAAAATTTTATTGCCGTTATTAAAACAAGGACTGATTTCTTACGCATCAGTAAACACAGTTTTCGAATCGCCTTTTATGGCGTTCTAAAGTTGCCTTTCAACGGATCTTGTTCGTCGTAGCATGAAGGCCAGTCTATGCAAATTCTGACCTAGGTAGATGGTATGTATATATATTGCACTGACGAGTCCCTTGAATGACGTCACAAATGTAAAACGTTCCAGACGACGGACAATGTCCATCAAAATGCCAACTTCAGTAGGCATTAAAATGGAACGATACGACCAAATCAAGAACTTCTTCACGGATTTGTTAGAAATCACACCAGATTTAATGTCGCAAATGAAAATTTTTGCTGAAAGGGGGACTTGAAGTATAGCTAAAAGCCATTCACACGATCCAATTGTTTCGGTCCCGACTTTCAGTTAGTTGTTCAGACGGTCCGATAATTTTGTTGATACTTAGGTTCGTTTAGATATTTATAGTCATTTGAACAGCAATTTGTGTTATCCAGTACATTTATCAATATATTTTTCGTATTTTTGTCCTTGTTTCTCAGTGTTTTTCAATTCTATGTAATTTGACTAGTCGGCTTCCTATGATCTTGTCGGATGAAAGTAGATCCAGATCTAGTTTCATCTGATTTTTGATTGACGGATCCGACTATGGGAGGCTTACTTTATATGTGTTCACACGCTCCGTTTTTAAGATCCAACTGAATCGGATCCGATCAATCGGATCGTGTGAACGGGCCTTAAGAAAGACGTTATTTTACAAATGGTTAGTCAGAATGTATCTCTGTATCAGACATGGAAAGTAAACACAAGCGCGCAGAGCATTACCGTGAGACGAATTCTATAAAAAGACATCTTACCAAGGATGGTGCATTCCTCGCCAAGTGTAAGTACCTGGGTACGAGTGACGTCACATACTGCGATAAAACTGTGGGCAGCTCGTGCGTCAGGGAATAAAAAGTCTTCAGAGTGGACAATTGGATGCTGCTTTCGTCACATGACAAAGATTGAACCAGTAATGGAAATAACTACAGAAGGTAAATGACGTCACATGACATAGCTACACAAGCGACAAAAACATCAAGGACAGAAGCTAAAAGAATGTCGCCCTTCATTGCGCATGCAGCAAGGCAGTTAACAGGGGCGAAACTAGAAAGCTAATTGGATATTCATAATATACGATTATTCACCAACCAATCAGCGTTCTAGATTCGCCCTCAGGAACAATTACGTCAGACCGAGTTACATAAAAGCTGTGGGTTAACGGGTACCAACCATCGCAAAGGTTTCCCTTGAATGGGGTTTGTGAGGAAAATTCGAAGTTGAACATTCCAATTAACCACACACATGCGCCGAAAAAACAACACATTGCCATCAACAATGTGACGGTGATATCAACATACCGTTGGTATTTCGCTGAGTAACACCTGTTTTGGAAGCCCGTTCATTATGTGAGAAAGAGCACATAGATATAGATGCTTCGTTTCTAAAAATCGATCAAATACGACAACTTGAGCCAAGGTTCGTACAATGCCAAAGTAACGAAGTTTGAGCACACAGACCAAATGAATTGCACACAAAGTAAAAAGCGATAAGACTTTACCAAAAAAATACGAAAACTAAAAAACGTTTCGAAAGAATCGAGAGATAATGGTGCGGTGACATATAACTTGAAAAATATATCACGTTGATTGGTTATTGTAAAGTTCGGACATTAGACCTTTAGGACTCGAGTTACTTTTATGTGCAAAAAAGGGTTAAGATACAATTTCAACTGCACTTTTGAGTAGAAAGTAGTCAAATGACATGTTAACAATAACTCGATGAAAAAATATGAACGCAAACACATTCAAGCACGTCTAAATAAATTCAATTGCTTTCAATGCCTTGAATTTTTCAATTTAAATTCACGGACATTCGAGGACATTCAAGTTCCTCACGTGTTGAGCACGTGCATCTTTACCAACAAGAGAGTGTTTCTGCTATTTACCTTTTCTACTTGAATGAAATAGATTAGTAAGCTGGGGCGAAACTTGAACAAATATTCTCTGCTTATACATGAGCTGATATGAACGAAAAAAAATGATCAAATAACGGTTAAAGATTGGATGACGCTTTGTATATGAGTCCGGACCTTCATATTTGCATACGACGCATTGACCATTACGTCATCAGAATCCAACATGATGACGTAAAAACCATCCGCAGCGCATTGACCAATGACTTGATCGTCGAATAACTTAAGCAACTGCGATAAAAGAATGATTGCACAAGAAACGTTGTATACTGATCTGGAAGATCTCATCCAACATAACTTCATCAAAACATACCTTATCAACGAGTTTCAGCCTCAGATTATGACCTCTTATCAGCAACGCTTTAGAAATCTATGAATGAGATCATATCGTCACGTTACTAACTCTTTCCTAAGTCATAGTTTCTCAATTTGGGGATTTTAGCCTAAAACCACTATTTTGTCCAGCGGTCTGTTCTGTATTTATTACCGAAGTCAATTCACCAATCAAAAACGACTCAATAAATATTCAATATATGATGTTCAATAAATACTGACAGTTTTTAACGGAAGTGGATAAAGAGGTGCACAGTGGTGCTCATCCGTGTAGGCAAGGGTCAACAGGGGCTTATAGAGGGATGCAAATTGGAAAAATAAAATTAAAACCCATCCTTCTTTTAACGGAAAAAGCTTCAATGACTACATCATTTTAGTTTGTTGACTGATTCATTTTTTTAAATAAAAAGGCGTTGATGAGTACTTTTATAATGAGTACGTTAATAAATAATTGCTTTCTAACCGCTGAACTTTAGCTGATTACTAAGCCACGAACCCCCCCCCCTCCGCGTAAAAAATCCTTGATAAATCCACAACTGACTTATAAAATTATATATTAATTCTTTTCTCTTATCCAAAAATGACTTAGGCATAAAAGTTAGTAACGGGGCGATATAATTTCTATTTTTATCAGAACGTCGCCAGGGGTAATGATTAGCGGGAGGGAGGGCGGGTATTTATTTAACCTTGCCATGATCCCTAAAATTGCTTACCCATATGAGAGAAATGGTTGCTCTCCACTTTTCGTCTTCAGTGCGATCTTTTTCCAACAACGGATCCAGCTTTTCAAGACACTTTCCTACTTCCACTTCGACTTCATTCTCTACATAAAACCCACTTGCCGTGAAGAGCCTCGGAGAGCTACGAAGCCCACGCATGCGCTCCCATTTTGAAATATGACGGTTGGAATTGTAATGGTAATTTTAAAAGTTTATCAAATACTCAGACTAGATCACATAATACGCAGTAAGATGTTTATATAAAAGAGGAGTTCATGTGTAAAATTGCCGATATAAAAACAGAAAGAAAATTTTTAAAATTCTCTTAAGAAGTAGAGGACTACATAAAACATTCCCAAGTGTTTGGATCAGGTTATCTAAACACTTGAAACCATTTAGTAATTGTTTTTATAAAAAAAAAACATAGAAGAGCATAGCGATGTAAGCTTTATAAGCGAAATTTCGAAAGCTAAATACCAATGTTGATCTACGTTCGCATTTATTCCGCCAGAAATGCATTACTAAATTAATTTAGGCGAGAAATCGTCTTTGTTTTCAGACATTTTCGAAATTCTCACATGCCCTGATCCAAGCACGGGCATCGACCAATCAGAGCACGAGTTTTTAATACGTCATTTCATATGATCCTTACCATCTTGTATTCTGTTGATTAGACCAGCCAAGCATTTCGAAGCTTCAACATTAGTTAGTCGATGACGACATTCCACAGTTACGTTAAGCAAGCGTGAATACAACTCTGGAGTACGAGGATGCACGATCTATAAGAAAATGAGCATTTTCCTCATGAAAATTAAATACAAGACGCCGTATTGGATAATATTTACCTTTTTGGGAACGTTGCAGAATGACTAATTGTGTGCGTTGCCACGGCGACGATGTCTAAACAACGAGTAGTAGAACTGAATACATGAAGCTATTCCTATTTAGGGAAATAAAAGATGTTTACTGTGTTTGCACAGGCTTATGGAAACAAAGGAGACATTTGGAAGAACTCGAGAGCAAATCAGTGGAAAACGAGGGTTAACATCTTCTCCAGAGTTCCCGCAAACGTCTCCGAGGTTTGCATTTAGCAAGTGCAAACATAGGCGGCCCAGAAATCTGTTTTACTGTTTAGGCTTTATATGCAATCAATTTAAATAGTAAATATATTCTTGATTCATATGCAATGTTTATCACGCAGGCTATCTCGCGCGACTTCCACGTTTGCATAGTTTGAACATTCTAATATTTTGACAAGGTTGGCAACTCTCAACATAAAATTACCGACCGTCAACACAACACATTCACAAAACTGTAAATATCTCATGAATACATAGCAAAACACGAAAAACAACTACATCTCGCAATTAACGAATAATTTTATGATATTTTTGCAGTTTTTTAGCATTCAAATGTATTTCTATGCATTTGAAAAACGTGAATGTTTTTAGGGTTTGTGGCAAATATTTTGCAAAACCCACTCATCTTGTGATTCGTCATATTTTTGAATACTCAAACGCAATGCAGATTGGTTGAATTTGTTTTCGCATACATTCAGAATGGCTGCAATTTTTTTCAATTGTTTTCACATAAATGTTTGCGGAAATCAAACACAGAAAAACAACACAGAAAATACATTAACGTTGTGATCTATCTTACATCCAACATGTTCAACACATCATGATCAAATGCTTCGTCGATTTTATCAAATTTTGCATCTACCAAAACTTCAAACACAATGGAGATATGTCATTACAGCAACTACAACAAGATATAGCTTCAATTACTTTAGTGATAATAAGAGAGTCACGTGTTTGTGGATGCAGATCGTCCAGGTTAGTAAAGTCCTGAGAAAGACTGTTGTTATTGATGTTGACTGACGTTTCGAGAACCTTAGTCAGTCAACATCCTTCTCAGGACTGTACTAACCTGGGCGACCTACATCCACAAACATGGAACGACATAACCGGGTTCAAACCATTTACTTTATTAAGAGAGTCATTGCAAACTTCAATCACAGGAAACCTTCCTCATGGAGAGTATTCTTACATTTTTGTGCAATTCTTTGATCAGTTCCGTTGAACTCCAATCTTGAACATATGTAATATACAAAATTCAAAACACGCAATAAAACTCACCGCTCAGACACCTTAGACGAAATTATCCGCAGCAATTTGGAAAATGTTTCAAGTACTGTCAAAGCGAAAACGAATTTCTCATCTTATGAAGAAAAAATACCAAAGGAGTCTCAAGCAAATATAATCAGCATTCGCCAAAACGACGATCACTATATGAACATACTTGCCAGTGAATTTGTGACGGCAAGTTTTAACACGCGAAGGAAGACAACGTCTTTGTAATAATCAAGAACGTTGAATGATTTCTTTAGAGAATCTAAAACACAAAATTTCGAAAACACTGTTTCATAATTGGCAGGCAAAATTACATACAATAAATGAACAAAAAAATGTTTTCTTGTACAATCACAGGCCACTGGAGAGAAGCGTCTTGCATGTAATTTTAAAAAGATGTAGGTAGTTTAGTTGAAAATTTGGGTCTTGCATTTTACAAGTGAAACTTATTTCTTAATGCAATGCTAAATGCTTCGACAATGTTTCGGCCATGATCGGAAAGCATCGTATATTTGCTGAGGTATTTTTGCAGTTCATGTTCTCTTTGGTACGAAAATTAGTGGGCAGAGTAAATCGTTTTGAAAGACAAACTGTCGACAAGTAGTTTTCAATCAACTTATTTTATGTTTCAATTGCTTTATTAAGGAGCTTTATTGAGGAACCAGTCACCATGGTCGTTTTTTTTTGTAAAGCCCGCTTGGTTACTAAATCATCACTTTCCTATAACTTTTTCGCCTAAGTCATATTTTTTCAATTTTGGGATTCTTGCCTAAAACTACTATTTTGACCTCTGGTGTGTTCTGTATTTACTGCCGGTGCAGAATACACCAGTGGGCAAAATCGACCAATAAAAAAACGACTCAATAAATGCTCAATAAAAAGTTTGGCTTTTTTAAAGTTATATTGACTCTTTTCTTGTTTTCTCAAAACTACCAACAATGACTTAAACATAAAAGTTAGTAACGCAAAGAAATTTTGAGCACCGTTATACCTCGGAATGATACTAGATGTTGATATCTATGTGTCGAAGGCCGTAAGCAAAACAGGTGGGGCTCGATTGACCCAACTTATAGAATTAAGCATACATTTTTAACTATATTCGGGTTTCGCAAGCATTTAAAATCATAGCAACATCGTCACCTTCAAGAATTCCAATCAAACAATCAATTAGCCAGCCGATGCTTGTTTCATGAACGGAGTTTTCATCTAAAAATTATACAGACACGCTACAACAACGTTGCATTAAGTAATACTAACGATTAAAAAACAAGAAAATAACATTCTTCACAGAGTAAACAAACCTTTACACAACTTTGTAAGATTGTCAACCAAACAGGGTAAAATACATTCAATATTTTCTTGTTCGGTACAAAATATGGTCAAAGTGTCTATAAGGTCTTTGTGGGATACACAGGAGCTTATGTGGACTTTGTTCATTCCATTCGGGATCGGCAAATCGTCTGTATCGAAACAAACAGTCATTATAGAAAATATAGGTCACGTGATCAAACGCATAGATGTCGCCATTCATAAATGGACAAAGTACCTATCGCAGAAAGTCTATCCACAAGCTTTCCTATGACATGACGACGAACCAAGAAAGAATATCGGGAAGAAAGATAAGCCAATGCTAGTTTAGTTTCATGCCTTAAAATACACGGACGACGCAGGTCGAAATCAAAGTGCACTTTTCAAAATAAATCGGAAATTGTTGAGCACAAATTAATCCACCACTCCAGCAACATGAGCCATTGACAAACCTCACGATTTTCTCGTCATCTTGAAGCATTAAAGCGAGCAAATGACCGAGGAACGACACCAACTGAAAAGCAAGAAAAAATAAACAAGAATAAGAAAGATACGATTTACAGAAATTTTTTGGTTTCTGATGTTCGAATGCGTTGAACCTTTTGTTGAACATAGTACGATTATACATGACGTCCCGAAAAAAACGGAACTCACATAAAGTAATTATGCAATCGCTAAATTTATTACGCACAATAACGCAACTAGCATTCAAAACTGTTCAATGAACTTGACAGTTCTGCGCCTGTGGAATTTAGCACGGTTTGTACAGTATTAGTTAAAGTAAAACAAGTTAAAAGTATTGTCATACACTGATTTTCATCTTAAAATTAATACGCAAAACCTTTGGAGAGGCAAAGCGACATTAACTGAGTTATGATCGTATTTTCCATAAGTTGCAACGAGCTTCGACAAGCGTACGACTAAATCTAAACATGCCGTACAAACAGCATCGCCGATTAATAATCTTATGCAAATTTCATTTTAATGCATACATAATCATTTGTGCATGTTCCGTTTTTGTTTTTGGAGGGGGGAGGACACGCTGTATTTAAGAATTGAGATGGGAAATTAAGACTCACAAAGAAATGGTCAAAAAATGGCATACAAATATTATGCAATAAAACACCATAAAAATAATGGTTAAATGACAACTAAACAACAAGCAGTGATGAACTAAAAATGGCGATAACCTAAAACACAAATACAATGGTCCACAAACTGCAACACCAATAATAATCTCTATTCATACAGCACAAATAATGTTCGAAAAAAAACTTTACAAATTGCCTTGAAAAGTGCAATTGACATGGTGGAAGAACAAAATGCCTAATTATTACTTAAATTGTACAATTTAATTTCCAATACCTCATCTTCGACCAGAATTCCACTGGCTGTCATGGCAACCAGGCCGGCTATTCCGGAGCTACGATGTAGAGGATTTTGGTTGACGAGCAACGAGAAGAACAATCCGAGAAGATTTTCTTTGAATTTCATCAGACAATTCAAAGAATCTGCAAACAAAACGATACAGAAACGCTAGCAGGCGTATCAATAGAGAAAATCAGGTGAAACCACAAGCTACAGCTGCAATTATATTTATGCTTTTGGTTGGTTGAACTGCAAGGCTTCTTTCAACTGTGTTATATTCAATCAATGAATCTCAAGAGTAGAGCAGAGTAGTGCAGAGTAAAGTAGAGCTGAGTAGAGCAGAGTAAACAGAGAAGGTGCAGAGTAGAGAGCAGAAAGTAGAGCAGAGTAGAGCAAAATAAAGTAGAGTAAAGTAGAGTAAAGTAGAGTTAAGTAGAGTAAAGTGTTAAGCAGAGAAGTAGAGCAGAGCAAAGCAGAGTAGAGAGAAGCAGAGCAAAGTAGCAGAGAGAGTAAAGTGAAAGAGAGCAGAGTAGAGCAGGAGTGAGGAGTAAAGAGGAAGCAGAGTAGAGTAGAGGAAGGAGGAGGAGTAGGAGAGTAGGAGGAAAGAGGAGCAGGACTGGAAACCAAGCATCGCATCCAAGATGAACTTTTGATGGCTGACCTTCAAAAAACCATAAGACAAAAGCAAGTTAGATTTGGTCTCGACAAAGGAGGTCTTATGCAAACGAGAACTTTTCCAAGCCATACGATTGGATGATAAATCAAACCTGTTTGACCATTTCAAACCACTCCAGAAAAATTGGAATAACTTCATCCAAAACTTTCCTGCAAATCACATCTTGATAAAAAGAGAGAAAGTGCTAGCAACGACAATTGCTGATGGAAAAGACTAACTTATTTTGCATTCAATGACGAAAAAACCCAACAAAATAAAGAACTGGTTCTCAGCCATGCCAAAGCCATTTGCATACAATTTTCACAACAAAATACGAATTTTATTCGTTTATTCAAGTGTTAATTCGCTTAAAATTTAGAAAGATTTTCAAGCACAGAAAACCACATACGACTAAAGACAAACACACTATTGCGAAGAAACATGGAGCTCGTGGACTTAACATGAAAACGAACCACGAAATGTTTAAAATGACAGTTTGTTTGACAGCATGTGCAGATCCTATCGAGACAAAAACATTTTTTGTATTCAAAAAAGACAAACGAGAAAAGTTGCACAAAATGTTGTGTGGAGGATAGCATCATCAGATGGATGAGCAAGGAGTATATTGAAATTCGGTGACGAATCTGACGTCATAAGAATTATTTTGCTTTATTATTGACCAAACGTAGGACCATATAAAATCCACTTTCGTTTTTTCAACAAATTAATATAAACGTGCTAGATTGAGTAAACATGCGTCGCGTTGCGTAAAATTTACAAAGATTCCCCTTTATTAACCACAATCTCACCTAATTCTCCACCTTAAAAGCAGCAGAAAGCTATGAACCGCAGGGGTTTTCATAGAGGAAATACGTGGCAAATTAGGTTTGAAAATTCTTTACACTGAAAAAGGGGGGTTGAAGACTTTTCACTTTTCCAAATAACTTACTTTTCGAATTTTAAGCTTTCGATATCGAAGCTTTTATCGATGTTTTTCGATACAGCCTTAACAGGCCCTTAGAGTAAGTAAAATATGAGATGAATACGATGAAAGCGAGAACAAAGTCAACATTTTGTAGGTACAAACAAGCGTAATCTTTAAGCCGCTCACCTGACGCCATCGAAGCATTCTGAAGTATACTCGCTGAAATTTTGAGTATCTTTTGATCCTGCTTCAAAAATTTCCTTTGATATCTAAGTCGAAAAAAAACCCTGAGACAATTTTTCAATTTTCGATATGTTCGCGACGCACTCTAAACCACATATAACAAAAATACGAACCAGAAAGCATCTTCGTTAAAATGTTGTTTAAAGTGCCACCATGATTTAGCTTAAAAAGTAATAGTTAGCATGTTAATGAGTAAAAAAATTATGTTTTTCATTACAGGAAACACAACAGTACCTTTTCGGCCAAAGCAATATTTCGCATAATACTCCGAATCGCCTCCAAGCAAGCTGCCTAATTAAAAAACAGAAAAATGTTAGATAACAGCTTTATATTGCAGGCAGGTTAAAAAAGAACTTCATACTCAAACCTCGACGGACTGTTCGGCTGCCATGAATATCTACATATAATCAACAGAAAAAGAGAACAACGCTATAACTCGAAGGATAGAAGGCTTGTTTATCACGTCACAAGCAGCCATGTTGGTTGAATTCAACACAGAATTTTGCAATTTGGCGTTGACAATTGCAATTTCAACCAACATGGATGAATTTTTTTTTGTTTTTCGATTCATGCGAGCCACCTATCACAGAATTTGACAGATGAAGACGTTGTTTCAATATCGTTGCCTTCAAAAAGCGCAGGAACACACACATCTTCAAGTTTAACGTGAAGACAATACATGATTTGACCGACAATGTTCAGGCCTCGAATAAAAAGTGATTTTTGAATACGTTTGCTTCGTTTCAAAGCACTGTGTAAATCAGGTTCGTACAAAGCTATAAGAATGAAATTTGAGCACTTTTCTATGACATTCAAGCTCATCTTTTAAAAAATTCGAAGACGAGGAACACCTCAAATTGCAAACAAAACACAACTAAAGTAAGAAATCATTAAAAACATCATTAACATGAAAGCAAAACAACTTTTCCCATAACAAATCTTCGGCCAAATGGTCTAAAAGAAACGTTCTTAGTAAGTTCGCATGATTTTGCAGCAAATTAAAGCAGTGTACACCACATTATTTGAACCACGTAATGTCAACTTCATTTATTTGCTAAGCCAAAATTGTGACTGTCCAATGGGTTTTATTCTTATAGCGTGTATTCCAACAGTCGATTGAGGGAGAACTATGGGAATGATGCCTAAGAAAGCTCTACGAGCCACCATATTTTTCTTAGAATGCCTGAATGTGCTTCAAATGTAGTAATCATGAGACGGACATAGCTCTCATGAAAAAAGACAAATTAGCAAACCGCTAAGGAATAGAATAGCCCGCACTACAGGTTTGGGGTACGCTCAAATTCGTCTTTTTCATACCAATAGGAAATCTCTTTACGATGATTTGAACAAGCTCGAAACAAACCAGCAAGTTTCTTGGATCCTGAAATTGACGGGACATAGTCGTTAAAATAATGAAAGCGTTCATAAAAAACAACGAAATTGCGATAAATTAGACCTTCTCTCCGTCCATGGCTTGAATGTAACCAAAAACAAAATCCGTCCCAAGTGTTTGGAGCTCTAGAAAATTAACACGAACGAGTCTCAAAATCAAGACAAACCAAACTTGGATGAAAATAATTAAAATCGAACTTAATAGAAAAGCCAAAACAAAGGTTTATTGAGTTGACCAAAGACTGGCTGAACTGGCTCATTGCACAAATCAAAGAAGTTTGCATGTTAATAAGATTTAAAAACATTATGGCGCGATAAAATACAGTAATTTTATTAATTTTATTTACCAGTCATTTTCTTTTCAAGCAGTACAGTAAATAACATGAAAACGTTATATCGATCTGCCGGTAATAATGACTAAAAAATTCACAGAAAAACATGGTTTGAATCACAGTACATGAGTTTTATTTAAAAAAATACATTGCGATAAAACAGAGGAACAAATGACATAAGCTAGAATAATTTGATAGGTTGTTAGTGAAAATGTTATGGCATTGCTACATTTAAGAAATGCGCGATTACTAGCTAGTGCAAACACGAAAAACATCTTTTGTTCTTTTATGAAATAACAATTATGCAACAAAAATAAATTGAAAACAAATAACATGCATTCATGAATGATTTGCAAATTGCCTTAATTGATTCAATTGATTGAGCTACTATGGTTAAGCTAAGATCGGTTTGCATTGGCTGATATAAACTCAGCTATGGACCAATCAGCGAAGGCGTTGTATTGCTGTTATTTTATAACTCCAAATGGCGCTCCCTTTCATGAATAAATATTTCACCCCTCTACTAAATAGCTAGATGGTAAATGTCATCGTTCGTAAGTACCTAGAATTTTCAGGCTTTTCAAAAATAAACAAATGGCAAATAACGATCTTATTCCATCATAGCAATTTTTGAAAAAGCCTTCATATTCTATTGATGAATACATGTATAGTACTAGTCAAAACGTTTAGAACAAAATTCCTACTTTTTACAGAGTGTGTCAATTATCTTGTGTTTTACAGAGTGTGTCAATTATCTTGTGTTTTACTAAGTTTCTATTTTGCAGAGGTAACTAATACACACTTTATTACCTGTACGTGAATCTCTTTGAAAATTGCTTGAACTATCCTAACAGCTAATCCCTCTTGAATCGCCTGATAGCTTACCTAATTAAACATACATGAATAATATTTGGCACATACAGAAATGAGAAATCGGATGTTATCATCATATCAATCCCGAAGTACTATATAAAGTATTAATTAATCCCAAAGTACTGTGCTGCATCCCACAATTATCATAACACAAAAAACCGTTATGTTACAAGCGCAGAGAAAGTTGCAAACAATCAAAACAAACAAACAAACAACATTTGTATACCGGCCAGTATTAATCCCCGCCAGGGGGGTTGACCGGTCCATGATATTTTCCACGCCAAACGTCTCCATCTCTCGCCATATCTCTCGTTATACCCATCGCCTTCATATCACTGTTCACAGCATCCATCCATCTCTTTCTCGGTCTACCTCGCTTGCGGACTCCATCAACATTCATATGCAACGTTCTACGAATTTCAGCACTTTCTTCCCTCCTTTCCACATGCCCAAACCACCTTAAACGCTGGCGCCTTACCCAATTCTCGATACACTCAACACCAACTCTTTCTCTAATCTCTTCACTTCGAATCCTATCCATCAACGTTACATCACACATCATCCTAAGCATTCTCCTTTCCGTCGACGCCAATCTGCTCCGCTCTGCTTTCGGCGCCCACACTCTGCTCTAACACATGCCATTATTCTCCTTCTGCTTCAACGAAGTCGACTTTCCGCACAACATTCCTGACAACTCTCTCCACTACGCTGCTTGAACTCTGTTCCTCACCGCTTGCTCGCACCTCCACCATCATTTAACATATCGCCCAGATATTTAAACTCCGATACACCTTCCAAACTCACGTCACCCAGTTCAAACCGTTCAATCGCGACTCGCCCACCACTTCGACACGTCCGCACTCAAAATCAGTTACTCTTGTCAATGCACCACGGACACCTGAACATCTTCCATGAACCCACTTACTGCATTTCCACATTATCAATTCACCCAACTCTTTTCCCACACACACCACATGGCCATTTATCAATGTCCTTCACCTCCACCTGCCTCAAGCATCTCATGCCCTTCGTCTTTGCCTCATTCACTTTCAGTCCCTTGACTTCTATTGCCGTTTTCCATTCTCGGTACCATTCCATGACTTTCTGCTTCGACTCCGCCACCAAGACAATGTTATCTGCATACAACAAACACCAGCATCCTTCTTTTCTTCTCACTTCCTCTGTCAGTACATCCATCACACAAGCAAACAGTAACAGTAAGTTGCAAACAATGACAGATGAAAAGCGCGAAAGAAAAAAACTTCACAAAGAAACTGTAATTTTGTTAAAAAAAACCTTTTTTTCTTGGTTACCAGCTCATATTACTTTACATGGAAACATTAACTTTGATAACAGCATTTTATACTGTCATTGCTTGCTTTTAAATGTTACAATCTGCAGCCCGCAGTAAGAATTAAATGTGCCACATGAAAGGCAAAGGCAAATAAAATGCATTGCAATAAGATAACAAAAATGCATGATCCGGTTTAAATATTCAGCTTCACACAGATACAATACAACATACCAAAGCCGATAAACCAGAAAAGACGTGAGGAACCACAGAGAAATGATCCTTCAGACGATCACAAAAAAATTCCACCAGAACAGTTACTAATAAACAAGAGCAATAACAGTTGTGATTTTGGAAGAAGTATTTTATAACCAGATAAATTCCATGTAACTTGAGGCAAACCATTCAGAAACTCAAGTTTATCAATTATTTATTTGTTTATGTAACTTATGCATATTTAAACACTGGTTTAGGGACCAGATTGTTTGTGTGAACAAAATCCTACAGTAGTCTGTGACCTTGTGAATATGAATGTTCATAATAGCAAAATGTGGATAAGAGTAAAGTGTGCTTAGTCACTAAATTATCATAAGCATACCTTATTTCTTGAGGAGCTCATTGGTTACAAGCCTACAAAGCAACAAGGACAGCAGTTGTGTTCCCTTGCATCGTTTATCTGTTTCTTGATTGGTAAGATAGGGTCTGAAATTGAACAACAATTCAAACATCTCACATCTTACTACAGCCATCAATACATCTAAAAGAAAGTTGGGCAATTCTCTTACACAAATAAATGAAAGAAACATATAGAATGTAAATGATGATTGAAAAAATCGAAAAGTAGTTAATGCAGCATTAAAACACAGCACATTACATTTAATTTTACATTTGTTAAAGGAAAAAATGAGAGTTCAACTGACAAGCTTGTTTTATTCCTGATAGTTTGGGTGGTTGAATCACATATTAAAATGAAATGTAGAACAATTGCTCTTTTCAACCCATTCAACACATTAATAAGTGTGAAGTTAGTGTTTGCTAGAAAAGGAAATCAATTTATTCTGTATAGTAATTGACCTTTATGAAAAAAATGCCTCAATAAATTATATGATTACATTCATTTTCATACAAAGCAAGATTTTATATGATATTTATTTTCCAACTACAGTTATCAACAATAATAAATGTCTTTTAATTTGATGGTGACCAATGTGAAGAAACTTAGTTAATGGTTAATAATATCATGCTTCCAGATAAATGATCAAATAATCATGCAAATCTATCACATCACATGTATCAAGTGCAAGTCACTAAATCAGCAAAGTTGAGAGAAGATAAACTTAAACAAAATGGCCATTTAGTTATGTTCTGGTACGTCATCAGTGATATATAGTTCTAGCACTTTACACCTTTCTCTACGCTTAGAATTTTCTGGGAACGTAACAAAATTGCAATTACTTAAGTCTAAATGTGCAAAGTCACGTACATTATGACCCCTGACAATATCTTGTCAGCCTTGCTAACTGTAAGAGTTAGATTAATCTTTGAATAAGAGATAACAAATTAAGTTCTAACTGATAAAATGAACTTAATAAACATTCAAACAAACGCATAAATTAGTCAAGTAGTTCTCACTTATACAGTTATACTTTATACTGTTTACCACTAGTCATGTTTTTAATGTGTTATAAATTGACAATATGCTTGTTGATTGCTTATGCATGAGACACTGTGTAGCAAAACTTTATTAACATCTCGTAGAAATGTGCTCAACAAACATAAAAATATATTACAATAGATATTTTTGAAACAGTGAACATTAATAATTACTGTGTACTTTCTCTTTCAGAGTCATTTGTCACCCACTGGCCACTATACTGGGCTATTGTTACAGCATAGAATAGAATATATAGAAGGGCAACTCGCGTCGGTAACCTTTGATGTAAGCGTGGCGCGCAGTTTGTTTCGCGCATACCGGAAATGTGACGGCCGCCATTACTCTGGCCAGTAAAGTGTACAACATTTACTATGAAAATATATGGAGTGGAAGCCGTAAAGTGGGTTAAAATGTAGATTTTTTGAGCTGTTGGCTGTTTTTGGCATCTTTTTGAAAGAAATTGAAATAAAAAGGCAAGTATTTTGTATATATCATGTAACAAATGCATTTATTTAATATATTTATAGCGAAATTTAGTCGTAAAGGTTGAACAGGTTCTGAGGTTCACAAGTCCTGAGGACTTAAATGAACTTGGATGTATTACATGTTAAATATATTATTGTGATATAAAAAGCTTTTGTTCTCAATTTAGTTTTATAAAGGACAAAAAATTATATGCACAAAGCCCTCAAAGGTGTGTGACTTTAATGTGCTTTCTGTCTTTCTTTTTAGTTGTTGCGAATATGCGGTTCGCAAATTTTATGGCGTAATAAATGCGCATTCTTACAAAAAGTTTCTGCAAGAACTCAAATGGGAATTCCGTACAGCAATCAAATTCCTTTGGTGTGGACTTGACGGTGTCTAATATACTTCGACCAACACCTTCGCTCTTTGTGTAGACAGAAAACGTCTTAATAAATGTGTCTTCAAGTTTAATGATGTATTCAAGATAAGGAGAAGATGGTGATTGTAGTCCTCCTAAATCAGATTTCTTTTCATTGAATGCTTTAAATTGGCAGAATAACTTTCTGCTATCATCCAGTTCTGTAGATGAAAGAGCATTGGTGCATTTCAGACAAGAGTGGAGTTTGAAACTCTTCATTAGAAAAAAACCAGACACATATGCAATGGCATTTTCCCTCATTATGTTAGTAACAACATTTGGCTCCTTGTAGTTAGTAGGACCAATTGCTAAAATTTGTGGTTGCAGAGGTGGAAAGACTTGAACCGTTTTCTTCTGGCTGACTTTATTCTTTGCAACATTTTTGGAATACTCAACCAGCATAGAATCAAGGTCGTTGTCACAATTTCCAGATGAACAGGTTAGAAGGGAACTGAAAAAAAGCTTTCTAAATGCTTGCATAAATTGGGTTGGTGTGGGGTTATCACTATTGCCTCCCTGGCGACGAATAGTACCAAAAACGGAAAATGTACAACTTTATAATCTCGAATCAAAAAGTTGCAGTAGAGACACACACGTGAGAAAGATCCACAGCAAACCCAATATACAATGCTTTGGGCAATTTGAGAATTGAATAACATTGGAAACTTATTTTGATAAAGACATTTCTAAGTGAAAAATATGTACAAAATAACAGCAATATATTATATATCGTATTTTCTTAATGGGTACAAGGCTAAAAACATGTCTTTGTCATTAAAGATTTACATGGTGCACAAAAATCTTTAACACAAAACAATTTAAATTTAGAATGTGTGCATTTCATGCAATAGAATATACAGAATAAAATACAGCAACTCAGTACACATATTTGCATTTAAAAAATTTAATGACAACTTTATTCAGAGATGGATATAAGAGAGGGGTGTGCAGCCCTCCTAGCTTAAGCTAGATGGGGGTGCAGAAGAAATGCTAATTTCTCTATAAATATTGGTATACCAAACAATTAAGCTGAAGAAATTGTGATCAATGTTAAACAGAGCACCCTTACAAAAACCACCCAATTATAATAAAAACGTAATAGAATTTAACAAACAAAGTTTAACATGCTACTGCAACAAGTAGCCACTAAAATCTAATCCAACATAACACAAGACACTTGCAACATAATCCTCACTTGAGAACTGAATGCCAAAATAACAACTAGAAAAAAATATCAGAAAATCAATCATAACTATTGATAATAAATTTAATAGAGCACAAATCACTGTAAGGCAAAATTTATAAATAAGGCAAACAGAGTGTATACCTCACTAAAACTACATTTGGTATTAAAAATGCCCAACTATTAACATATTAACATTTCACTCATGCTTAAAATGATAAACAAACCCTCCATGGTTTGAAACTGAATGTTGCAAATTATTATCAGTTATAATTCACACACAACCACCATGAATCATTATTGGATTACTTGGTTAGCTGGTTGATTAACTTTATTTATAGTTTAGCAAGTTGGCAAGTTGCAACCTGAAATATTACAGCGTTGGTACAAGTAAAACTCTGACAAGTTTGTGTTTTATAATAACACCTCAAAAGTTTGAAATTTATAATTCAGAATGGACGAAAACGCAAGAGATTTTACTTCTGGACTTCTATTCACCTAACCTACTGACAACTCTATAGCAGTAAAATAAACACCCTGCATTGAAACATGTAATTTTTACCAATAAAAACCTTTACGGACTTGCGAGCAATTAAATAATGGTCTCTCACCTTATTTCTTTCACGTTTTGTCACAAAATTCCATGATCTTCCAAAACAGTTTGCGTTTTAGGCGATTATTATCCCAAAATCGCACTTTTCCAATATTATTTTATAGTACGCCAGCGTCAAGTTACTGGCCAGAGTAATGGCGGACCTAACGCATGCGCACAGAAAATATGCCACGCGTTTCACCTGCGAGTTGCCCTTCTATATATTCTCTATTCTATGGTTACAGTTTGACTTTGCATCAAATGTACACGTCAGCAATCCTTTGTTGTTCATGATTATAATGCAAACAAAAGAACAATTATGGTGATGTCAAATTTTATTTCCATAATTTCAATGTTGGGTGTATACCCAACTAAATGATATTACTCAATACTCTTTTTTTGGTGCTATAACCTGCATGTATTTTTTTCTTCAGCATAATTCATTTGTATTTGTTCATCAATATCCCCACCTATTGCTTGATGGCTACGGTTGGATATTGTGCTGCTCATGTGATGCAAATAGAAAGCAATTTGTTGAAGCCCTACCTAATAATATACAATTAGATCCTCAAAAAGGTATGTAAAATAGATGTTACTGAAATGAAATTATTAAAACAGGCCAAACAACATTTTTATACTTGTCAGATATACCATATCCCAGTTGCATACACATATTAGCAATGGAAAAATATCTGGTTGTGTATGATAGAAAGTTTGGTATTGAAGCCAAAGATTTTATTGAAAAAAGTAAGTGTTGTGTGTTACTCTTTCAGGATATAAGGTGTCTGAACAGCTTCACCAAATTTTGACTTACACTTACATACTATTTGTTTGAAGACCCTTGTCAAAGATGTGAGAACTTGTTACATATTAATCTGACATTGCATGAAGTGAATGTCTCAAATTTGTATTTGGCTTATTTTTTCAATGTAAAGTTCTTCATGTTGTATGGGAGGAAATGTCTTCATCCTTAAATATCAGTTTATTGTACATTTCAAACCCTTGTGAAGTCATCCTTCTGTGTTTTTACAAGACCCTTGTGAGACATTGTTCTTATTACATGTGGACGTTAACTAGCATAGCTTTACAAGCAAAAATATTGTTAAAACTTGTGAATGATTATTCACACAACATATTTATCTCATCCAATTTCTTTTATGAATGCAGAATCCACATCCATGATGCAGTCTGTTTTCAGTGATCATTCCTACCATGAGATGCGACCTGAAGAAGTATATTTTGTTATGTGAAAATAACTTTTTTGTACAAATACACGTATAGTTTCTCAACCTTCTAATACCCCACAATTTGTTACCATACATCCTGTGCTTAAGTTCAGGAGCTTCTATAAAGCTATTAGGGTGATAGCCAACAGGGCAAATTGAATTTATTTATGACTATTGAGGTATACACATTCATACTCAAATACATACATAGCCATATACCTACAGTACATACATTAAGTAGTATAAACTAAATGTATGATAAAAATAGTAAAGTCATATTCACCATTAGCTTTACGTGCCTGATATATATATTAAGCACTTTCTAAGGATTTTGTGAAGTCATAATTAATCATAATTATTAATCTGCATACACATACACACACATAATACAACCTTAAGATAAATGATTTTACATATTTTAGGACTTGTTTAGTGCAGTGTGCAGGGAGTTTCAGTGGATTGCTGTAAAACCAGTGAATAGTCCATGGGGGGTTTGTACTTTTGTGTATTCAAAAGTAATGCCGCCCCAGCCCGAGTTAAAATGTTGCAGCTATTCGTCATATCATTGCATTCATGTGACAACCCTTGCAAAAGCCATGCAAATCGTTGAAGAGGATGAAATGGATTCTCCATTGGCACTTTTTAAGTGTTCCTTTGGAATTACAACAGAGATGCGAGACTATTTTGAATTGGCTACACATAGCAAAGAAAAGGTTTCTTTATTTGAAACAGGTATGCAAGATAATCTGCAATGGTGAACATCCTTTTAGCTTTACATATACTATTTCCTTTATCGGTATGGTATTTAGCACTTTCTAGCATTTTGTAAATATTACGATTTAATTATTTTAGGCAATGAGAATGATGCAAGCGATTTTACTGATCTTCCTGAAAAAAATGGTCATAAAATTTTGGCGCCATCTGAAAGTGGTATTTGTTCTTGTGGTGCAGAGTGGGATAAACGTTCTATTCAAGATGAATGGTTGTACGTAGACGTGTGTTCAGTTGCGTACTTATATTCAATCCATGATGTGAAGGGTAAGTTCTGATTTGTTATAGGTTACGCTTTGCTTCATAATTATTTGAATTAAATAAATTATTTAGTGTATTGTAGACCTTGCTCCTCTTGTGCTACGAAAAAGCATTATGATGGCATTGAAAACAGGATTGTATGGTTTGGATCATATGCAATATCTCATGCCGTTCTAAAAGATTACATTCGGCTTTTCATAACGTCGAGGTACTTTTTTAATGAAAATTTGCCGAAGCATTAGTAGCTACGTTTGTCCATTATTTAATTTTCTCGCCCTATCTCTTTTGAATGTTTTTTCTTTTTTATTCTTGTTCAGTTTACCTATGTACAAATATTATGTTGCGTATGTACAAAGGCAAGTGTCTTCGGGTAATTTTAATTTCCCAAAGGAAATAACTTACGCCAAGTTTCGTCTCGCTATCATTGCCATGATACGGTAAGCATCATTTCATTTTCAGCTTTAAAATATGAATATTCCATTGAGATAGTGATCGCTTGTTTTATTAAGTTATTGAATTTTCTCTTATTAAGGTTGCTTAATATTGATTTTGACAATGGGTTTTTTTGTGAATTATTTGGAAGAATTCCCCAAAAGGTGGTGATGGATGGAACAACTCTTGGAATACAGAAAACTTTCTTACCAAATAATTTAAGAGAGTCTGATACTGGATTGCTAGATGGAAGATAAGTATTTTTGAAGTTTATCTGTAATATATAGTATATACAGGTCTGCTAATTAGTAAAATTAGTAAATACGAGTGTTCATCTACGTATCAGAAAGCATTTTATGCATGATGGTGACTTCTCTCACTTTGTTTTTGTACACAGCTTATAGTTATAAAAATAACAACGTGTCCAATACTAGGTTTGAAATGCGCAATTTCATCAACAGGAGAAATGTGCGAGCTTTATTGAAGAAGTACAGTGATTCAAAGCTAAGTTGGGACGAATTTCAAGAATTAAAATCTGAAGTAAGAAGAATTTATTACCTCACGAGTACAAAATTTTGTATGACCACTCCAGAGCTCATTTTATACTATAATTTCTCGTATTTATAGATATCTTCAAAGGGGCTTAGGACTCTACTTGAATGGTTAGAGAAACAAGGATTTATCACTAGTTGTCCAAACTCGTGCAGAAGGTTATTGGCAGCATTGGCTTCTGACAAACCAGTATGCGCAATTGTGCCCCCCAAAGAAGAAGTTTTGGACCTCTTGATAAGGATGTCTGATGGAGCCAATCCAAAGACAATCCTTCGACTGATTTAAAACTTCTTCATGAAGAAGTGCCCTACTGTTTAACGTCATTGAGACTAGCGAAGAAATTCCAATTACTATTCAACCGCTGCTAAAGGAATTGGTACAAAAGGCGATAAGTCCGTTCGAGGTCAAGGACGGTCAGTGGCGTTTGCCACACAACTTACCTGCGGTGTCTCAAAATTCGTCCCATGGATATCTACCTTGTCTGCCAGAACTGGTTCAACGAGGGAATTATGTTCTTGACAATAGGAAGACACAGCAGGGAGATTGTGCCAAAGTCACTAGACCCAAGAAGAAGCATGGCACTTTGATCCCTGGAATATTTTGTATTCTTTGTCCCCACAGTATTTACATGATGAACAGCTCCAACGAAAATTTGTTTTACTATTGCAGTGACATTGCGCCTTCGTTTTTTTTCCAGGTATATGTTATGGATTCGAAATAATGAGGGATCACGAATCACCAAATATCCCATTTACCATTTTACGAACACGTTTTCCTGATGGTAAGTTACGTATGTGTGTACCTTTTATGGTGCTACAAACAGAGTATTATCAGTGAATCGGACAGATTGCGTGACGGTTTAGTCGCCTGACAGAGATGTAACATAACCGAATGTGCCTGATGATATGCTTATGTATTTTTATTTCTTTAGCGCCAGAGTTGGTCATTTACGATAATGCCTGCAGATTGCACGAGTATTGTTTGAACCGAGATTCAGCATTTTTAAGAAAACAAAATTTGTTGTTGATAAGTTTCATTGGAAAAATCATTCAGGTAAACTGCCATATGCTTCCTATTTTACTTGAAGCGAACTTATTGATCCAAAAATGGCCGTTTTTATGTTTTCACAAAATTTGTTGATTTATAACTGTCCTTTATGTGTAGGATGCTGCGAAGGATATAACATGAAATTGTACCCCATGCTCAATATGTACAATAGCCAAGCTGCTGAACAGTGCAATTCGTGTATTAAGCCTCTTGCCTCCATGGTTTCTTACATGGAATACGATAACTTTTTTCTTTTCACAAAACTCCATATTTGGCACAGGAATATGTTACGCATTGTTAAATACAATCCTGAGAGAGAAATAGCCTACAAAGACTATTTTCTCACTCTTAGTCGCGTTATTCATTAGTAACGCGTTATAGTTTCGTTTTTCGAAAAATTTAAACTTGTTTTTATGAATAGTTTTATCTGTACAAAATGTTACTTCATAGTTACCCATATAGTCTCTGCAAAAGTAACAATTATATGTAACGTCGTTATTTGTAAAAAAATTATTTACATCGCTTGTTATAAATATAAGAATGTTATTCATATGCACTAGCTTTAAACTTAAATTCTGCTTCATTACAAATTGCTTTGCTAAATGGCAAAGCTTCGAATCAGTTTTTTAAGGTATGGTCTTTTACTATTTACATGGATATCGACAAGTAATCCAGGACCAACTTCTCCTATCAAAACAACACTATCTTTATATGAACAGAGTAAACAAAGTGATTAAGAATCATGATATCTTTTCTCAACTTTACCCCCTCTGTTATTCTTCTCGCAAATTCTGTCACGAATATGCCACAATCATAACCATTTGCTTGTTGCATCACCTGTCGTCAATAGTTAAGTTATCCCTTTGTGACAATTTAAGCGTGATCTGTTGCCATTGTAAATGATAAGTACTTACGTCGGCATATATAGGTTGGGAAATTTGAGCAATGTCTTCTGGCCATCTTTGCTCTTGCCTCACATGCTGAAAATATCTTTTCACAAGAAAAATGATTTGTGTAGACGTGCTAGAAACATTCACTTTGTCAACATGTTAGATACATGATACACTTCATTCTTCAAGTAAATTGTTATGTACGTCATATACCTTCGTATACTGGATGCAACTTCACTTTTTTGCCACCCCATACTGCATAACACATAGAGTTTGCCTGCTCTAATATTGTATGCAATGAGCCACCAATGCAGCCTATATTTTTTAAATGAACATGGAGTTGGCTCATGTTGGCCTTTGCATCATGAAACAGTAAAAATTTAGTGCTTCCACCCTTACATGTCACATATTGGCACTAGCACACATTCATATTTATTCATTTCTTCAGGTGTGAACATCCCCACTCTTGAAATGAAACATCCTGATAATCTCAGCGGTCTTTCTCCTCTAAAAAGTAGAAAAATACAGCGATGTTTATTTACACGATTTATGAGTAGTTTGATAATGTTGAAAGTTGTGAATATTTTACCAAAATTTGCTACTTAAAATACGTACAGAGGTCCATCTATTAACAGTTTCTGTTGAAAAAAATTGCTAAATGCGAAATATTTTGCATTTCTTTTTTCTGCTATTCTCTCATTTTCTCCATTCCAAGTTCTCCTAGAGAAAAAATAAAAAAATACAAACATCTTAATATACGTATGGCACAAAAGTTTAGAATCACTCAGATTTTTATTTGGCAAGAAATGTTGGGAAAAAAACTGTAATTTAAACTTTTATGCTGCGTTGGGTGTCGAGTTTGTCGTTTTTCCCATTTTGGCTCCAAGAATGCAAACAGGTCCTTCTTTATTTTACAAAGAGTAAAAGCCACACTGCCTACTCCTTGCATAGCTTGGCAAACACACGGTAGATATATTTGAGAAACCTCGTACTTAGGACACCACACCTCCAACGATGCACTAAGTTCCCCAGCAATACACATGAAGTGCGTATCTTTCAAGTCAACATCTATGAAAAAGTTAATTGAGCTTTTATCAGAAAGGCATGTTGTATGAAAATTAAGCTTATGATCACTTTATTCAATTTAAAACCGTAGAATTAAATGGTGTGTACGGCGATTAATTAGGTTATTCGATAATACCTTCTTCCAGGAAATTATGAATTTCAGACACAATTTTCTTGCCTGCGGTTTCCGTATTCGTTTGCCTGGTGCGCTATAATGAAAATCAAATCTCAGTTCATTAGAATTATTAAGGATAAATCTATATGTGAAATAACGTATTATTAAGTAAATTTTTTAGGTAGAGCAAAAGTCACCTCTAGTGCTAAATGATGTTGATGGGAAATTCCGTACAGGAAGGCATCAAGTTTCAACCTGTCAGGATCCGTACTAAGCGCCTCAAAGATATTTCCTGGCTCACTGGCATCATAGCCTTGAGGCACACCAATCGCTTCCATCTTACTCGATCTATAAAATAAATACGTAATCACAAGTAAAATGTTTTAAAAATAATTAAGTATAAACTTTAAATGTGAACCTTAATGCATGAGTTACAGGTTGATGATGACTTTTGGCGGATTGCAACAATTCCTGAGAAATTTCACAATTGTAGCTCATTTTTGCCATCCTGAATCCAGAAACTATACCACATATTTCCCCTAAAAGATCCACTGTCGTATAAAACACTTTGCAAAAGTCTTCCAGAGAAGTAAAATTACTATATTAATTGCGTATTGTTTATCTTGATACATATAGATCTTAACTTTCGTCATGTGAAAACTCAAATTTACCTTTTCATACATATCTTTGATATTTAGGTCTGCGCTTTCCGTCTAAATTCAGAAATTGCACATAAGATTTGATGGTGAAGAAAAAGATATCTAAATATTAATCTCGTTCCTTTTCTTGCATCATGAAATGTTCCTCTGGTCCCATTTCGTCTTCTTCGTTTCCTTCTTCTTTAAGATATTTCTTTGTGTTGTGCTCGTAGTCCATATCTTCATCTTGAATTTCTTCTTCGTCGATATCTTCATGCTTCTTTTCTTGTTTGAACTCGTCTGCTTTCTCCTCGTTTATTTCCTCTATTTCAGTTTCTTTTTCCATGTCCTGGTACTCTTCTTCGATGTTTTCTTCATTAAACTGTACACATCAATTTGTTAATAGGATGTGTAATAATCACATAAAGTGTGGAGAACGTATTGTAAAAATACAATTCTTTTTTTACATTTTTTACATTTGATTATTCAAAGTATTATCTTACGTCTGTAATGTAATTCCAATAGGAAAGGACGATTTCGGTTAGTTCTGCCTTGTTGAGAACTTTCCTGAAAATTTTCTTATCGTTGTTGCCATCTGGAAGAATTGCAATCAATTTTAAACAAGGTTTAGAAAACATAAATAAATAGACATAAAATAAAGACATAAATAAATCATTAATTAAACCTAGTGGAATCTCTTTTCTTGCTGATGGTGAACAAAACGGTATGTGTAACGGCCAAAAAGATGGTTGTTCTGCTTTGGACCAAAAATTTTTAATTCGGGCTACAGGCCATTTGTTTCCTCCCTTAGACCCTTTAGCAGTATAGAAATATTTGTCTCTGCTTATGTTTTACAAACATGAAACTTATTTAAAAATGAAACATGTTTGTGCCTGAAAATGCTGATGAAGGAAGAACCATATTAAGCACGAGGTTTCTGAGTTCTTCACACGACCATTTTCCTCTTCTTATTTCATCAAAAGCTTCAGGGTCGATTAAATCAGTTCGAACTCTTTTTGACTTCAATGCGTTTTCATTGTTTGCTATATAGATATTTTAAACTTCACAATTGTATATGTCAAATGATCATATATATATAACAGTGATGCTTATTTTTAATATCAGAGAATTAAAAAAGCAGTAACAGTATTCACCAGATGACGTTGTTGAAGACCCCAAATCATTTTCAATATATTTGCATACTATGTGGCTGGCAACGTCCAACAAATCTTCGCGCAATCCAGGACTTCCTACAACACAGAATGGGTTTATTTCAATACAGTTAAACATATGCGTGTTCAAGTAGTGAACTCAAAAATCAATAACCTGCTGTTCGAACATTTCCGTGCCCATCCAAATATAATAAAACAAGAGGACCGATTCAATTAGTCTGGGACACTTGATCAATCTAAAATCATGAAATTACATGAAATATTATCAAAAATACAAAATAAAAAATACAAAAGCAAACTTCGCGCTTTACCAGACGCTTTCTCATTTTGTATGCATTCAAACTTTCATTTTTGCTGATTAACTCTTTCCTCTAAACGAATTATTATGTGACATAAACTTTATGTCATAAAGAACGAATCATTATTATTGAAATATTTATCAACATAACAGGAAAGAGATTATATTATATACCGGTCTCTGACTCTTTTTCACACGTGTCTCTCCCCGCGAATTTGTCTTCATTGTATTTTTCAAAGTTATAGAAGTATTCCTAATTGTTGAGTTCGAGTTACTCGCCATATCTCTTTCTTAGTATATTGTATACCTTCGGTAACAACCACGAGTGAACTTAATGATCGAACTGATTTTTATTATTTTACAGAGCAGTATTTATACTCTTTATTACAAACAACAAATATTATTATTGGTCAGAGTAGTTCCTCTGTTTAAGCTATATATGGTACATAAGGAAATTTAATTAACGTCAATAACTGTTTCTTGGCTTTTAGCCGTGTGGGAAAGGATACATTGATATACTGGCATACTTTATATTTCTACCACATTTTTCTAAACACTTTAACACTGTTAGCCTTCTCATCACTCGTTTAAACTCAAACTAACAAGATCTCTGTAATAAAACGTTTTTACGACCATGGTTATATATGCCGAAAACTGGCATACTTTATATTTCTACCACATTCTTCTAAACACTTTAACACTGTTAGCATTCTTATCACTCGTTTAAACGTAAACTAACATTGTCTCTCTAATAAAACTTTTTAACGACCATGGTTATATATGCCGAAAACTGGCATACTTTATATTTCTACCACATTTTTCTAAACACTTTAACACTGTTAGCCTTCTCATCACTCTTTTAAACTCAAACTAACAAGATCTCTGTAATAAAACATTTTTACGACCATGGTTATATATGCCGAAAACTGGCATACTTTATATTTCTACCACATTTTTCTAAACACTTTAACACTGTTAGCATTCTTATCACTCGTTTAAACTTAAACTAACATTGTCTCTCTAATAAAACTTTTTTACGACCATGGTTATATATGCCGAAAACTGGCATACTTTATATTTCTACCACATTTTTCTAAACACTTTAACACTGTTAGCCTTCTCATCACTCGTTTAAACTCAAACTAACAAGATCTCTGTAATAAAACGTTTTTACGACCATGGTTATATATGCCGAAAACTGGCATACTTTATATTTCTACCACATTCTTCTAAACACTTTAACACTGTTAGCCTTCTCATCAATCTTTTAAACTCAAACTAAAAAGATCTCTGTAATAAAACATTTTTACGACCATGGTTATATATGCCGAAAACTGGCATACTTTATATTTCTACCACATTTTTCTAAACACTTTAACACTGTTAGCATTCTTATCACTCGTTTAAACTCAAACTAACATTGTCTCTAATAAAACTTTTACGACCATGGTTATATATGCCGAAAACTGGCATACTTTATATTTCTACCACATTTTTCTAAACACTTTAACACTGTTAGCCTTCTCATCACTCGTTTAAACTCAAACTAACAAGATCTCTGTAATAAAACGTTTTACGACCATGGTTATATATGCCGAAAACTGGCATACTTTATATTTCTACCAGATTCTTCTAAACACTTTAACACTGTTAGCCTTCTCATCACTCTTTTAAACTCAAACTAAAAAGATCTCTGTAATAAAACATTTTTACGACCATGGTTATATATGCCGAAAACTGGCATACTTTATATTTCTACCACATTTTTCTAAACACTTTAACACTGTTAGCATTCTTATCACTCGTTTAAACTTAAACTAACATTCTCTCTAATAAAACTTTTTACGACCATGGTTATATATGCCGAAAACTGGCATACTTTATATTTCTACCACATTTTTCTAAACACTTTAACACTGTTAGCCTTCTCATCACTCGTTTAAACTCAAATTAATAAGATCTCTGTAATAAAACGTTTTTACGACCATGGTTATATATGCCGAAAACTGGCATACTTTATATTTCTACCACATTTTTCTAAACACTTTAACACTGTTAGCCTTCTCATCACTCGTTTAAACTCAAACTAACAAGATCTCTGTAATAAAACTTTTTTACGACCATGGTTATATATGCCGAAAACTGGCATACTTAATATTTCTACCACATTTTTCTAAACACTTTAACACTGTTAGCATTCTTATCACTCGTTTAAACTTAAACTATTAATGTCTCTCTAATAAAACTTTTTTACCACCATGGTTATATATTATTGTAGTAAGTACACAAAACGCCACTTTTGTCATGTGTCACCAATGCGCAATATCTAGCAAGGAGTCTTTTCTACTGATTAGTCCAGTTGTCGTTAGGTCAGTGGTAGGCACGTTTTTGGTCAGCGGAGACCCTCATTTTGATGGTTGTATTTGTGGTTGTATATGCCAGAAAATGGATGCGATACATATATCGTTAATCGACCATTATATGAAAGAAGAATAGACCACTTTGGCGGTTTTATTTGAATAAAAAACACGTGCTCGCCCGCAAGTGAAAAACTCGGACAAACATGGCGGAAGTCATAACAATGACTAATTTGCTATATGAAATAGAAATATTTTTCGCTCTCTTGCAAATGTAGCGACGAATCAAACTTAGTCATAGTTGATGTGCGTCAACGGATATACGATGTGAGTAAGCACAACAACGCGCTACAAGCTAACCACACAAGCCCGACCACAAAGCATGAAAGCATTATAACGCGCTTAGCAAGAACTAAGTCATCCCACTATTACGTGCAGGATATGACGGAGAACACTCCCTTTAGCTACTATATAAATGCACGATAAAATATAGAATAGGACAAGAGATGAATAGAGCATAGCAAAATTCAATGTAAACTCGTATGATTAAATATAATGCAATAATAATAACGATACGTGGCGGAGTAATTTTATAACAATGGTTACGACGAAGAGGTGCGCTTGGGGAACCTGCAAAAGCGATTCGCGGTATCCTGATAGTTTAAAACGAGACGCAAGTAGAAGCAAAGTATTTTTTTTACATTTTCCTGGGGAGAAATACCATAGCGACAAGCGAGAGCGCTGGATTCGTGCGTGTCATCGAGGTGACAGATTTGTGTGTACGAAAGACAGTTATATTTGCAGTCTTCATTTTGTGGGAGAAAATGGTCCTACTGTAGATAACCCAGACCCTATTTCAGCGATACAAAGTATTGAGAATGTAAGTGTTGACTGCTTTTTTGTCATAAATGTGTGAATTATACGAAAGCTTACTGAACGTTTTATAAGCTTATACATTCATTTAAAATTCATATAGAGAAGAAAACTAACGGGAAAACGAAAAACACCAATGACGCGAGTATATAATCCACCACCAAAACGAGCGTCAATCTCAAAAAAAGATGCAGCAGAGGCTCTTCTTTACTTGAGCGAAAGGGAACACGCTAAAAGAGACGCAGCTGACGGCCTCCTATCCTTATGTGAAAATAGTACAACATCCCGTGATATGCAAGAGGACCAAGACGAACTTCTTCTTGTTGTAAAGAAAAAAGATGCTGCTGTTCAAACCAACCTAACTAATAAACATCTTAAAACTTATGCGACTGAGTCATTTGTTAACACCAGCAGTATACAGAAATGCATGTTTTTAGAAAATGTGGTTAATGATTCTGCCCATTATACAGGTATAAAATTTCATTTTTTACTTTGTTGATTATAACGGGATATAATTGCTTATGTTGGAAGCTAGTGGAAATAATAAAGGACTTTGTGAGCTACTCTGAATTAATTTATCTGTAGGCCTATCAGGTGAAATGTTGAAAATACTGTTTGAGTTCGTGAAAGCAAAGGCTTCCAGGCTTATCAAATGGAAAGGGAAGAAAACAGCAAAATATAAACAAGAAAAAAAGAGCAGTGCTAGGGTACAGTAATATATAATCATACATATTGCTCAAGTAAATACTCAAGTTAATAGTTGTGTAATGCAGCTAATAGCTACCTATGTATAATGAATGATAAGCATTTAATCATTTTTATAGATCCACAAAACTTCTACATGGGCTAAACTTTCAGTCTATGAGCAATTTATATTCACATTGGTCAGGATCAAAAGATTCCCTAGTCTCAAGATGTTATGTGATTTATTTGGAGTGTCAGAAACTGTTGGTAGCAGCATATTCTTGACATGGGTGAAGTTTCTTGAGAAGGAATTAAAGTTATTTATTCCATTTACAACTTTGAAAGACATGGAAGGAATAACCCGCCTAAAGTTTACGAATCTAAACCATGTCGTGCAATAATTGATTGCACAGAATTCTATATACAAAAACCTTCTCTTCCTTCAAGTCAACGTCTGACACATAGTAACTACAAAGGCAGAAACACCTTCAAACTATTTATTTCCATGTCACCGCTTCTACATATCAACTATATCTCTACATTGTTCAGTGATTGCATAAGTGACAAGGAAATCATCAAGAGATGTGGATTTTTGGAAGAGTTAGCTGCAGGGGATGAAGTCATGGCTGACAAAGGATTTAATATCCAGGATTTACTTGCCCTTCAACATGTCCGTTTAATTTCACCTCCAATTATGCATAAAGGTAATGTTGGCACTGGTGCAACAACAATGACAAGGAGAGTAGCTACAAAGAGGATTCACATTGAAAGAATTATTCAACGACTGAAGTCATTTAGTATATTACAAGGTGTGATCCCATTAACAATGAAACCATATATTGATTCTGTTGTGTCTATCTGTGCAGCATTGGTTAATTTGCAACCACAGATTATTGCATCACCTTAAAAACATTGTATATAGAAGCTTTAAAAAAATATACAATAAAATATTCCTTTGTGTTAGAGATACACTTAGATCAATGCAGAGTAAACAATGTGTGCAAAGTTTTGTGCCATTTATTTCTTTCCATTGTGGCATCCTTGTTACTGAACCATTTATGTTCCATGAGAATGGAATCATTGGGACATTTCTCATATTTTTCAATATCCTAAAAAATGTTGTGAGATTGAAAAAGTAAGCACTCTTCCCTATGTTATTGCATTGAGTACATCTTTCCTATTATTAGGCTCTAACTTGAAGAAACATGTAGTTTCCATAATTACCTTCAAAAAGTATTTAATAAAAAGTGATACAAAAACAGCACAGAGATTTGAAGAGATTTCCTGCAGTGGAACCTACCAAATAATGCATATAGCAAGAATTATTTGCACAATATATTTTATTGGTGGTATGATAAGAACTCACTTTTAACATATCATGAGAACGATGCTTTCTTTTGATGCTGTGCTTTTGAAAGGTGTAGTCCAAATATCTTCAGAATGAAAAGTAAAAATTCTATTCCAACAGTAACATAGCAATGAGAGTAGTTTCATAGCTTTGAATTTCTCTTCACGTAACCTTTCTTCCATTTTAGCGCTTAAACTCTTATTGTTCTACATTCTGTCAAAATACGGTGATGTAGTAAGTGTTAGGGTTTCAGTACTATCCCCTGAGAAAACACGAATTATAACATGCCAAGTACCCTCTGACAATATCCTTACCAGTGCCTATACCGAACACAACATTCAGCGTACTATGAAACTGAGGTTTTTGCTGACTGGATTTGCTGTTGAAATTTGTGGGGTTATGGTGTTGCGGCTGAGCCATTTCGTTTGTTTGTAGAATTTCTTTGAAGTTGAACACGAATCGTTTTATTTCTTTAAGATCTTTGGAAAATCTCTATAAACACGTACGTAGTAAGATGTTCGCTTTAATGGCTAATTTATAAAATGCATAGGATCATTTTGTCTTCAAATCATAGGTAATTATGCAGAAATCAGCATGTTGTGCGATTACATAATCTTATTTGGACGACTTTTTGCGAAGTAAACCAAACCACTTCGTTGATAGTAACTTAACTAAGATTCACTTATATTGATTATGGCCAGTGCTGTACTCACACTCACTGAGTGCAACATAAAAATCTCACTTTATGTAATCATTGGCAAAGTTATTTCTCCATCTATGGCAAAATTTTCTCCTTGATATTTCAAATCAAACAATCAGTTGATTGAAATTATGGTCTTTGAGTAATTATGAAGTGATTTTGAAGACCCACTCATTGAATGTGGGTGTGAGTGAGCTTTTAGAATACGTGCGTAACCGGTAACTCGGCTTACTGTGAGCAAAGCTAACTAGATAATTTCAGGGTTGATAATGATCTGACTTTGCAGTTTGCCCTTTTTAAGATGTCAGTCTCATTCTCGTAACGATTTTGTTTCATTTCCTAAATTCTTAAGAAAGGTGGTGTGCAACCAATCTCCTGGGAGTGAGAGAACAGTGAAATGTTCGCCATATGTTGGATGACATTTGCATTGTAAATAATGAAAATTATTTGTTAAGATCGTCCAACATGGTGGCCATGACGTAGCTTGGAAACCAAGAATAGCGAAGATTTAACGTGTTAGAAACTTATAGCGCGTTCAGACTGATTGCCGGAGTACGATACCCTGGTTCGGGTACAAATCTGCACGCCGTTCACACTACGTAGTACCCACTAGCTTCGTCTATTTATAATTTCATATTTTTCATTGTAAACAAGTTTTAAAACCATGTGCTGAGTACGTGCCTTGCTGTACACGTAACTTGTGTGTCATTCTTCACATTGGTGCACTTGCGAGCACCGTACTCGGGTACACCCCTTTTCGTGTTTGTAGTACCCAGACCCGAGCACTTAGACTTGAGGACCATCAAAATGTTGTGTTCACATTGGTGCCCGTGCCTGAGCACCATGCCAAGGCACTTAGTAGGAACGCACTGTTAGAACCATATATCACTGGTGTGACATACCAAAATATGATAAATTGACCCATGCTGTATAATATACTTTCTATCAATTTGTCAAATTTGGAGAAGGAAATACAATTAAATATTTTGCGATCAGTTGTCAAGCGTTCGATTAATCATTGTCTACACAATCAACACATGTAGAATCGTTGGAAAAATAATCTTTTGCAAATATTTCAAGAAAAAAGTGACAACAATCAACACGAACTGTCTGCCCAAAAATAGCAATACAATTTTTATCGCTAAAATTGTTGCCAATTTTGTTAGAGAGCTGTCTAGGACAGTTGGACGTGATTATTTGTCATCATGAGATGTGTCACAAAAAAGCAAATGATGATATTCTGAGTCAAACCAGTAGTAGCAAAATGTAATCCGGGTAAAATAACAAAAAATCTAGTAAAGGTATCTACCTTAACCCTTTACTTCACAAGTTTTTGGTTCCTTGACCTTGAGTTTTGGATGGTTTCTTATAAGTAAACGCATGCTTTTATTAAGGGATATTAGTAATTAAATGTCCCGCAAAGGAGAAAGGTTTATTAAATGCCCTCGTTTGTGGGACATTTAATCACTGATATCCTAAAAGCATACGTTTACTTATAATAAAGTTTCGAAAATTATGTTGATGTGTAAAGTTATATTAAACATTTAAGATCAACGAATATTTTTCTAAACATTTTTATTGCATACATGTTTCGGCATACTTTTTTACCTTCAGTGCTTTTTTTGCAGAATGAATTAAATATTTAAATACAGGTAGTTTATAATGGTATATACTATACGCGTATAGACAAAATAGATTAATAGATAAACGGTGAAAGTGCAATAGTGATGTTTGAAGGTTGACTTAATTCTTCAATCTAGCCAATGCATTTTGAATAGTATCAACAATTATTGATAAAAAGGAATTGATTCGTTTGAGCATTTTCTCAATCTTCCAGAACTCGGTTCTTCACGTTGAGCTTCCCTTGTGTTTTCTTGCTACAGTTTCTTTCTCTCCATTCGCGAATTTGCTTTTGAAGAATCATCACTGTAAAGACTTGAAGTATTAATCTGAAACATTTTTCGAAAGCTTGTTTGGTAAGATTTCCTTTATTTTTATCAATCATTCCAACTAACGTATGAATGTGCTGCAATGTTAATTTATGTTTTAAAAACACTGGATCATTAGCAACAGATCTTTTCCATTCATGGAATTTTTCTTTAACTTGCAAGTCTACACGCCCACCTCTCCATTTAGTGGATGTAATATTTAAGACTTTGTTGCTTTCTGTATTCACTGATGTTTGTCGTTTAGCAAAAATTCTCTTAATATATGCACCAGTACTACCGCCAACATTATTTTCATCTTGGTTTGACAATTCTATGATGTCATTATAATTATCACATTCAACTAATCCCCAACATATGCAGACGTGACGACAAAATGACCAAATCTGTTGAAAAATTTTGAACTCCTTCATCACTTTCTCGTTTTCGATATTTTCACTTGGAAGCTTTTCCACAGCAGACTGAAAGTCCTCAGCAAAACAATATTTTCCAAATCAAATTCATCAACATTTATCTTTGCTATTCTTACTTCTTTTAATATCTTTGTATTGGTTGAAGATCTTGAGTCATTTTCCTGACGCTTCATGCTGTAATTTACATCAAATTCTTGAGCTATCGTTAATATACTTGGTGCCATGTTCACATTTAGCCCCAAGGCTGAAAGGCGCGATTTAATGGAACTTTCATTCCGTTGTAAATGTATTTCGCTGTCTACAGTTTCATTTGTCTTCAATATTTGTGCACATTCAGGAATTCTAATGCCAAATTGTTTATTATCAACGAGAGATAATTTTAAAACCTGAGCTGAAACAAAGTCGTCTGTGACAAGGTTGTATCCCTGACCAATAAATTCAGCTACAATAAAGAAACATCAAGTTTTCAGAAATTACGCTTATTCATCATATACGATGAAGTAAGTATCAAAGCTAACGCGATATTTTTCGTGCACGAATATACCCTGCATTTTATTTTGTTTAGAGTATTGTAAAGATTCCTTAACAAATGTATGTTTCTCTTTCAATGACAATATACTAAAATTGCAAAGTTGTAGTTGTTGATGTCCTATAAATGTGCTTTGTTTATTTAATAAATTTATTTGGTATTTCTTGTTTGAGGCCCTTAATTCTCGGGGTCCCCTTCAATTGACACTAAAACACGCAATTAGGCCACTGTGGATTGGCCACAATTATTTATGAATTGACTATTATTATGCTTTTTATGTTCGCCATAAGATAAAAAAATTTTAAATACCCAAATAAAGCGACTCAGCACATTTTAAGTTAAACTTCTTTTCCAACATTTGAAGGCCGTGTTCGGTGATAATGTCGTCATGACAATAGTTGATTTGAACGACTGTTGTGCTCTTCAATCTTGAATCATCCGACAATCCCATCGCATTCATAGTTTCCTACAGCCCAAAAAGTTCTTTTTTTACAGACTCGTCCTGGATGTTGTTGTCGGAAATATACTGCTTTGCACGCTCGGCAAGTGAGTTGGTTAAATCTTTGAAGAAAAACTTGCAATTATAACAATGTGCTTCTCAGCAGTGATTGGTTGAATACAGTGCAGTTTATCTGTAATTGCACTGTGAAAATGTGTAATTGCAGTGTGGTAATACTTGTAAAAAAGCAGTAGCTACTTGCTGTTTTGCATTCTTTGTAATTTTGAAAATAAAACGAATGCAATCGTGAAAATCTTGTTTGTTCTTTTATTTACAACTGCTTTCATGTTTGTTTTTTCTAATTGAAATAAAAATTTTTGGCTTTCACTGTTCTTCAGCCAAGCAAGTTATAGTATTTACAGTGCAATTACAGCTTTTCTGCTGTGCAACTACACATTTTCACATTGAGCTGCAATTCAGTCAACTAATCACAATTGAAAAAAATTTCAACGTATTTTATTACCTATACTAGTTTCTAACATTAATGAAACATGGAAAAAGTTATTTGCTCGGAAATATACTGCATTGCACGCTCGGCAAGTGAGTTGGGTAAACCTTTGAACAAAAACTTGCAATTGTAACAATGTGCTTCTCAGCAGTGACTGGTTGAATACAGTGCAGTTTATCTGTAAATGCACAGTGAAAATGTGTAATTGCAGTGTGGTAATACTTGTAAAAAACAGTAGCTACTTGCTGTTTTGTATTCTTTTGTAATTCTTGAATTTAAAACGATTGCAATTGTGAAAATCTTGTTTACTTCGTTTATTTACAACAGCTGCCATGTTTTTTTTAATTGAAATAGGTTTGTTTGGCTTTCACTGTTCTTCAAGCAAGTTATAGTATTTACATTGCAATTACAGCTTTTCTGCTGTGCAATTACACATTTTCACATTGAGCTGCAATTCAGTCAACTAATCACAATCGAAAAAAATTTCAACGCATTTTATTACCTATACTAGCTTCTAACGTTAATGAAACATGGAAAAAGTTATTTGCTCTTGCTATAAAAGTTTTTTCTTATTTCAAGAGTTAACTTCTAAAAAACAACAGTTCTAAATACAAGAATGTGTTAAAAATAAGATGCATCTTTTAATGAAACGTATTCTTGATCAGAAATTTTGAAGATTGATGTATTTTTTTTAATTTAGTACTCTACAGAAAAATTTTGCTTCCAGAACATATTTGTAACTGTGGAAAATAACGTTTATTAAAAAAAATTAATAGCTACAAATAAAAATGAAAAAAAAACTACAAATCCTACCTCCTGCAGCAGCTTCAGTAAAATCTTTTACGAGTTTCCATTCCTCATCTGATAACTCCTCTTTATTTGCAACTTTGGCTTTAACTTCATGACCTTTTAATGGTTTTTCATTTTTCTTTCGTGTAAATGCAGCATTGAACACCATATGCCCAAACTTATCTGTGATATCGTTTCCATCTTTGCTTTTTGTGAGTAAGCTAAGGCAAGCTTTGTATAAATTCAAAGGTTGTCTTTCACCATTGGGAAGAATTGTGAAATCTCCATCCTTTTCAAGTTCATAATCATTATAAGGATCATTTTCTATCAATACAGTTGGCGCACTGACACCTAAAGTTTCAAAAACAATGTCGGACACAAGTTCTTTCTTTTTTTGCATACTTTCTTGCCATTTTTTCGGGTTTGCGTGGCCAACAGAACAAGCATGTGTTAAAATCACAAGATTTGGATGACTGATGTCAACAACATCTAACATCTTGATACCTCTCAAGGATCGTGAAAGTGTGCTATTGACTCCTTTCATTCTATTATTACTGGCTCTGTCAACTATGAACACAAGATTTGGATAAATCTTTGTTTTCGAAGAAAATTCGGGATGTGTTTCAAAGTATTTTTTCACAGATACAAAATTGCACACATCTTGTTTAACGCCATCGCCATCGTTGAAGCCAGGTGTATCAATAACACTCAAAACTAAATCACGCACTTCATACTTTGGTTCGTCAAGAGTAATGATATACTCAGATGTTTTTTTCGTAGATAATTCATAATTACTTGTCTCAATAACACTAATTTTATCTCCAGTGTCCAGTAAATGACTTATTGTTGATGATCTACCAGATCCAGTACTTCCAACAAGCAATATCATTGCAGATTTAGAATGGCGTTGGATTTTCATACTTGAAGTTATAAAATAAAGAAGTGACGCCCTGGGAATTATTTCTGCATTTTCACCACTCATTTTGATCTCATCTAATTCTGCCATTATTTCTTCTTTGGACGATGGTATGGGCTTTAATTGAGAAGAGTTGGTACTGTCCATTTCCTTATCAAAACTTAACAAAAATACCATTCGTTTAAATATCTGTGTTGAACGTTGTTATTCTGCACCGCAGATCTAATGTATTTACAAAATAGACATTCCAAGCATATCAATTATCATTATGATAATTAAGGTGTGCCTTTGATTTCCTACAGTCAAGATTTGGCATATTTTTTCAATTTGAATGGAATCTAAAATGTTTTTTTTTGACGACTGCAATCGACGAAACTTGTTGACCTGGCCCGTCACTCACTCCTTATTAAACATATTTTATGCATTCATTTTCAGAAATTAAAGCAAAATATTACTGCAAATTTGATACACATGATGCAGCAATTTAATCAAATTGAAATTTATCTGGTTGTTCGATTCGGAGAGAACTCAATTCGTGCAATATTAGAAATTCAAAATTATACTACAGCGTTGAACAATAAGAAAGATAGTTATTGAGGGATTTCTGTAGTCAAACAGAGCGTTTAATTTAATGCGATGAAACATGAAAATTCTTGGCACGAAATGCAACAAAATATAGAAATAGGAACCAGTTAGTAGACATAAGCATTTAGCACACAACAATAAACTCCATATATTGTCAATTCTACTTGAAAAAATAGTATGAAATAATTCAGCGTTTCACAAATTTCTGCAGTATGAACATGTAAAGTGAGATGTTGCAAAACTTACGTTGAACATTTAAATATTATGTATACATACAACAAAAACGCAGTCTTTCACAAGGAAAATGTGCTACTCATATTTTGATATTGTGTGTGTAAGTAATACCTTTACAGCGGCGTACCTTCCCGTGGACGTCGTGGCTAAAGTTCAAATTATTCAGAATAGCTAAAATATAATTAAAGAATGAAGCTCATTTTAAGAATGTTTTCACAAAATGTTTATCTATTTACTAAAATATGCAAATGTACATTACCTAACCTAAAATTCTTCGTAAATGCCGACTCAATTAAATGGCAAAAATTCCAAAGTATCTACTATCCAGCAACGAATTTCTAAAGGTATTTAAATTATAATAGACTAAAGCACTTATATTTAGGCAAAGGCTATGAGTTATGCGCTAACGCTAAGGCAAGATGAAAATTTGGCCTTCTAAAGCCTTCTATACTCTATAGCATCTCAATATTTCATGTATTTATCATATAAAATTTGATACTAGGAAATAGTCTTGTGAAAATACGGACGCTAATTGTTTGAATGCTCAAAAAACTCGTGTTGTTGGAACACGGGAATTTCAGTGTCACAAGTCTGAGAGAAGTTATACGACAAATTTTGCGATCGTGACTAAAACACCACACGAGTACATACGAGTACATACGAGTACATACGAGTAACATACGAGTACATACGAGTGACATACGTGTACATACGAGTAACATACAAGTACATACGAGTAACATACGAGTACGTACGAGTGACATACGACTATTTTCTGGTCAACAAATGAGAAACAACACAATTTCTTCAATACATTGATATTTGCGTTTATTTTTCCTTGTATTTGTGTGGACTTTAGGGCAACCAATTGATGGATTTAAATGCTGAAAAGGTATTTTACTTTCATACTACATTCATTTGTATGTTTTAGTTGAATTTGTTATAGATATTTTGTCGATGCGATTTGCCAGTATTTGAGCGCTTTTTGACACACTTTCACCTAGGAAATACATATTTATGAAAGCGATTAAATAAACAACGTATAAATAATGCTTTCAAAACGTGCTATATGAAATAAATGTACATTATATATATTTGAATTAAATGAGAGTTGCACTGTGTTACGTATAGTCCTGAGACGGACTGTTGTTGTTGACTGACGTTTCGACAACCTTAGCGGTAGTCATCTTCAGAGTCAAAATGAATGTATAATCGCTTTCATAAATATGTATTTCCTAGGAGGAAGTGTGTCAAAAAGAGCTCAAATACTGGCAAATCGCATCGACAAAATATCTATAACAAATTCAACTCAAACATACAAATGAATGTAGAATGAAAGTAAAATACCTTTTCAGCATTTAAATCCATCAAATGGTTGCCCCAAAGTCCACACAAATACAAGGAAAAATAAACGCAAATATCAATGTATTGAAGAAATTGTGTTGTTTCTCATTTGTTGACCAGAAAATAGTCGTATGTCACTCGTATGTTACTCGTATGTACATGTTACTGTATACACGTATGTCACTGTATGTACTCGTATGTTACTCGTATGTACTCGTATGTACTCGTATGTACTCGTGTGGTGTTTTAGTCACGATCTCGCTGTTTGCAAATAATTTATGTTTTTAAAACATTGTGAAAGATAAAACTTTGTTTTATCTTTCAACGTAGACGGACGATTCACGCGACACTCATTAAATAATTGTGCATAATTTGGATCGTGACTAAAACACCACACGAGTACATACGAGTACATACGAGTACATACGAGTAACATACGAGTACATATGAGGTACATACGAGTACATACGAGTAACATACAAGTACATACGAGTAACATACGAGTACATACGAGTGACATACGACTATTTTCTGGGGCCGGTTGTATAAAAACGTAGTTAACTTTAACTATAGTTAACGCTAACTACCGTAGTTAACTCCTTAACTGTAGTAACTTAACTGCTCGGCTTAACTGCGTTGCACAAAACGTAGTTTGTCGGATAGTTAAGTAACTGCGTAGTTAACTTGCGTTGAAATTGCGTGGAGTGTTGTTTACGTTAAATGACATAAAGTTAAATCAATTTATCTTTGTAATGGCGGGCAAGTGAACTATAAAATGACTTCAAAATCAAGAAAAATCTCTTGGCTTATGTAAAAATTTTAAAATATGGCAAAGTATTGTCGTTTTTACGGATGTTGATGATGCGAAAAGAAAATTTAATAAATAATTCACGGTGACATGGTAACCGAATTAAATTGTAGCATATACTTTGGACTTTTCTCAAGAAAATCGACCCTTATCTTCTGTGTAATACAGTACGATGTTGATGAATGATATGAGTCTCGGCAAGGACTGCTTTATTTCAAGTACCTATGGTATATAATGGACTTGGGCAAACGAAACATTGAACTCTTCTCAAATTGATTCATATTGTGTTTTATGTGCAAGGATTTAAATATTTAAATGGCCTTGCTCTTACAGAATTTAAAACTGAGAGATTGAGGGTAACAAAGGAAAAGGTAGTTTCGTTTCTCTTTATAACAGCTGAGTAAAATGCTTGAAAGAAATGTGTCTGTACAGACATAAGTCACACATATTTGTAAAGATGACAGTGATGGACTTTTTTATTATTAGAAAACATTTCTTTGAGTCATCATAGTTAGTAGCCATGTAATCCAGCAACTGTCTTTTCTCTGCTTGTGACATGTTATATTCACAGCTATACACAAAATACTTATTTGTTCTTATTCTGCCTTGCAAAACTGAGTTATAAAACTCTTGGGTATTTGTTAATGAGCCTTAGCTATGAAACTTTTATTTATGCCTTTGTTATTTATTAGCCTATTTTTGTCTAAAGCTTGGGAGTTTTAATTTTTTTCATATTTTTTAAATCATCAAACAGCAGCTAGAGCTTTCTGCTTCTTAGAAAAATATTGGCAGCCAAGAATGTATGTACATTAAAAATAAACATTTTTACATAGGAAATATATGATGAAATATCAATGAAACCCACTAATTGACTGTCATGTATATTTTCTGCTTGTGCTATAAACCATGTGCAATGGATAATGTACATATATCAAGCAATATATACCTACACCATGCATGCTAATGAAATGTTTTATGTATTTAAAACACTAAGTTCATTGTACCTCATGCAGCTGATACACAACAGAGTAGTCATGAATTAAAACTGTTGTAACGTTCATGTATCTATATGTATTATCATTGGTATATTTAGCACAACATTTATACTGTAGTACCTCTTTGTTTTAACATAATCTAGTTTATTTTCCATGGAGCAATAAGTTTATATGATGCATATGATATTCAATCAAGCAAAATGCATAGGGAAAACCCCGCAATTTGAGCATTTGATACATCCAAAGGCAATAGGGTTCAATGCTCGATAAACATTCTTTCTTTTTTTTGTCATTGAACGAATTGTACGTGGTTGTAAGACAATGTCAGCGAGTTATGTGCACTAATCTTAAAGAAGTGGCTCTATCTCAATTGAGAGTCTCGTTTATGAGTTGCAGAGCTACCGGACGCAAGAAAGATAATACAAAATGCAATTTCTCTTGTGTAAAAAAGGATTTGTTACGCGGATAAATTGTTGGCTGTTTTTCGTCAGCAAAACTTGGGGTGTTTACAGCACTGACGAATGTAGTAAATTGTCCATAAAGCTCTTATCCTAAAAGCCTTTGCCATGGAAGATACATATGTGATTAAAAACTCAAGGTAAAACCTTGTTGATCAACAACATCTCGCCCATAATTGTCTTTGAGAAGGTAAGCCGCCATATTTAACTGTGTTTTGAAAAGTTAACTATGCTCCATAGCAGAGTTAACTTTAACTACCTTTTAACTGCAGTTAGCGCTAACTACTTTTTTATACAACCGACTTAACAGCGTGGTTAAATTTAACTACTTTTTAACTGCAAAAAGTGTAGTTAAAAAGTAGTTAAGAGCTTTATACAACCGGCTCTTGGTCAACAAATGAGAAACAACACAATTTCTTCAATACATTGATATTTGCGTTTATTTTTCCTTGTATTTGTGTGGACTTTGGGGCAACCATTTGATGGATTTAAATGCTGAAAAGGTATTTTACTTTCATTCTACATTCATTTGTATGTTTGAGTTGAATTTGTTATAGATATTTTGTCGATGCGATTTGCCAGTATTTGAGCTCTTTTTGACACACTTCCTCCTAGGAAATACATATTTATGAAAGCGATTATACATTCATTTTGACTCTGAAGATGACTACCGCTAAGGTTGTCGAAACGTCAGTCAACAACAACAGTCCGTCTCAGGACTATACGTAACACAGTGCAACTCTCATTTAATTCAAATATATATAATGTACATTTATTTCATATAGCACGTTTTGAAAGCATTATTTATACGTTGTTTATTTAATCGCTTTCATAAATATGTATTTCCTAGGTGAAAGTGTGTCAAAAAGCGCTCAAATACTGGCAAATCGCATCGACAAAATATCTATAACAAATTCAACTAAAACATACAAATGAATGTAGTATGAAAGTAAAATACCTTTTCAGCATTTAAATCCATCAATTGGTTGCCCTAAAGTCCACACAAATAAAAGGAAAAATAAACGCAAATATCAATGTATTGAAGAAATTGTGTTGTTTCTCATTTGTTGACCAGAAAATAGTCGTATGTCACTCGTATGTTACTCGTATGTACTTGTATGTTACTCGTATGTACACGTATGTCACTCGTATGTACTCGTATGTTACTCGTATGTACTCGTATGTACTCGTATGTACTCGTGTGGTGTTTTAGTCACGATCAAACAGCGAAGGTTGGTCGGAGACAAAGTCTTATTAAGATGTTGTTTAAAAATTTCAACTATAAATAACAACACGTTTCACACCCAAATTTTATGATATTGTATGTTGCAATCTATTGAAGTGGAACTTAACATACGAATAATCTTACTCTTCACAACATTTTACGACGTTCCTTAAAAAGCGTCATAACAAAAGTCAGTCAAGATATACATATGAAAGCTTCGGATAAGATCATGTACGAAATACAAATATTGCTGGTGTGGATTTATATCGAAAATTTTAGCGCAACCGGCGGCTACCCCTCTGCAACACAAAATATATCAACTCGAACTTTATTTTTAAACATGCACAAAAATGCGTATAGAATTTCTAATACTTTCTCAGCTTCGACAATACTTTTTCTGTTAATGAAGCTTAAAAATTATAAATGATTAAAAAATCTAGTAAAGCTGTGATTGTATTTGCTTCAAAATTATACAGTATTTGTAGCAATAGGAATTATAATTCAACATGCTTGCATTGAATGCTCATATAAATAGAAAATAACGAAATATCTTAAAACGTTACAACATGTTAAGAAATGTTACCTGAATTTTATGGCGAAGTTTGACTTGAAAAGCAATAAGAACAGAATCCTGAAAATGCACATCTATACGTGGCAAAATTGTTTGCATGTCATTAAAATAACAAAACCTGTGCTCATTCAATATGGATCACTCATTATATAATCTACATTGTGAATATCAACATTGTGAAACAAATTTTGAAATCATATGCAATAATGTTTTTAACTGTATCGTCACATGATAGCAAAAGAGATTGGAACAACAAAAATATCATTTATTCTAAATAATTAGATGTTTTTCAAAATTACTCGTTGAAACGTCAATACTGAAGACGCTGTCTTGTGTATGAAGAATTTTGTAAAATATGCTTGCAAGCACACTTTCAAGTTTCAAAGCCACCATTTTAACGATTGGAATGAGAATCATGTAACCACTCCATTATTTGTGACTAAGTTGTGTTATCGACCCCGACGACACGGGAACAAAGAAGATAGTTCTGGCAAATAAGAATTTACTTTGCATGAAGTAAACACGTTGTGCCATTGAATACAACAACATAGATGAAATAGATGTCTTAATTGACATCATATTTCTAGCTGCGACAAGAATCACACGCAATAAGAACCTCGCATGACTGCTGCAAACTCCAGCGGTGTTGCCATGGTCATATATCCTTTGGTAGCTGAGCGAATAAATGGCTATAAATTCCACAGTTTAATTAAATAGCGCTGCCAGTCACTCCCACGCGCCTCTAACTGTGCTATTCAACGGTAATTCAACTGGTGTCAGCGGTAAGTCTATTGGGTACGTCAGATTGCAATGTTAATCCGTATTACCACACAAAAGGCTCAGCTTTATGATTCAAACGATTTCATTTTCAACGTGATTATAAATTAACAAAGATAGGGAAAGGGAAATTGCTCTGTCCTGTAAATCACTGTTATAAAGTAATACTCATGTTATTACTATAGGCATTTACATGAACAACTACGATCATGTTACCTGTCCATTGAGTTCTGTAAGACTTAAGGGATCCAGAGCTCTGGGAACTGTTGTAAAAGTTATTTCGAAAATGGCCAGTGCGAGTGGTACTGTACATTGAACTAAAATACATGAACGCTATCTGAAGAAGCAAATAATTGAAACCAAATCTTACACCCACACACGCAAGGTTACACCCAGACACGCGTGTGTAGTGTTTCGAGATTCTCTCGCGAATGGAAAACTGATTGAACTACACACGCTTGTAATCTCACGTGACTGGGTATAACATTTGGTTCCTACACATGGACGGCGGAGCAACATATGAATTGTGGGGGCTAAGTATTCATTTCTACCATAATGTCTTACAGAACAGTTCTAAACAAAAATTTTAACTCAGTCTAAATATCTTTCTTCTTTTCACATTGCAAAAAGTGGAGAGGGGGGTTTCAGCCTCACCCCTAAGCCCCCGATTCTGACGTCCTGTTACAGGAAGCGTTCCATGTTTTTTAAATTCAATGGTACTGCACCATGTACTGCACACTGCGTAGTTCCTAAATCAAGAAATACGAGATATGAATACGTTTCTCAAGTTTAACTCATTTCAAAAATAGCCAATGCTTTGCGTGTCAACACAAAAAAAAATCGCAATCGGATTTGTCACAACCAATGAACCACTTCATAATTTTATATTACAGCAGAAATGTTTAGATTACATCATGGATTACATGTCAAAAATATTCTCCACACTTTCCCTTCGCCCCCACCCTCCAGATGGTTCATTCACTGGGTCCAGTTCGGCCATCCCGGTCCACTGTCCAGTCCGTTCGCTGATTCAGTTTAGAAAATATTATGGCCGACAAGTTAATCGACCATTATATGAAAGAAGAATTGGAGGAAGAACGCGGTGCAGTTCTCAATAAGTTTAACAAAGGTTAAAGTTTTATTAAATGTAATTTTTCATCAGAGTTCAATATGCAATGAAACGTCCTATTTTCTTGTGCAGCGGTCTAGCCAGCCTTGTTATGGATAAAACTCAAATCATTATAGTTAATTCTTTCTTTAGTTTTTTTTAGTTTTTCACCTCATTGTTTGCGTCATTCTTTGGGCCTGTATTATTACGGTTTTTGGGTAATGATGATTGTATTATACAGTGCAGTACTTTGGGATTAGCGTATACTTTTGAAGCATGAAATACAATTAAATATTTTGTGATCAGTTGTCAAGCGTTCGATTAATCATTGTCTAGACAATCAACACATGTAGAATTGTTGGAAAAATAATCTTTTGCAAATATTTCAAGAAAAAAGTAACAACAATCAACACGAACTGTCTGCCCAAAAATAGCAATACAATTGTAATCGCTAAAATTGTTGCCAATTTTGTCAGAGAGCTGTCTTGGACAGTTGGACGTGATTATTTGTCATCATGAAATGTGTCACAAAAAAGCAAATGATGATATTATGAGTCAAACCAGTAGTAGCAAAATGTAATCTGGGTAAAATAACAAAAAATCCAGTAAAGATATCTACCTCTAATTCTTTACTTCACAAGTTTTTTGGTTCCTTGACCTTGAGTTTTGTATGGTTTTTTGTGAGTAAACGCATGTTTTATTAAGGGATATTAGTAATCGTCCGGCAGAAAGCTTATTAAATGTCCTCGGTTTGTGGGACATTTAATCACTGATATCCATAAAAGCATACGTTTACTTATAATAAAGTTTCGAAAATTATGTTGATGTGTAAAGTTATATTAGACATTTAAAATCAACGCAAATTTTTCTAAATTGTTTTATTACATACATGTTTTGGCATATTTATTACATTTTCATTGCCTTTTTTGCAGAGTGAATTAAATATTTAAATACAGGTAGTTTATAATAATATGTACTGAAAGCGAATAGACAAAATAGATTTAAACGGTGAAAGTGCAATAGTGATGCTTCAAATTTTTCATTTGAAGTTTGACTTATTTTTTAAATCAAGCAAATTTATTTTTAATAGCATCACCAAGTGTTGAGAAAACGTTTTGATGTAGTCGAACATTTTCCTTAATCCCTAGAACTCGGTTCTTCAACTTCACTTAGCTTTGTGTTAGAAGAATCTGCTTTTCTTGCTTCAGTTCCTTTTTCTCCGAATTTGCTTTTGAAGAATCATTACCGTAAAGACTTAAAGTATCTAAAGTATCAATCTGAAACATTTTTTCGAAAGCTTGTTTGGCGAGATTCCCTTTCTTTTTATCAATCATTCCAACTAACGTGTGAATGTGCTGCAATGTTAATTTATGTTTTAAAAGCACTGGGTCATTGGCAACAGATTTTTTCCATTCATGGAATTTTTCTTCAACTTGCAAGTCTACATGCCCACCTCTCCATTTAGTGGATCTAGTTTTCAAGACTCCGTTGCTTTCTGTATTCACTGGTGTTTGTCGTTTAGCCCAAAGTCTCACAATAATTGCACCAATAATACCGCCAACATAATTTTCATCTCGGTTTGACAATTCTATGATGTCATTATAATTATCACATTCAACTGATCCCCCAACATATGCAGACGTGACGACAAACTGACCAAATTTATTGAAAAAATTTATGAACTTTTTCATCACTTTCTCGTTTTCGATATTTTCACTTGGAAGTTCTTCCACAGCAGAACGAAATTCATCAGCAAAAGTAATTTTTTTCGAATCAAATTCATCAACATTAATCTTTGCGATTCTTACTTCTTTTAATATCTTTGTACTGGTTGAAGATCTTGAGTCATTTTCCTCACGCTCCATGCTGTAATTTACATCAAATTCTGGAGCCATCTTTAATATACTTGGTGCCATGTTCACATTTAGCCCCAAGGCTGAAAGGCGCGACTTAATGTAACTTTCATTCCGTTGTAAATGTACTTCGCTGTCTACAGTTTCATTTGTCTTCAATATTTGTGCAAATTTAGGAATTCTCAAGCCAAATTGTTTATTATCAACGAGAGATAATTTTAAAACCTGAGCAGAAACAAAGTCGTCTGTGAGAAGGTTGTATCCCTGACCAATAAATTCAGCTACAAGAAAGAAAAATCAAGTTTTTAGAAATTACGCTTATTCATCAAATACGATGAAGTAAGTGTTTTATAAGCAATGATTTGGATTAGCAGTGGCGTAATACAAGCATTTGGGCTCCTCCGTCATATAGCTTTTGTTACCCCCGTTATGTTCCAGTAGAAAATAGGTTGAATGATCGTACACATTTATTTATATTTCCTCTACTTGCGAGTTTTTTTTAACATAAGGCTATGTTACGTGCATAGTTAACTAGAGAGTCGTTGTAAAAAAGTAGCCAATTTTAAATGTTTAGTATCCTATAGTTTTAGCAAAAATCTCGTATTTTTATGCTAGAATGAGTTCTTTAGCATCCACAGCACAATTAGAAACAAAAAAAAGAAATTGAAGCTAAAAAACAAAAGAGCAGCAGAAACTGCATTTTTAATGGTTTGTTAAAGGATTAGAGAGATAAAAATGTTAAACTATCTTTATTTCACGGGTCCTTTATTTCAAAGTAGCTATGGAAATTACAGAAAATTTTATAAAAAATATGTCAACAGAGCAGATGCATAAGTTAAGGTGTTTTCTTTTTTACATCACAGCTAACGCGATATTTTTTCGTGCACGAATATACCCTGCATGTTATTTTGTTGAGAGTATTGTAAAGATTTCTCAACAAATGTATGTTTCTATTTCATTGACAATATATACTAAAGTTGCAAAGTTGTAGTTGTTGATGTCCTATAAATTTACTTTGTTTATTTAATAAATTTATATTGTATTTTTGTGGGGCCCTTAATTCTCGGGGCCTCCGTCACTTGACACCTGAACACCCAATTACGCCACTGTGGATTGGCCACAATTATTTATGAATTGACTATTATAATGCTTTTGATGCTCGCCATAAGTTAGAAAAATTTCCAAATACCCGAAAAAAACGACTCAGCACATTTTATGTTAAATTGCTTTTCCAACATTTGAAGGCCATGTTCGGTGATAATGTCGTCATGACAATGGTTGATTTTACTGATTGTTGTGCGCTTTAATTTTGAATCATCCGACAATCCCATCGCATTCATAGTTTCTACCAGCCCAAAAAGTTCTTTTTTTACAGTTTCGTCCTTGATGCTGTTCTCGGAAATATACTGCATTGCACGCTCGGCAAGTGAGTTGGGTAAACCTTTGAACAAAAACTTGCAATTGTAACAATGTGCTTCTCAGCAGTGACTGGTTGAATACAGTGCAGTTTATCTGTAAATGCACAGTGAAAATGTGTAATTGCAGTGTGGTAATACTTGTAAAAAACAGTAGCTACTTGCTGTTTTGTATTCTTTTGTAATTCTTGAATTTAAAACGATTGCAATTGTGAAAATCTTGTTTACTTCGTTTATTTACAACAGCTGCCATGTTTTTTTTAATTGAAATAGGTTTGTTTGGCTTTCACTGTTCTTCAGCCAAGCAAGTTATAGTATTTACATTGCAATTACAGCTTTTCTGCTGTGCAATTACACATTTTCACATTGAGCTGCAATTCAGTCAACTAATCACAATCGAAAAAAATTTCAACGCATTTTATTACCTATACTAGCTTCTAACGTTAATGAAACATGGAAAAAGTTATTTGCTCTTGCTATAAAAGTTTTTTCTTATTTCAAGAGTTAACTTCTAAAAAACAACAGTTCTAAATACAAGAATGTGTTAAAAATAAGATGCATATTTTAATGAAACCTATTATTGATCAGAAATTTTGAAGATTGCTGTATTTTTTTTTAATTTAGTACTCTACAGAAAAATCTTGCTTCCAGAAAATATTTGTAAATGTGGGAAATAACGTTTATGGAAAAAATGCGTGATCCGATATCAGTATTTTACATAATGCAGTGAAACGTTCACTGATGTAATAATATTTTATTAAAAAAGATTAATAGCTAGAAATAAAAATGAAAAAAAAAACTACAAATCCTACCTCCTGCAGCAGCTTCAGTAAAATCTTTTGCAAGTTTCCATTCCTCCTCTGATAACTCCTCTTTACTTGCTACTTTAGCTTTAACTTCATGACCTTTTAATGGTTTTTCTTTTTTCTTTCGTGTAAATGCAGCATTGAACACCATATGCCCAAACTTATCTGTGATATCGTTTCCATCTTTGCTTTTTGTGAGAAAGCCAAGGCAAGCTTTGTATAAATTCAAAGGTTGTCTTTCACCATTGGGAAGAATTGTGAATTCTCCTTTCTTTTCTAGTTCATAATCATCATAAGGATCATTTTCTATCAATACAGTTGGCGCTCTGACACCTAAAGTTTCAAAAACAATGTCAGACACACGTTCTTTCATTTTTTGCATCCTTTCTTGCCATTTCTTCGGGTTTGCGTAGCCAACTGAACAAACATGTGTTAAAATCACAACAAGATTTGGATGACTGATGTCAACAATATTCAACATCTTGATACTTCTCAAGGATTTTGAAAGTGTGCTAATGACTCCTTTTATTCTATTATTACTGGCTCTGTCAACTAGGAACACAAGATTTGGATAAATCTTTGTTTTCGAAGAAAATTCGGGATGTGTTTCCAAATATTTTTTTATAGATACAAAATTACATGCATCTTGTTTAACACCCTCACTATCATTTAAACCAGGGGTGTCAATAATTCTCATGGTTAAATCACTCACTTCATACTTGGGTTCGTCAATAGTAATAATATACTCAGATGTTTTTTTCGTAGATGATTCGTTATCACTTGTCTCAATAACACTAATTCCATCTCCAGTGTCCAGTAAATGATTTATTGTTGATGATTTACCACATCCACTACCTCCAACAAGCAATATCATTGCAGATTTAGAATGGCGTTGGATTTTCATACTTGAAGTTATAAAATAAAGAAGTGACGCCCTGGGATTTATTTCTGCATTTTCACCACTCATTTTGATCTCATTTAATTCTTTTATTCTTTCATTTTCAGACGATGGTATGGGCTTTAATTGAGAAGAGTTGATACTGTCCATTTCTTTATCAAAAATTTAACCAAACACAATTCGTTTGAATAACTGTGTTGAACGTTGTTGTTCTGCACCGCGGATCTAATGTATTTACAAAATAGACATTCCAAGCATATCAATATTCATTATGATAATTAAGGTGTGTCTTCTATTTTCTACAGTCAAGATTTGGCATATTTTTCAATTTAAATAGAATCTAAAATGTTTTTTTTGACGACTGCAATTGACGAAATTTGTTGACCTGGCCCGTCTCACTCACTCCTTATTAAACATATTTTATGCATTCATTTTCAGAAATTAAAGCACAATATTACTGCAAATTTGATACACATGATGCAGCAATTTCATCAAATTGAAATTCATCAGGTTGTTCGATTCGGAGAGAACTCAATTCGTGCAATATTAGAAATTCAAAATTATATCACAGCGTTGAAAAATAAGAAAAATAGTTATTGAGGGATTTTGTAGTCAAACAGAGCGTTTAATTTAATGCGATGAAACATGAAAATTCTTGGCACGAAATGCAACAAAATATAGAAATAGGAACCAGTTAGTAGACGTAAGCATTTAGCACACAACAATAGACTCCATATATTGTCAATTCTACTTGAAAAAATATTATGAAATAATTCCGCGTTTCACAAATTTTTGCAGTATGAACATATAAAGTGAGATGTTGCAAAAGTTACGTTAAACATTTAAATATTATGTATACATACAACAAAAACGCAGTCTTTCACAAGAAAAATGTGCTACTCATATTTTGATATCGTGTGTGTGTAAGTAATACCTTTACAGCGGCGTACCTTCCCGTGGACGTCGTGGTTAAAGTTCAAATTATTCAGAATAGCTAAAATATAATTAAAGAATGAAGCTCATTTTAAGAATGTTTTCACAAAATGTTTATCTATTTTACTAAAATAAGCAAATGTACATTACCTAACCTAAAATTCTTCGTAAATGCCGACTCGATTAAATGGCAATAATTCCAAAGTATCTACTATCCAGCAACGAAATTCTAAAGGTATTTAAATTATAATAGACTAAAGCACTTATATTTAGGCAAAGGCTATGAGTTATACGCTAACGCTAAGGCAAGATGAAAATTTGGCCTTCTAAAGCCTTCCATACTCTAAAGCAACTCAATATTTCATGCATTTATTATATAAAATTTGATATTAGGAAATAGTCTTATGAAAATACGGACGCTGATTGTTTGAATGCTCAAAAAACTCGTGTTGTAGGAATACGGGAATTTCAGTGTCACAGGTCTGAGGGACGTTATACGACAAATTTTGCACAATTTTTCAATGAGTGCAGTAGCGTGAAGCGTCCGTCTACGTTGAAAGATAAAACAATGTTTTATCTTTCACAATGTTTTAAAAACATAAATTATTTGCAACCAGCGAAGATTGGTCGTAGACAAAGTCTTATTAAGATGTTGTTTAAAAATATTAATTATACATAACAACACGTTTCACACCCAAAATTTTATGATATTGTATATTGCAATCTACTGAAGTGGAACTTAACATACGAATAATCCTACTCTTCACAACATTTCACGATGTTCCTTAAAAAGCGTCATAACAAAAGTCAGTCAAGATATTATACATATGCAAGCTTCGCATAAGATCATGTACGAAATACAAATGTTACTTGTGTGGATTTATAATGTGTGGATTTATATCGAAAATTTTAGCACAAACGGAGGCTAACCCTCTGCAACACTGTTATAATTTTCTTCCTAATACATCAACTCGAACTTTATTTTTAAACATGCACAAAAATGCGTATAGAATTTCTAATACTTTCTCAGCTTCTACAATACTTTTTCTGTTAATGAAGCTTAAAAATTATAAATGATTAAAAAGTCTAGTAAAGCTGTGGTTGTGTTTGCTTTAAAATTATACAGTTATTGTAGCAATAGGAATTATAATTCAACATGCTTGCATTGAATGCTCATATAAATAGAAAATAACGAATTATCTTAAAACGTTACAACATAATAAGAAATGTTACCTGAATTTTATGGCGAAGTTTGACTTCGAAAATCAATAAGATCAAAATACTGAAAATGCACATTTATAGGTGGCAAAATTGTTTGCATGTCATTAAAATAACAAAACCTGTGCTCATTCAATATAGAATCACTCATTATATATTCTACATTGTGAATATCAACATTGTGAAACAAAATTTGAAATCATATGCATTAATGTTTTTAACTGTATTGTCACATGATAGCAAAAGAAATTGGAACTACAAAAATATCATTTATTCTAAATAATTAGATGTTTTTCAAAATTACTCGTTGAAACGTCAATACTGAAGACGCTGTCTTGTGTATGAAGAATTTTGTAAAATATGCTTGCGTGCACACTTTCAAGTTTCAAAGCAACCATTTTAACGATTGGAATGAGAATCATGAAACCACTCCATTATTTGTGACTAAGTTGTGTTATCGACCCCGATGACACGGGAACAAAGAAGATAGTTCTGGCAAATAAGAATTTACTGTGCATGAAGGAAACACGTTGTGCCATTGAATACAACAACATAGATGAAATAGATGTCTTAATTGACATCATATTTCTAGCTGCGACAAGAATCACACGCAATAAGAACCTGGAATGACTGCTACAAACTCCAGCGGTGTTGCCATGGTCATATATCCTTTGGTAGCTGAGCGAATAAATGGCTATAAATTCCACAGTTTAATTAAATAGCGCTGCTAGTCACTCCCACGCGCCTCTAACTGTGTTATTCAACTGATTGGTGTCAGCGGTAAGTCAGTTGTGTACGTCAGATTGCAATGTTAATCGGTATTACCAAACAAAAGATTCAGCTTTATGATTCAAACGATTTCATTTTCAACATGATTATAAATTAACAAAGATAGAGAAAGGGAAATTGCTCTGTCTTGTAAATCACTGTTATAAAGTAATACTCATGTTATTACTCTAGGCGTTTACATGATTAACTACGATCATGTTACCTGTCCATTGAGTTCTCTAAGACTTAAGGGATCCAGAGGTCTGGGAAATATTTAGATTACATCATGGATTACATGTCAAAAAATTTTCTCCACTTTCATCTCGCCCTCCCCCATCCAGATGGTTCAGTCACTGGGTCCAGTTCGGCCATCCCGGTCCTCTTTCCAGTCCGTTCAGTCCGTTCGCTGGTTCAGTTCATTTAGAAAATATCATGGCCGACAAGTTAGTCGACCATTATATGAAATAAGAATTGAAGGAAGAACGCGGTGCAGTTCTCAATATGTTTAACAAAGGTTAAAGTTTTATTAAATGTAATTTTCCGTCTGAGTTCAATATGCCTTGAAGCGTCCTATTTTAAAGTTCTACCTGCTCTCTCAAAAGAAGTTAATTTATTGCAGATCGTGGAAAAGTTAGGGTAATTTATATGTTTGTTTGAATGTATCGTGGTGTATTATGTTGATTTTATCAACTAGAATTTAAAATGTTATCTCTGATTCATAGATTAGTCTAAATCTTACAGTTAACAACGCTGACAAGATAGTGTCAGGGGTCATAATGTATGTCACTTTGCACCTTTAGATATAAGTAATAGCGATTTTGTTACGTTCCAGAAATATCTAAGCGTAGAGAAAGGCTTAAAGTGCTAGAACTATGTATCACTGGTGACATACCAGAACATAACTAAATGGCCCATTTTGTATAAGTTTATCTTCTCACAATTTTGCTGATTTATTGACTTGCACTTGATACATGTGATGTGATAGATTTGCATGATTATTTGATCATTTATCTGGAAGCATGGTATTATTAACCATTAACTAAGTTTGTTCACATTGGTCACCATCAAATTGAAAGACATTTATTATTGTTGATAACTGTAGTTGTAAAATGAATACCATACAAAATCTTGCTTTGTATGAAAATAAATGTAATCATATGATTTATTGAGGCATTTTTTTTCATAGAGGTCAATTACTATACAGAATAAATTGAATTCCTTTTATAGCAAAGAATAACTTCATCGTTATTAATGTGTTGAATGGGCGGAATAGAGAAATTGTTGTGCATTTCATTTTAACATGTGATTTAACTACCCAAACTATCAGGAACAAAACAATCTTGTCAGTTGGTGATTGAACTCTCATTTTCTCCTCTAAAAAATGTAAAATTAAATGTAATGTGCTGTGTTTTAATGCTGCATGAATTACTTTTTGATTTTTTCAATCATCATTTACATCATATATGTTTCTATCATTCATTTGGGTAAGAGAATTTCCCAACTTTCTTCTGGATGTATTGATGGCTGTAGTAAGATGTGAGATGTTTGAATTGTTGTTCAATTTCAGACCCTATCTGACCAATCAAGAAACAGATAAAAGATGCAAGGGAACACAACTGCTGTGCTTGTTGCTTTGTCGGCTTGTAACCAATGAACTCCTCAAGAAAGAAGGTATGCTTATGATAATTTAGTGACTAAGCACACTTTACTCTTATCCACATTTTGCCATTATGAACATTCATATTCACAAGGTCACAGACTACTGTAGGATTTTGTTCACACAAACAATCTGGTTGCTAAAACAGTGTTTAAATATGCATAAGTTACATAAACAAATGAGTAATTGATAAACTTGAGTTTTTGATTGGTTTGCCTCAAGTTACAGGGAATTTATCTCGGTTGTAAAATACTTTTAAAATCAACATTTATTACACTTTATTATTAGTTACTGTTTTGGTGGAATTTTTTTGTGATTGTCTGAAGGATCATTTCTCTCTGGCTCCTCATGCCTTCTCTGGTTTATTGGCTTTGGTATGTTGTATTGTATCTGTGTGAAACTGACTGTTAAAGCCAAAGAATGCATTTTTATTATCTTTTTGCCGTGCATATTTTTTTGCCTTTGCATTTCATCTGGTACATTTAATTCTTACTGCGGGCTACGGGTTGACACATCTAAAAGCAAACAATGACAGCATAAAAAGACTGGTTTAACAGTCTATCTTCATTCTGGAACTCCTAATTTGCTTGTGCAGTGGTCTAGCCAGCCTTGTTATGGATAAAACTCAGATCATTCTAGTTATTTATTTATTTAGTTTTTTTTAGTTTTTCACCTCATTGTTTGCGTCATTCTTTAGCTTGTATTGTTACAGTTTTTTGGTAATGATGATTGTATTATACAGTGCAGTACTTTGGGATTAGCTTATACTTTATATAATACTTTGGGATTGATATGATGATAACATCTGATTTCTCACTTCTGTATGTACCAAACATTATTAATGTATGTTTAATTAGGTAAGCTATAAGGTGATTCAAGAAGGATTAACTGTTAGGATAGTTCAAGCAATTTTCAAAGAGATTCATGTACAGGTAACAATGTATTACGACTACGAAATAGTATCTTAGTAAAACAAAAAATACTTGATACTTCTTAAAAAGTAAGCGTTTTATTTTAAACGTTTCGACAAGTACATGTAATCAGTAGAATATGAAGGCTTTTGAAAAATTACCATCATGAATAAGATCGTCATTTGCCATTTGTTTATTTTTCAAAAGCGCTCACACTCTAGCTACTTACGATGACGTACGTATTTAGTACAGGTGTAGACCCAGGATTTTATCTGGGGAGGGGAGCGTCATTTGGAGTTGTAAAATGACAGCAATACAACGCCTGCGCTGAATTGTCCGTGGTTGAGTTTTCATTAGCCTGTGCAAAATCTTAGCTTAACCATTGTAGCTAAATCAACTTATTCAATCAAAGGGAATTTGCAAATCAATCACGAATGCATGTTATAGGAAAAATTAAAACATTTGTTTTAAATTTATTTGTTTCGCATAATTGTTATGAGATGTTTTTCGTGTTTGTACTTGCTAGTAATCACGCATTTCTTAATTTTTGCAATGCAATAATATTTTCACGAACAAACTATCAAATCATCCTAGCTATTTGCTCCTCTTTTTTATTAATAATGTATTTTTCCAAATACAAGTCATGTGCTGTGATTTAAAACTTGTTTTTTTTTGAATTTTGCAGTCATTGCTGCAAGCTGATCAATGTAACGTTTACATGTTATTCTCTGTACTACTTAATTTATCGGTATTTCGTTGTTGTTATGAATGCCTTTAACGTTGACGTCCTGTCAATTTCAGGATCCAAGAAACTTGCTGGTTTGTTTCAAGCTTGTTCAAATCATCGTAAAGAGATTTCCTATTCGTATGAAAAATAATTAGGACGAATTTCTTGTAAGCAAATACCCTGGCTATTCTATCCCATAGCACTTTGCAAATTTGTCTTTTTTGATGAGAGCTATGTCCGTCTCGTGATTACTACATTTGAAACACATTCAGTTATGCTTAAAAAGTATGGTGGCTTGGAGAGCTTTCTTGGGCATCGTGCATTCTCATAGTTGCCCGTTGTAGGCTTGTAGCTAATGTTTCTTAATCAACTGTCCGGATACACTATGAATGAAGCCCAATAGACAGTCACGAGCATTTAATTTTGGCTTCAGACGTAGCAAATAAATAAAGTTGACGTTACGTGGCTCAAGTGATGTGGTTCATACTGCTTGAATTTGCTGTAAAACTATATGGTATGTGAACTTACTAAGAAAGTTTCTTTTAGACCATTTGGCCGAAGATTTGTTCGAAGGGACATCTTGCTATTTCCCTATTGATTTTACTCCAGTGAGCTCTCCTCAATATTTCCCCTATAATTTGCACCTGTAAGTACATTTCGACCAATTCATCGATGACGTTGCATAATACCGTAGAGTGTGGAAAGTAGCCTAACTCCTGAAAGTAACCTCCCAAGTGAACTATAATATCAACTGGAACGCTAACTGCCCCGCCCTCTTTTTAGCATCTTACGCAAGACGTGTTTACATTTCCCCACCATGACCAGTTGGATTTTGTGAATGACTTGGAAGATGTTGTTTTTTTGAAATACATGTGTTGGCCATGTCTACGACCGGCGACTACATGCACGTATTCAATAACCGAACCATTCTACACAAACAGCGCTACGGCCGCATTTTGTTGTGATCTATGATCGGGCGAATTGATTAAGACCATGCAGGCAGCACAAACAAGATGAACGCGAGAGTAAAATCTGCTCAATATCGTCTTCATCGTCGTCTCCATCATTTCCTGTAAAACATGTTGGACGTATCCAACATTTCCTGTAAAGCGTGATCGACGCATCCAACATTTCCTGTAAAAAGTGATGGACGCATCCAACATTTCCTGTAAAACGTGTTGTACGTATCCAACATTTTCTGTAAAACGTGTTGTACGTATCCAACATTTCCTGTAAAACGTGTTGGATATATCCAACATTTCCTGTAAAACGTGTTGGACGTATCCAACATTTTCTGTAAAACGTGTTGTACGTATCCAACATTTTCTGTAAAACGTGTTGGACGTATCCAACATTTCCTGTAAAACATGTTGGACGCATCCAACATTTCCTGTAAAACGTGTTGGACGTATCCAAATTTCCTGTAAAACGTGTTGGACGTATCCAACATTTTCTGTAAAACGTGTTGGACGCATCCAACATTTTCTGTAAAACGTGTTGGACGTATCCAACATTTCCTGTAAAATGTGTTGGACGTATCCAACATTTCCTGTAAGACGTGTTGAACGTATCAAACATTTCCTGTAAAACGTGTTGGACGTATCCAACATTTTCTGTAAAACGTGTTGGACGTATCCAGCATTTCCTGTAAAACGTGTTGGACGTATCCAACATTTTCTGTAAAACATGTTGCACGTATCCGTTCGACTGTTCCAAACACAAAACCGTCTTTCGTTATTTTACCACGTGAAGGATTTGATGGTCTTGCATCACTTGCATGTCATTTAAGAATGTTCATATCAGTGGTTTTTGGTCCCGATATATATAAGACTGAGATTTGTTTATTTGTAGACTTGATAGGACGATGCAAGATATTGTTTATAAAGTTGTTCCAAACTTATTTGAAGGTAGGCTTATGTTTTATTTTCATTGTTGAACGATATTCTTCCGAAGGAAAAACTGAGATGCTTGCTCTGTTTTTTCTCCTCTTGTTAAATGTCCAGATTTGTGAGTTGTTGTTTTTTTAACAGTGCAAAATGTTTTAAGTCAACTTGGGTTATTCAGATCTCGTAATTTGACTATATCTTGCAGATGAAGAAGTGAGGGAAGATGAATTTTACGACGAAAGAGGAATGCCAGTGCCAAAGAAAGATATCGAAACGGAAGGTTGGTCTGAAGTCAGCTCACGCAGTTCAAACTCTTATTGTTCACAGTTCAGTCAAATAACGGTGATGTAGTAAGGGTTTGGGTTTCAGTACGGTCCCCCCTGAGAAAAACACGAGTTATAACATGCCAAGTACCCTCTGTGACAATATTATCCTTACCAGTGCCCATACCGAACACAACATTCAGAGTACTATGAAACTGACGTTTTTGCTGGCTGAATTTGCTGTTGAAATTTGGGGGGTTATAGTGCTGCGGCTGAGCCCCTTCACAAGCCCTCGACTCTCCTAACCCCTCCCCCCCTCACCGTAATTTTGTTTTAGAATGCGAAAGCGACGAGGAATCGCACTCATCTTTGGTGAACGACATCACAGAATACATCAACAATTACCGTGATGATGAGTTGATTTCAATTTACTTCAAGCCGTACGACGGGTATGATGTTGTGCAATTTCGTTTGTTTGTGCAATTTCTTTGAAGTCGAACACGATTCGTTTTATTTCTTTTAGACCTTTGGAAAATCTCTACAAACACGTACGTAGTAAGATGTTTGCTTTAATGGCTAATTTATAAAAATACATAGGATCATTTTGTCTTCAAATCATATGTAATTATGCAGAAATTAAAAGCATGTTGTGCGATTACATAATCTTATTTGGGCAGACTTTTTGCGAAGTAGGCCAAACCACTTGGTGGATAGTTAAGATTAACTTATATTGATTATGACCAGTGCTGTAGAACTAGTTTTAACAGGGGGGGAAAGTCTGACAAGGATGAAGCAGCGAAATCTTAAAAGTCATATATGACGTCAGGGGTAATCACAGCATTTCACTGAGATGATTAATAGGTCATTCATAAGTTATTTTAAGTCATAACCCTGTATGAATATTACCTTTAGTACCTTTGTGAAAAGGCTTACACTTACATTCATACCGAACAATACGTGACCAAACTCGGCAGATTAAACTGTGATTAATAACTTTCTGATTTCTGAAGTAGAAAAGGGATAGCCCTCTTAGCTGCAGGAACTGTAGATCCGTCCCCAAGTGTCCCCCACTTTTACTTCCCTGATAATAGACAACGATTGTTTTCCTTTGAGTCGTAAATTTGGTTTCAAATTTATGGACTTATTGATGACTCCAAATGTACAAAACTTTATTTACATTAGTTATCTCACATTGCACTTTTGTCATTAACCCGTTATTAATACAAAAACCTCGTTTTTATACTGCTTGATTTTTGTCTTTTTTTTTGAAAAAGGTAATATCAAGACAGTATTTACGTTGCTCGCATCGTGTGCTTTTATTGCATCTTGAAAAACTGTTTAAAAAAAAGATCAACCTGATGGAAGAACAAGAGGTAATTTCATACACGAACACTCAAATTGGTGCCTATGTATACAGGGTGTGTAAAAAAGAAGATCTTCGGAAATTTACCAGCAGCGAAAAAGCCCTTGTAATAGTAACAAAGATACGTAATATTTACACGTAGTCGATAACATTTTATGCACCGCGATAACATAATGATCATGCATTCACAACATCACAATACATCAATTTTTGAAGGTTGTCTTTTAAATATACACCGTACTGTCTCTATTTTTGTGGTGTTGATGATATTGTTATGTCAATGTGAACTTGTATCAGGGACCGTGGATGATTGACGATTTGGGACCTATATTTATATGTCAATATGTTGTAATCAATTAATAAAAGAGAGGGACTGGGGAAGATTGACGATTCGCGGCCTATATTTATATGTTCATATGTTGTAATCAAGTAATAAAAGAGAGGGACTGGGGAAGATTGATGATTTGGGGCTCATGTTCATGTTATAATCAAGTAAGAAAAAACTTTTTCTGTGTTTGCACAGGAGTAATCAAACCGAGGAGACCTGTGGAAATTATCGAGAGCAGATCAGTGCAAGCCCGAGACCGAAGGTCAAGGGTTACATCTGCTCTATATTTTTTTCGAGGTTTTCATAAGCCAGTGGAAACACGAAAAACATCTTTCATTTCTTTTATAAAACTACAATAATGCGAAACAGGCAAATTTAAAATAAACGTTTTAATTTTTCTTCTAACATGTATTCATGATTGATTTGCAAGTTCTATTTGATTAAATTGATTGAGCTAAGAACGGTTTGCACAGGCTAATGCAAACTCAGCTATAAACCAATCAGTGCACGTGTTTTATTGCTGTTTACAATCCATAATCACCATTGATTTCAATAGAAACTTTTAAAGTAGAGCGTGCATGTACTTAAATATCGTGTAACCCTCCTGAATTATTAATCTTCGGCATTCCCTGTCAACTTGTGCAAACCCTGTTTGATGTTTAATTAATTGTTCAAACTTTTTGTTATAAAGAGAAAGTCGTCTTGATTAAGTCGATGAATATTATCAAAATTTTTCAATTGCTATGAAATTGATCAAGTTTTAGAAAAGGGCGTACCCCCAGTTAGTTATCATAGCCGGTTGTCCTACTTGTTCTCTTCAAATGATTCCTTCTCTTCCAGTTGCAGTTTTTCTGTGCAAATAAATTGGTTAATAGTGCAAGCTCATTGAAGCAATTGTATGTCGTGAATTGGGGATTAAAGGTGCTAGATGTCTGTGCTCTTTCATGGAATGAATTTTGATCTCTTATGCAATTTATTAAATTATTGAACTGTTTTAGGATTTACCAATGTGTCTTCAACATCGCGTTTATTCAACGCCCAAGGAGGATAATTCGACTAGTTTCTACTCTCCATTGACGCAAGATACCATCGTTCCGAACGATATTTCAACTGTTCATTCTCCATTGACGCAAGATACCTTTATTCAAATGGTATTTCAACTAGTGTCCATTCTCCATTGGCGCAAAATACCATCAAAATACCATCAACGACACAAGATGTCATTATTCAGAAAAATAATTCTACTAGTGTCCATTCTCAATTGACGCAAGATTCCACTATTCAAAAGAATGATTCTACTAGAGTCCATTCTCCATTGACGCAAGATTCCAGTATTCATAAGGATACTTCAACTAATGTCCATTCTTCAATGACGCAAGATACATGGTTGTAATGATTCTTCAAGGAAATTGATTTTCCTGTTATGCAAGGGATTTCCTTTGACATTAATGTGGTCATTTATCTTTCCTTACATGAATTTCCACCAGAAAGTTGTGATACGGTTTGCACGTATGTGTGGTGTACCTAATGAATGGTGCACGTTGCAGTTGAAGTTGACTAATAATTCTTGTGTAGTAGCTTCAAGTATTTCCTTGTTACAGGATGAAGCTTGAGTAGAGTAGAACATGTACTTATGGTTTGTGCAAGGTATTGTAGGTACTGCAGAGCCTGGGGACGCACCCCTCTTTCTCTCTCTCATCATTATTTTCTTAATTGAAAGAAATCTGTAGTCCTGAGTTGGCTAAACTTACAAAGATAACAATCTGCCTTTCAAGGAGGAAGGGATTGAATTCACGATTTCCACAGTCTAATGCTTACCCTCCGCACTGAACGTTCCGCTTTCTGTATAATAATTAGAAACCTATAAAAGCAATTTGGTTTTCTTATGATATAAACTAGACCATGTATTGTCGTAATCGTTGTCGAATCGATATTTTAATATCGATTGCAAATGTGTTAAATATTTACAGTACTGTAGTATCCATACAACTTACACAAAACTCAATGATTTTTCTAATCTTACTCATGAGAAATTTTTTCGTTTTTTGCTTGTCTGAGCACATAAGGTAACAGTAAGCAAAAACAAGTTAAAAAGCAGCAAAACTCAAACTTTTCAAAACAATCTATTCACAAGTTATATTTATCTAACACACATTAAGGAGATATACTAGTTTTATTAAATTCAATGCTTTCACGAATTTGGAAGTTTTATAAGTTGATTAGAAATAACAATTGAAACCAAACGTTACGTAAAGCAAAAGTAAGATTGGTGAAAACTTACATAAACTGAATTATGTGCGATACACATGAAACCTTGATGAAAACGTCATCGCGCATACGAAACGCTTATCTACTGCATGCTATACTTCATGTAACCGCATTTGTTTTCTGCCCTGGCAGATGATTGGATCTAATCATCTTAGGAACAAAACGAGGTGAGATGTCAACACGGGTAGTTCAACCTCATCATCCTCAACATAACTGAATGGTCTTCGATTGATTTGCACTCCAATGTTTACTTTGTACAGTTCTTCCAATTTCAGGTTGGCGCCCCTCCAGTTGCGTTGTACATCGCTTGTTTCACAACTCTAACAAGGCGCTGAAACTGTCCATTCCATCATGGTGCCTGAGACGGGATTGGGACTAGGTAAACTGGCATTTAATTTCAAACTGCTCCAGATAATTACCTTAAAGCAGTCCGCTGATTTTTGCGATCTTTTGCATAAGATGAGGCTTTCAATCCTCCCCCATTTTGCACAGATACAGAAATTGAGATGTTGAATCGATACCAACTTATACACTGTATAATATAGAGTAACATGAAAACTACTGTTGATAATGGGCGCTATTGTTCAAAAGTAGCATGTTGCTTGAATGGACCATCTAATGTATGATACATTTTACCGAAAGGAAATATTCAAAAAAAAACAAAGACCGTTCATGCGAATGTGATTTGCGGGTGTTGAATTTATGTTTACCCTTAGAGGTGCAGGTTCTTCGATAAGATTTTAATAGAATTTTGTCGATGAATGATCACGACTTCACGAACGATTGCTTACGATATGGATTAAACTTAAAAGTCTCTAATTCACAAATTGGCATTTTCTGAGAGATAAAACAGTAAGATTTAAAAAAAGTAATTGGGAATACTCCCGAAATCACAAGCTCCCTATGTATGATTAACAAATTATTACGAGCTTTCATGGCTTCATCACTATTCCATATTTGGAAAACGAAATTAATTGTTAAGCAAAAACGTTTTTAATCATAATCAAATGCACATTTAACTTCACAGGTGGGCTTCCGAGAGATTTGTTTCAATGACAAGAACAACTGTCACAAAAGATTTCTAGTTACTGTTTCGTTTACCGCAGATGATTTCAACGCAGCGAAATACCTCTTGACGGTTTAAATTGGATGATTGTGTATTAAATAACATTTGCATTTCCAAAAATACTTGCTGACTAAAGGATGAATAAAAAAAAAGAAAGAAGTCCATGTTTGACTATACTTTTGATGTTCTGGATAAGTGACAAACTGAGAAAATCTGTATCTAAACAAATCACTAGTTGGACGCTGAAAAGTCGATTTATTTGCCTCAACTCCTCAAGGTAATTTTGCCTTTAAAATAGAATACGTTCCACTGGCAAGGAAAGTAGTGACATAAAAAAGCAGATCATGGTGTTTTGAGCCAAACATTTAAGAGCACCAAAATGCACTATGGAAAAAAATTACGAAAAATCTTGTAAGGTAACTAAGTACTTAAACTTTTCAACATTTAATTGCTGCTTTTACATATTTTCTGTATTCCTTTTCAATCTAAAACTACTAATCCTGGGTGTTTAAGCTAAGCAGAAAGTGATATTACGCATTATAAAACCAACCATATTTTTTATAAAGTTTTTAATACGTACATGTTTTGGTATACTTATGCTAAATTTATTGCAGAATGAATGAAATAGTAGAATACAGGTTGATTTATAATAGTATGCATGTGATACTTGATATGTAACTAGACAAACGAGATCCAGGGACGCCGGAACGGGGGGGGGCAAGGGGGCAACGGCCCCCTGCCTTTTCTGAAGATGGGCAGGGGGGGCAAAAGTGCCCTACAGGTTGAAAATTTATTGTTTTTAATCCAAGACAAAGACTACTTAACCGTTGTGGGATATTGCATTCTTTTAGCTCAGCAATAAAATTGTCGTAACTATGTTAGTTTTCCTTTAACATTTCTTTGTTTTAAGTACGTTTTGTAAGTTCTTTGTTTGTTTAGTTAGCTCTTCTTTTTTGTTGCAACGCGCGAGAACTTGAAACGCAATGAAAGAGTGAGTACTGCTTATGACGTAAAGGAAAGCTCGACTTATGTAATTACCGATAGTATAAATAACATGTAAATAATTGATTAACTCTAATAGAGTAATGTACTTGTAGATTGTTTGGCTTGTAAAATAAAAGGTTCAAAACGAAGAGTGTTAGTGAACCAGCTGAGGAGCGAGTTCCTCGACAAGAGAGCTATTGGCTTTACTTGAGAAGCTTTTTAAAGAGCTCCAAGCGGTTGATATTTCAGCTGAGTACGCTCTATTTTCAATAAGACATGTCCTGCAACGTCTTCATTGAGATGAGAAGCGAAAAAGAGTTTGAGCGTACACTTGATGACGCTAAGAAAGTTTTCGTGTTATGATGTCGTTTCCACTTGAATTTAGTGAAAATTTTGGCACTGGTACTAGACTAAGAAAAGTTCCAAGACGGATGAATAATGAAGAAATGTTAATAACAGAAAGCCTTCACGTCACAGATGCCTCAGTTTACAACAGTGCGAATATAACACCAATGCAAAGCTCGTACTACCAAGCCATTGATGCAATCATCTCAGGTCTAGGATCGCGATTTGAACAATACGATCTTTTCCAGATCAAATGTATCGAGGAACTGTTACTTATCACCATGAATGAAGAGTATCTTTAGATGGATTAAGCAATTTTTGTTTGATAAAGATGTTCTAAGAATGCAGTTTGATGATCTTCCTACCATTCTTGGGCTTTACAACGCGGATCAGAAGAAGAAAATAACAGAAGTCACGCGTATTTCAGCAATAGCAGAGATATTCAATGCCATGCCGTCAGCAAAGAAAAGGTGCTCAGAGATCCACAAACTACTTATACTATACTACACAGTGCCAGCGTAATGCGTCGTCTCAAAACATGGCTGCGGTCAAACACTGAAGGAAATCATCTGAATGATATTATGTTCTCCAACATTCAGAAGCAACACATGAATATGGTTGAAATAGACGTAATTGCCAAAGAGTTTTCACAGAGAAATGAAAGAAGAATTAAATTATTTGGAAAATAATATACATGACAAATTGAAAATTAGTGACGTTACATCGTTTGATAGTTACATTATCGTTAATATTCATCGACTAACATTGCGGACATGTGCTTCTGTACAGTGTATTGCATGTAGCACATCTCTTTGCTGTTTATCACAATTAGATAATTTCTGGAATATTTCACTAATGTGCCCTTCCACAAAGGCTTGCCCCTCCTGCCCTTTTGCCGTTCCGGCGTCCCTGATTCTTTATCTTAGTTATATACATGTTGAAAATGAAATTGTTGTTTCCACAATAAAAAAAAACATTTTTCAACAAATATAAAAAAGTGCAAACACGTTTAATGTTAATTAGGCGAGAGCCTACGGACAATAAAGAAAGGTTAAGATAACTGGGCTTATACTGGGCTGTTGAGTTTTGACCAATGGTTGTGAGAAAACAGTTGTCCTGTTGGAATTCTTGTTCGGCTACATTGCCCATATATTAAGATCGCAAAAAAATAATACTTTATAAAAGTAGACGTACATTTTTTCAATTTTCAACCTATTTAGTGATGTCAGATGAAACATTTACAAAGTTTTGTGCATCATTTGGCAGCATGTCTTCACTATCTCGTCTTTTAAAAGGGTGTAATCGAGTTTCACTTTCGACCTTTAACGTCATTGAAAATTTGTTTGGTACTAAACATATTTCACAGTCTTGGAGAAACAGAATCATAAAGCCTCATAATATTAAAAATTGCATGAGCAGAATTGAAGGCAATCAATACTAAAATTTATGAAATAGCTGTTTTCAAAATTTTTAAAACATTTTGCGAATGCCATGTATGATTTTCTAAATTTGAAATTTTCTTTCTTGACTTTATTTTTACGGGATTTTATGGCAAGCCATTTCAGAAAAAAGGTGGTCGAGAAAAAATTTCCGTTCAGAAAGCAAACCAAACTTGAGAAACACGTGTTTATCATTGAGTATTTGCAGATGGTAGTTCAGTAAAGCAAATATATTGTGAGAAAAAATTCCCGGTCGAGGAAAAAATCCCGGTCGAGAAATAAATCTCGGTCGAGAAAAAATCCCGGTCGAGAAATAAATCTCGGTCGAAAAATCCCGGTCGAGAAATAAATCTCGGTCGAGAAAAATCCCGGTCGAGAAATAAATCTTGGCCGAGAAAAAATTCCGGTCGAGAAATAAATCTCGGTCGAGAAAAATCCCGGTCGAGAAATAAATCTCGGTCGAGAAAAAATCCCGGTCGAGAAATAAATCTCGGTCGAGAAAAATCCCGGTCGAGAAATAAATCTCGGTCGAGAAAAAAATCCTGGTGAGCAATAAATCACGGTCAAGAAATAAAATGCCAGTCGTAACAACATAAATATATAATTCTACTACGTAATTCGGCAAAATGCATTACTTACAGTACTGACTACAAACAACGGCTTACATTAGAAAGTTGGTATACCAACTTGGAACAAACCCCCCTGAACAGATCACAGCAATTACCGGCACCTTACAAACGACTTATTCACAATACAAACAAACGATCAACTAAAAACATTTCACTTCACACTAATTCACAATGACAATACACAATTGACACCCACACATTTCCAATACACACAATACAATGACGTAAGAACCAGATAACAAATACGGCTAACCTGACGTTTAGCCTACGGCTTCACAAGACCTAGCCTGATGACGTATAGAATTATGTTTGTAGATGTAGATTGTCCAGGTTGGTATAGTCCTGAGAAGGACTGTTTTTGTTGTTGTTGACTGACGTTTTGACAACCTTAGCGGTAGTCATCTTCAGAGTCAAATGAGGAGAAAAGCCTGGACCACACTATCGTCTATATTGACGAAAACGAAAACGAAACGAAAATTCGTGCACGAAATGCATGCCAGACACGACAAAAAATTTCAAGCATAATTGCAAAGCCAAAACATCTTTGGCCAATAAGCAAGCGGCATTTTTGACGGATTGGGAACAATGGCGATCTCTAAAAGAAAAAGATTACTTCTTCTTAAGAAAAAGTTATTGCTTTTAAAGTTGAAAACAAGCAACAGCAAACGTCGATACTGGATTCATCCAATTAATAAACAACGTGATCGCCTTGGACTATTTAACAACTTGATTAAAGAATTACGAGAGCCGAACAATGAGAATAGACACATGGGTGGTGAAAATGCAGGACAAATTCCCAGGGCGTCACTTCTTTATTTCCAACTTTCAAGGGTGGAAATTCAACGCCCTTCTCAATTTGCCATGATATTGCTTGTTGGAAGTACAGGATGTGGTAAATCATCAATAATAAATCATTTACTGGACACTGGAGATGGAATCCCAGTTGCTGAGATAAATACTTATGAATCGTCTACGAAAAAAACATCTGAGTATATCATTACTTGTGACGAACCCGAGTATGAAGTGAGTGATTTAGTTTTGAGTGTTATTGATACACCTGGCTTCAACAATGTCGATGGCGTTGAACAAGATGTGTGCAATTTTGTATCTATGAAAAAATACTTTGAAACACATCCCAAATTTTCTACCGAAACAAAGATTTATCCAAATCTTGTGTTCATAGTTGACAAAGCCATTAATAATAGAATGGAAGGAATCAATAGCTCACTTTCAAAATCTTTGAGATGTATCAAGATGTTGGATGTTGTTGACATCAGTCATCCAAATCTCGTCGTGATTTTAACTCATGCTTGTTCTGTTGGTTACAAGAACGTGAGAAAAGAATGCAAGAAAAGAAAAATTTTGTGTCAGATCTTGTTTTTCAAATTTTGGGAGTGAGGGCGCCAGTTGTATTGATAAAAAATAATCTTGACGATTATGGACTTGAAAAGAATGGAGATTTCACAATTCTTCCCAATGGTGAAAGACAACCTCTGAATTTATACGATGCTTGCCTTAGCCTATAAAAAAAAGCAGAGACGGAAAAAAAAGAGAAAAATTTGGGCATGTAGGATTGAATGCTGCATTTAAACAAAAGAAAAAGAATCGAACGAGAAATGGTTATGAAATTAAAGCCAAAAATGCAGGTCAAGAGCCATTATCAGACGTGGAGTCGAAACTTGTAAAAGATTTTAGTGAGGCTGCAAGAGGAGGTAGGTTTTGCAAACGTTCTTTCACACTTGCGATAATACGTTTTTCTGGGGGGGAAGCGACATTTTACTTTAGAGTACTACATAACTACAACGTACTACGTACGTTTTTTTTTTACTCTGAAGATGACTACCCCTAAGGTTGTCGAAACGTCAATCAACAACAACAAAAACAGTCCTTCTCAGGACTATACCAATCTGGACGATCTACATCTACAAACATGTAGAGTACTATGTAGCTAAGTATAAACTTAATTCAAAAAAATTCTCAAGTCTCAAGATTTCTTATAATACAAGAATACGTTCCATGAAAATGTGCAAGACATTGTTGTCGTTAGGATTTATTATTTTAAGAAACTGTGATTTTTATTTTGAGAATTTTATTTATGAAATGAAAAAATTTTTTTTCTGTAGAGAAAATAACTTACTCCTTGTTATACATAAACAATACAAATGTTTAAACCTATGTTTCGTAGCTTTTTTGGAAAGTCGTTTTTACTGTAAATCTTTATTCAAAGGTTTTACCAACTCACTTGTCTCGCGTGCAATGCAGTATATTTCTGAGAGCAACATTCAAGAAGAGTCTGTGAAAAAGGAACTTTTAGAGCTGGTGGTAACTATGAATTCGATCGGATTATCGGATGATTTAAAATTGAGGAGTACAACAATTAGTGAAGTCAACTATCGTCATGGCAACGATATCATTGAACATGGCCTTCAAATGTTGGAAAAGAAATTTGGGATAAAATGTGCCGAATCATTTTATCCAGGTATTTTTAAATGGCTCTATCTTAAATTTTTCTAATAGTTAATTCTAAATAATTATAGATAATGCAATTCATAGCTTGTTTTTGAATACTTATTTCATCGTATGTATGGTGAATAAACGTAATTTCTAAAAACTTGATGTTTGTTTATTGTAACTGAATTTATTGGTCAGGGATACAACCTTGTCACGGAAGACTTTGTTTCATCTCCGTTTTTGAAACTATCCCTCGTTGATAATAAACAATTTGGCTTTGAAATTCCTGAGTTTGCACAAATATTAAAGTCAAATGAAAGTGTAGATTACGAAATACATCGACATAGGAATGAAAGTTCCATTAAATCGCGCCTTCAAGACTTGAGCCTAAATGTGAGCATGACACCAAGTATATTGAAGATGGTTTCAGAACTTGATGTAAATCTCAGCATGGAACGTCAGAAAAATGACTTGGGATCTTCAACCAATACAAAGATGTTGATAGAAGTTAGATTAGCAAAGATAAATGTTGGGGAATTTGATTCGATGAAAATTAGTTGTGATGATGTGTTTCGATTTGCTGTGAAAAATATACCAAGTAAAAATATCAAGAACAAGAAAGTGATGAAGGAGTTCATGGATTTTTTCAATAGATTCGGTCAGTTTATCGTCACGTCTGCTTATTTTGGGGGATCAGTTGAATTTGATAGTCGTGATGATAAGATGGAATTGTCAAACCGGGATGAAAACAATATTGGCGGTGGTATTGTTGTATAATTTAGGATATTTCATTTATATTTTTTATTGCATGCCAGATTTTATAAGTTCCCATGCAGAGTTTTATGTGTGCCAAAATTATAATTAAATTAGGCTGTATATACTTAACACTTCCTAAGTATTTTCTCTCTTAATTAATTCACGTTGTAGTAGTGCACGTAAGTCACGAAATGTAAACATATAAATAGACTCAAATTTGTAATAGTCGGAGAGATTGTGTAGATTGTTCATTGCTAATAAACTCCATAAAACAAACCGAATCAGAGTGCAGATCAATTTTCTGGACGAACTCAGTGAATTCTGCGACAGGTATTCGTGCATGTAATGTAAAAATTTCTGGTGAACGACAAGCATCAGCGGAACCAAGAAAGAAAAAATTTTTTGAAAACTGCATCCATTAATTGGAAAGGAGGGCGTTTAGTACTAAAATATACTAAAATTGCAGCCCATTTATACGTTAGTTGGAATGATTGATAAAAAGAAAGGAAATCTTACCAAGCAAGCTTTCCGAAAACTTTTTCAGATTGACATTTCAAGTCTTTACAATAATGATTTGTCAAAAACAAATTTGCAAAGGGAAACCAAAGAAAAGGATCAAGAAAAAAGAAATTCCAATACAAGGTTGGCGTCATTAAGAGAGCCGGATAGTAGAGGATTTAGGAAAATATATGATAGTCTTAAAGGCTTTTATCATTTATTGATGTTTTCGATGTTTACGGGACATTAGTCGATTGATTTCATAAGTCAATCCTTTTTATTTAAAGCATCACTATTGCACTTCTGCGTTGATCTCGTCAGGGACGCCGGAACGGCAAAAGGGCAGGAGGGGCAAGCCTTTGTGGAAGGGCACATTAGTGAAATATTCCAGAAATTATCTAATAGTGATAAGCAGCAAAGAGATGTGCTACATGCAATACACTGTACAGAAGCACATGTCCGCAATGTTAGTCGATGAATATTAACGATAATGTAACTATCAAACGATGTAACGTCACTAATTTTCAATTTGTCATGTATATTATTTTCCAAATAATTTAATTCTTCTTTCATTTCTCTGTGAAAACTCTTTGGCAATTACGTCTATTTCAACCATATTCATGTGTTGCTTCTGAATGTTGGAGAACATAATATCATTCAGATGATTTCCTTCAGTGTTTGACCGCAGCCATGTTTTGAGACGACGCATTACGCTGGCACTGTGTAGTATAGTATAAGTAGTTTGTGGATCTCTGAGCACCTTTTCTTTGCTGACGGCATGGCATTGAATATCTCTGCTATTGCTGAAATACGCGTGACTTCTGTTATTTTCTTCTTCTGATCCGCGTTGTAAAGCCCAAGAATGGTAGGAAGATCATCAAACTGCATTCTTAGAACATCTTTATCAAACAAAAATTGCTTAATCCATCTAAAGATACTCTTCATTCATGGTGATAAGTAACAGTTCCTCGATACATTTGATCTGGAAAAGATCGTATTGTTCAAATCGCGATCCTAGACCTGAGATGATTGCATCAATGGCTTGGTAGTACGAGCTTTGCATTGGTGTTATATTCGCACTGTTGTAAACTGAGGCATCTGTGACGTGAAGGCTTTCTGTTATTAACATTTCTTCATTATTCATCCGTCTTGGAACTTTTCTTAGTCTAGTACCAGTGCCAAAATTTTCACTAAATTCAAGTGGAAACGACATCATAACACGAAAACTTTCTTAGCGTCATCAAGTGTACGCTCAAACTCTTTTTCGCTTCTCATCTCAATGAAGACGTTGCAGGACATGTCTTATTGAAAATAGAGCGTACTCAGCTGAAATATCAACCGCTTGGAGCTCTTTAAAAAGCTTCTCAAGTAAAGCCAATAGCTCTCTTGTCGAGGAACTCGCTCCTCAGCTGGTTCACTAACACTCTTCGTTTTGAACCTTTTATTTTACAAGCCAAACAATCTACAAGTACATTACTCTATTAGAGTTAATCAATTATTTACATGTTATTTATACTATCGGTAATTACATAAGTCGAGCTTTCCTTTACGTCATAAGCAGTACTCACTCTTTCATTGCGTTTCAAGTTCTCGCGCGTTGCAACAAAAAAGAAGAGCTAACTAAACAAACAAAGAACTTACAAAACGTACTTAAAACAAAGAAATGTTAAAGGAAAACTAACATAGTTACGACAATTTTATTGCTGAGCTAAAAAGAATGCAATATCCCACAACGGTTAAGTAGTCTTTGTCTTGGATTAAAAACAATAAATTTTCAACCTGTAGGGCACTTTTGCCCCCCCTGCCCATCTTCAGAAAAGGCAGGGGGGGCCGTTGCCCCCTTGCCCCCCCCCGTTCCGGCGTCCCTGGATCTCGTTTGTCTAGTTACATATCAAGTATCACATGCATACTATTATAAATCAACCTGTATTCTACTATTTCATTCATTCTGCAATAAATTTAGCATAAGTATACCAAAACATGTACGTATTAAAAACTTTATAAAAAATATGGTTGGTTTTATAATGCGTAATATCACTTTCTGCTTAGCTTAAACACCCAGGATTAGTAGTTTTAGATTGAAAAGGAATACAGAAAATATGTAAAAGCAGCAATTAAATGTTGAAAAGTTTAAGTACTTAGTTACCTTACAAGATTTTTCGTAATTTTTTTCCATAGTGCATTTTGGTGCTCTTAAATGTTTGGCTCAAAACACCATGATCTGCTTTTTTATGTCACTACTTTCCTTGCCAGTGGAACGTATTCTATTTTAAAGGCAAAATTACCTTGAGGAGTTGAGGCAAATAAATCGACTTTTCAGCGTCCAACTAGTGATTTGTTTAGATACAGATTTTCTCAGTTTGTCACTTATCCAGAACATCAAAAGTATAGTCAAACATGGACTTCTTTCTTTTTTTATTCATCCTTTAGTCAGCAAGTATTTTTGGAAATGCAAATGTTATTTAATACACAATCATCCAATTTAAACCGTCAAGAGGTATTTCGCTGCGTTGAAATCATCTGCGGTAAACGAAACAGTAACTAGAAATCTTTTGTGACAGTTGTTCTTGTCATTGAAACAAATCTCTCGGAAGCCCACCTGTGAAGTTAAATGTGCATTTGATTATGATTAAAAACGTTTTTGCTTTACAATTAATTTCGTTTTCCAAATATGGAATAGTGATGAAGCCATGAAAGCTCGTAATAATTTGTTAATCATACATAGGGAGCTTGTGATTTCGGGAGTATTCCCAATTACTTTTTTAAATCTTACTGTTTTATCTCTCAGAAAATGCCAATTTGTGAATTAGAGACTTTTAAGTTTAATCCATATCGTAAGCAATCGTTCGTGAAGTCGTGATCATTCATCGACAAAATTCTATTAAAATCTTATCGAAGAACCTGCACCTCTAAGGGTAAACATAAATTCAACACCCGCAAATCACATTCGCATGAACGGTCTTTGTTTTTTTTTGAATATTTCCTTTCGGTAAAATGTATCATACATTAGATGGTCCATTCAAGCAACATGCTACTTTTGAACAATAGCGCCCATTATCAACAGTAGTTTTCATGTTACTCTATATTATACAGTGTATAAGTTGGTATCGATTCAACATCTCAATTTCTGTATCTGTGCAAAATGGGGGAGGATTGAAAGCCTCATCTTATGCAAAAGATCGCAAAAATCAGCGGACTGCTTTAAGGTAATTATCTGGAGCAGTTTGAAATTAAATGCCAGTTTACCTAGTCCCAATCCCGTCTCAGGCACCATGATGGAATGGACAGTTTCAGCGCCTTGTTAGAGTTGTGAAACAAGCGATGTACAACGCAACTGGAGGGGCGCCAACCTGAAATTGGAAGAACTGTACAAAGTAAACATTGGAGTGCAAATCAATCGAAGACCATTCAGTTATGTTGAGGATGATGAGGTTGAACTACCCGTGTTGACATCTCACCTCGTTTTGTTCCTAAGATGATTAGATCCAATCATCTGCCAGGGCAGAAAACAAATGCGGTTACATGAAGTATAGCATGCAGTAGATAAGCGTTTCGTATGCGCGATGACGTTTTCATCAAGGTTTCATGTGTATCGCACATAATTCAGTTTATGTAAGTTTTCACCAATCTTACTTTTGCTTTACGTAACGTTTGGTTTCAATTGTTATTTCTAATCAACTTATAAAACTTCCAAATTCGTGAAAGCATTGAATTTAATAAAACTAGTATATCTCCTTAATGTGTGTTAGATAAATATAACTTGTGAATAGATTGTTTTGAAAAAGTTTGAGTTTTTGCTGCTTTTTAACTTGTTTTTGCTTACTGTTACCTTATGTGCTCAGACAAGCAAAAAACGAAAAAATTTCTCATGAGTAAGATTAGAAAAATCATTGAGTTTTGTGTAAGTTGTATGGATACTACAGTACTGTAAATATTTAACACATTTGCAATCGATATTAAAATATCGATTCGACAACGATTACGACAATACATGGTCTAGTTTATATCATAAGAAAACCAAATTGCTTTTTATAGGTTTCTAATTATTATACAGAAAGCGGAACGTTCAGTGCGGAGGGTAAGCATTAGACTGTGGAAATCGTGAATTCAATCCCTTCCTCCTTGAAAGGCAGATTGTTATCTTTGTAAGTTTAGCCAACTCAGGACTACAGATTTCTTTCAATTAAGAAAATAATGATGAGAGAGAGAGAGGGTGCGTCCCCAGGCTCTGCAGTACCTACAATACCTTGCACAAACCATAAGTACATGTTCTACTCTACTCAAGCTTCATCCTGTAACAAGGAAATACTTGAAGCTACTAAACAAGAATTATTAGTCAACTTCAACTGCAACGTGCACCATTCATTAGGTACACCACACATACGTGCAAACCGTATCACAACTTTCTGGTGGAAATTCATGTAAGGAAAGATAAATGACCACATTAATGTCAAAGGAAATCCCTTGCATAACAGGAAAATCAATTTCCTTGAAGAATCATTACAACCATGTATCTTGCGTCATTGAAGAATGGACATTAGTTGAAGTATCCTTATGAATACTGGAATCTTGCGTCAATGGAGAATGGACTCTAGTAGAATCATTCTTTTGAATAGTGGAATCTTGCGTCAATTGAGAATGGACACTAGTAGAATTATTTTTCTGAATAATGACATCTTGTGTCGTTGATGGTATTTTGATGGTATTTTGCGCCAATGGAGAATGGACACTAGTTGAAATACCATTTGAATAAAGGTATCTTGCGTCAATGGAGAATGAACAGTTGAAATATCGTTCGGAACGATGGTATCTTGCGTCAATGGAGAGTAGAAACTAGTCGAATTATCCTCCTTGGGCGTTGAATAAACGCGATGTTGAAGACACATTGGTAAATCCTAAAACAGTTCAATAATTTAATAAATTGCATAAGAGATCAAAATTCATTCCATGAAAGAGCACAGACATCTAGCACCTTTAATCCCCAATTCACGACATACAATTGCTTCATTGAACTTGCACTATTAACCAATTTATCTTCACAGAAAAACTGCAACTGGAAGAGAATGAATCATTTGAAGAGAACAAGTAGGACAACCAGCTATGATAACTAACTGGGGGTACGCCCTTTTCTAAAACTTGATCAATTTCATAGCAATTGAAGAACTTTGATAATATTCATCGACTTAATCAAGACGACTTTCTCTTTATAACAAAAAGTTTGAACAATTAATTAAACATCAAACAGGGTTTGCACAAGTTGACAGGGAATGCCGAAGATTAATAATTCAGGAGGGTTACACGATATTTAAGTACATGCACGCTCTACTTTAAAAGTTTCTATTGAAATCAATGGTGATTATGGATTGTAAACAGCAATAAAACACGTGCACTGATTGGTTTATAGCTGAGTTTGCATTAGCCTGTGCAAACCGTTCTTAGCTCAATCAATTTAATCAAATAGAACTTGCAAATCAATCATGAATACATGTTAGAAGAAAAATTAAAACGTTTATTTTAAATTTGCCTGTTTCGCATTATTGTAGTTTTATAAAAGAAATGAAAGATGTTTTTCGTGTTTCCACTGGCTTATGAAAACCTCGAAAAAAATATAGAGCAGATGTAACCCTTGACCTTCGGTCTCGGGCTTGCACTGATCTGCTCTCGATAATTTCCACAGGTCTCCTCGGTTTGATTACTCCTGTGCAAACACAGAAAAAGTTTTTTCTTACTTGATTATAACATGAACATGAGCCCCAAATCATCAATCTTCCCCAGTCCCTCTCTTTTATTACTTGATTACAACATATGAACATATAAATATAGGCCGCGAATCGTCAATCTTCCCAGTCCTCTCTTTTATTAATTGATTACAACATATTGACATATAAATATAGGTCCCAAATCGTCAATCATCCACGGTCCCTGATACAAGTTCACATTGACATAACAATATCATCAACACCACAAAATAGAGACAGTACGGTGTATATTTAAAGACAACCTTCAAAATTGATGTATTGTGATGTTGTGAATGCATGATCATTATGTTATCGCGGTGCATAAAATGTTATCGACTACGTGTAAATATTACGTATCTTTGTTACTATTACAAGGGCTTTTCGCTGCTGGTAAATTTCCGAAGATCTTCTTTTTTACACACCCTGTATACATAGGCACCAATTTGAGTGTTCGTGTATGAAATTACCTCTTGTTCTTCCATCAGGTTGATCTTTTTTTTAAACAGTTTTTCAAGATGCAATAAAAGCACACGATGCGAGCAACGTAAATACTGTCTTGATATTACCTTTTCAAAAAGACAAAAATCAAGCAGTATAAAACGAGGTTTTGTATTAATAACGGGTTAATGACAAAAGTGCAATGTGAGATAACTAATGTAAATAAAGTTTTGTACATTTGGAGTCATCAATAAGTCCATAAATTTGAAACCAAATTTACGACTCAAAGGAAAACAATCGTTGTCTATTATCAGGGAAGTAAAAGTGGGGACACTTGGGGACGGATCTACAGTTCCTGCAGCTAAGAGGGCTATCCCTTTCTACTTCAGAAATCAGAAAGTTATTAATCACAGTTTAATCTGCCGAGTTTGGTCACGTATTGTTCGGTATGAATGTAAGTGTAAGCCTTTTCACAAAGGTACTAAAGGTAATATTCATACAGGGGTTATGACTTAAAATAACTTATGAATGACCTATTAATCATCTCAGTGAAATGCTGTGATTACCCCTGACGTCATATATGACTTTTTAAGATTTCGCTGCTTCATCCTTGTCAGACTTTCCCCCCCTGTTAAAACTAGTTCTACAGCACTGGTCATAATCAATATAAGTTAATCTTAACTATCCACCAAGTGGTTTGGCCTACTTCGCAAAAAGTCTGCCCAAATAAGATTATGTAATCGCACAACATGCTTTTAATTTCTGCATAATTACATATGATTTGAAGACAAAATGATCCTATGTATTTTTATAAATTAGCCATTAAAGCAAACATCTTACTACGTACGTGTTTGTAGAGATTTTCCAAAGGTCTAAAAGAAATAAAACGAATCGTGTTCGACTTCAAAGAAATTGCACAAACAAACGAAATTGCACAACATCATACCCGTCGTACGGCTTGAAGTAAATTGAAATCAACTCATCATCACGGTAATTGTTGATGTATTCTGTGATGTCGTTCACCAAAGATGAGTGCGATTCCTCGTCGCTTTCGCATTCTAAAACAAAATTACGGTGAGGGGGGGAGGGGTTAGGAGAGTCGAGGGCTTGTGAAGGGCTCAGCCGCAGCACTATAACCCCAAATTTCAACAGCAAATTCAGCCAGCAAAAACGTCAGTTTCATAGTACTCTGAATGTTGTGTTCGGTATGGGCACTGGTAAGGATAATATTGTCACAGAGGGTACTTGGCATGTTATAACTCGTGTTTTTCTCAGGGGGGACCGTACTGAAACCCAAACCCTTACTACATCACCGTTATTTGACTGAACTGTGAACAATAAGAGTTTGAACTGCGTGAGCTGACTTCAGACCAACCTTCCGTTTCGATATCTTTCTTTGGCACTGGCATTCCTCTTTCGTCGTAAAATTCATCTTCCCTCATTTCTTCATCTGCAAGATATAGTCAAATTACGAGATCTGAATAACCCAAGTTGACTTAAAACATTTTGCACTGTTAAAAAAACAACAACTCACAAATCTGGACATTTAACAAGAGGAGAAAAAACAGAGCAAGCATCTCAGTTTTCCTTCGGAAGAATATCGTTCAACAATGAAAATAAAACATAAGCCTACCTTCAAATAAGTTTGGAACAACTTTATAAACAATATCTTGCATCGTCCTATCAAGTCTACAAATAAACAAATCTCAGTCTTATATATATCGGGACCAAAAACCACTGATATGAACATTCTTAAATGACATGCAAGTGATGCAAGACCATCAAATCCTTCACGTGGTAAAATAACGAAAGACGGTTTTGTGTTTGGAACAGTCGAACGGATACGTGCAACATGTTTTACAGAAAATGTTGGATACGTCCAACACGTTTTACAGGAAATGCTGGATACGTCCAACACGTTTTACAGAAAATGTTGGATACGTCCAACACGTTTTACAGGAAATGTTTGATACGTTCAACACGTCTTACAGGAAATGTTGGATACGTCCAACACATTTTACAGGAAATGTTGGATACGTCCAACACGTTTTACAGAAAATGTTGGATGCGTCCAACACGTTTTACAGAAAATGTTGGATACGTCCAACACGTTTTACAGGAAATTTGGATACGTCCAACACGTTTTACAGGAAATGTTGGATGCGTCCAACATGTTTTACAGGAAATGTTGGATACGTCCAACACGTTTTACAGAAAATGTTGGATACGTACAACACGTTTTACAGAAAATGTTGGATACGTCCAACACGTTTTACAGGAAATGTTGGATATATCCAACGTTTTACAGGAAATGTTGGATACGTACAACACGTTTTACAGAAAATGTTGGATACGTACAACACGTTTTACAGGAAATGTTGGATGCGTCCATCACTTTTTACAGGAAATGTTGGATGCGTCGATCACGCTTTACAGGAAATGTTGGATACGTCCAACATGTTTTACAGGAAATGATGGAGACGACGATGAAGACGATATTGAGCAGATTTTACTCTCGCGTTCATCTTGTTTGTGCTGCCTGCATGGTCTTAATCAATTCGCCCGATCATAGATCACAACAAAATGCGGCCGTAGCGCTGTTTGTGTAGAATGGTTCGGTTATTGAATACGTGCATGTAGTCGCCGGTCGTAGACATGGCCAACACATGTATTTCAAAAAAACAACATCTTCCAAGTCATTCACAAAATCCAACTGGTCATGGTGGGGAAATGTAAACACGTCTTGCGTAAGATGCTAAAAAGAGGGCGGGGCAGTTAGCGTTCCAGTTGATATTATAGTTCACTTGGGAGGTTACTTTCAGGAGTTAGGCTACTTTCCACACTCTACGGTATTATGCAACGTCATCGATGAATTGGTCGAAATGTACTTACAGGTGCAAATATTATGGAGTAAAATCAATAGGAAATAGCAAGATGTCCCTTCGAACAAATCTTCGGCCAAATGGTCTAAAAGAAACTTTCTTAGTAAGTTCACATACCATATAGTTTTACAGCAAATTCAAGCAGTATGAACCACATCACTTGAGCCACGTAACGTCAACTTTATTTATTTGCTACGTCTGAAGCCAAAATTAAATGCTCGTGACTGTCTATTGGGCTTCATTCATAGTGTATCCGGACAGTTGATTAAGAAACATTAGCTACAAGCCTACAACGGGCAACTATGAGAATGCACGATGCCCAAGAAAGCTCTCCAAGCCACCATACTTTTTAAGCATAACTGAATGTGTTTCAAATGTAGTAATCACGAGACGGACATAGCTCTCATCAAAAAAGACAAATTTGCAAAGTGCTATGGGATAGAATAGCCAGGGTATTTGCTTACAAGAAATTCGTCCTAATTATTTTTCATACGAATAGGAAATCTCTTTACGATGATTTGAACAAGCTTGAAACAAACCAGCAAGTTTCTTGGATCCTGAAATTGACAGGACGTCAACGTTAAAGGCATTCATAACAACAACGAAATACCGATAAATTAAGTAGTACAGAGAATAACATGTAAACGTTACATTGATCAGCTTGCAGCAATGACTGCAAAATTCAAAAAAAAACAAGTTTTAAATCACAGCACATGACTTGTATTTGGAAAAATACATTATTAATAAAAAAGAGGAGCAAATAGCTAGGATGATTTGATAGTTTGTTCGTGAAAATATTATTGCATTGCAAAAATTAAGAAATGCGTGATTACTAGCAAGTACAAACACGAAAAACATCTCATAACAATTATGCGAAACAAATAAATTTAAAACAAATGTTTTAATTTTTCCTATAACATGCATTCGTGATTGATTTGCAAATTCCCTTTGATTGAATAAGTTGATTTAGCTACAATGGTTAAGCTAAGATTTTGCACAGGCTAATGAAAACTCAACCACGGACAATTCAGCGCAGGCGTTGTATTGCTGTCATTTTACAACTCAAATGACGCCCTCCCAGATAAAATCCTGGGTCTACACCTGTACTAAATACGTACGTCATCGTAAGTAGCTAGAGTGTGAGCGCTTTTGAAAAATAAACAAATGGCAAATGACGATCTTATTCATGATGGTAATTTTTCAAAAGCCTTCATATTCTACTGATTACATGTACTTGTCGAAACGTTTAAAATAAAACGCTTACTTTTTAAGAAGTATCAAGTATTTTTTGTTTTACTAAGATACTATTTCGTAGTCGTAATACATTGTTACCTGTACATGAATCTCTTTGAAAATTGCTTGAACTATCCTAACAGTTAATCCTTCTTGAATCACCTTATAGCTTACCTAATTAAACATACATTAATAATGTTTGGTACATACAGAAGTGAGAAATCAGATGTTATCATCATATCAATCCCAAAGTATTATATAAAGTATAAGCTAATCCCAAAGTACTGCACTGTATAATACAATCATCATTACCAAAAAACTGTAACAATACAAGCTAAAGAATGACGCAAACAATGAGGTGAAAAACTAAAAAAAACTAAATAAATAAATAACTAGAATGATCTGAGTTTTATCCATAACAAGGCTGGCTAGACCACTGCACAAGCAAATTAGGAGTTCAGAATGAAGATAGACTGTTAAACCAGTCTTTTATGCTGTCATTGTTTGCTTTTAGATGTCAACCTGAGCCCAGTAAGAATTAAATGTACCAGATGAAATGCAAAGGCAAAAAATATGCACGGCAAAAAGATAATAAAAATGCATTCTTTGGCTTTAACAGTCAGTTTCACACAGATACAATACAACATACCAAAGCCAATAAACCAGAGAAGGCATGAGGAGCCAGAGAGAAATGATCCTTCAGACAATCACAAAAAAATTCCACCAAAACAGTAACTAATAATAAAGTGTAATAAATGTTGATTTTAAAAGAAGTATTTTACAACCCGAGATAAATTCCCTGTAACTTGAGGCAAACCAATCAAAAACTCAAGTTTATCAATTACTCATTTGTTTATGTAACTTATGCATATTTAAACACTGTTTTAGCAACCAGATTGTTTGTGTGAACAAAATCCTACAGTAGTCTGTGACCTTGTGAATATGAATGTTCATAATGGCAAAATGTGGATAAGAGTAAAGTGTGCTTAGTCACTAAATTATCATAAGCATACCTTCTTTCTTGAGGAGTTCATTGGTTACAAGCCGACAAAGCAACAAGCACAGCAGTTGTGTTCCCTTGCATCTTTTATCTGTTCCTTGATTGGTCAGATAGGGTCTGAAATTGAACAACAATTCAAACATCTCACATCTTACTACAGCCATCAATACATCCAGAAGAAAGTTGGGAAATTCTCTTACCCAAATGAATGATAGAAACATATATGATGTAAATGATGATTGAAAAAATCAAAAAGTAATTCATGCAGCATTAAAACACAGCACATTACATTTAATTTTACATTTTTTAGAGGAGAAAATGAGAGTTCAATCACCAACTGACAAGATTGTTTTGTTCCTGATAGTTTGGGTAGTTAAATCACATGTTAAAATGAAATGCACAACAATTTCTCTATTCCACCCATTCAACACATTAATAACATGAAGTTATTCTTTGCTATAAAAGGAATTCAATTTATTCTGTATAGTAATTGACCTCTATGAAAAAAAATGCCTCAATAAATCATATGATTACATTTATTTTCATACAAAGCAAGATTTTGTATGGTATTCATTTTACAACTACAGTTATCAACAATAATAAATGTCTTTCAATTTGATGGTGACCAATGTGAACAAACTTAGTTAATGGTTAATAATACCATGCTTCCAGATAAATGATCAAATAATCATGCAAATCTATCACATCACATGTATCAAGTGCAAGTCAATAAATCAGCAAAATTGTGAGAAGATAAACTTATACAAAATGGGCCATTTAGTTATGTTCTGGTATGTCACCAGTGATACATAGTTCTAGCACTTTAAGCCTTTCTCTACGCTTAGATATTTCTGGAACGTAACAAAATCGCTATTACTTATATCTAAAGGTGCAAAGTGACATACATTATGACCCCTGACACTATCTTGTCAGCGTTGTTAACTGTAAGATTTAGACTAATCTATGAATCAGAGATAACATTTTAAATTCTAGTTGATAAAATCAACATAATACACCACGATACATTCAAACAAACATATAAATTACCCTAACTTTTCCACGATCTGCAATAAATTAACTTCTTTTGAGAGAGCAGGTAGAACTTTAAAATAGGACGCTTCAAGGCATATTGAACTCAGACGGAAAATTACATTTAATAAAACTTTAACCTTTGTTAAACATATTGAGAACTGCACCGCGTTCTTCCTTCAATTCTTATTTCATATAATGGTCGACTAACTTGTCGGCCATGATATTTTCTAAATGAACTGAACCAGCGAACGGACTGAACGGACTGGAAGAGGACCGGGATGGCCGAACTGGACCCAGTGACTGAACCATCTGGATGGGGAGGGGGCGAGATGAAAGTGGAGAAAATTTTTTGACATGTAATCCATGATGTAATCTAAATATTTCCCAGACCTCTGGATCCCTTAAGTCTTAGAGAACTCAATGGACAGGTAACATGATCGTAGTTAATCATGTAAACGCCTAGAGTAATAACATGAGTATTACTTTATAACAGTGATTTACAAGACAGAGCAATTTCCCTTTCTCTATCTTTGTTAATTTATAATCATGTTGAAAATGAAATCGTTTGAATCATAAAGCTGAATCTTTGTTTGGTAATACCGATTAACATTGCAATCTGACGTACACAACTGACTTACCGCTGACACCAATCAGTTGAATAACACAGTTAGAGGCGCGGGAGTGACTAGCAGCGCTATTTAATTAAACTGTGGAATTTATAGCCATTTATTCGCTCAGCTACCAAAGGATATATGACCATGGCAACACCGCTGGAGTTTGTAGCAGTCATTCCAGGTTCTTATTGCGTGTGATTCTTGTCGCAGCTAGAAATATGATGTCAATTAAGACATCTATTTCATCTATGTTGTTGTATTCAATGGCACAACGTGTTTCCTTCATGCACAGTAAATTCTTATTTGCCAGAACTATCTTCTTTGTTCCCGTGTCATCGGGGTCGATAACACAACTTAGTCACAAATAATGGAGTGGTTTCATGATTCTCATTCCAATCGTTAAAATGGTTGCTTTGAAACTTGAAAGTGTGCACGCAAGCATATTTTACAAAATTCTTCATACACAAGACAGCGTCTTCAGTATTGACGTTTCAACGAGTAATTTTGAAAAACATCTAATTATTTAGAATAAATGATATTTTTGTAGTTCCAATTTCTTTTGCTATCATGTGACAATACAGTTAAAAACATTAATGCATATGATTTCAAATTTTGTTTCACAATGTTGATATTCACAATGTAGAATATATAATGAGTGATTCTATATTGAATGAGCACAGGTTTTGTTATTTTAATGACATGCAAACAATTTTGCCACCTATAAATGTGCATTTTCAGTATTTTGATCTTATTGATTTTCGAAGTCAAACTTCGCCATAAAATTCAGGTAACATTTCTTATTATGTTGTAACGTTTTAAGATAATTCGTTATTTTCTATTTATATGAGCATTCAATGCAAGCATGTTGAATTATAATTCCTATTGCTACAATAACTGTATAATTTTAAAGCAAACACAACCACAGCTTTACTAGACTTTTTAATCATTTATAATTTTTAAGCTTCATTAACAGAAAAAGTATTGTAGAAGCTGAGAAAGTATTAGAAATTCTATACGCATTTTTGTGCATGTTTAAAAATAAAGTTCGAGTTGATGTATTAGGAAGAAAATTATAACAGTGTTGCAGAGGGTTAGCCTCCGTTTGTGCTAAAATTTTCGATATAAATCCACACATTATAAATCCACACAAGTAACATTTGTATTTCGTACATGATCTTATGCGAAGCTTGCATATGTATAATATCTTGACTGACTTTTGTTATGACGCTTTTTAAGGAACATCGTGAAATGTTGTGAAGAGTAGGATTATTCGTATGTTAAGTTCCACTTCAGTAGATTGCAATATACAATATCATAAAATTTTGGGTGTGAAACGTGTTGTTATGTATAATAATATTTTTAAACAACATCTTAATAAGACTTTGTCTACGACCAATCTTCGCTGGTTGCAAATAATTTATGTTTTAAAACATTGTGAAAGATAAAACATTGTTTTATCTTTCAACGTAACGGACGCTTCACGCTACTGCACTCATTGAAAAATTGTGCAAAATTTGTCGTATAACGTCCCTCAGACCTGTGACACTGAAATTCCCGTATTCCTACAACACGAGTTTTTTGAGCATTCAAACAATCAGCGTCCGTATTTTCATAAGACTATTTCCTAATATCAAATTTTATATAATAAATGCATGAAATATTGAGTTGCTTTAGAGTATGGAAGGCTTTAGAAGGCCAAATTTTCATCTTGCCTTAGCGTTAGCGTATAACTCATAGCCTTTGCCTAAATATAAGTGCTTTAGTCTATTATAATTTAAATACCTTTAGAATTTCGTTGCTGGATAGTAGATACTTTGGAATTATTGCCATTTAATCGAGTCGGCATTTACGAAGAATTTTAGGTTAGGTAATGTACATTTGCTTATTTTAGTAAAATAGATAAACATTTTGTGAAAACATTCTTAAAATGAGCTTCATTCTTTAATTATATTTTAGCTATTCTGAATAATTTGAACTTTAACCACGACGTCCACGGGAAGGTACGCCGCTGTAAAGGTATTACTTACACACACGATATCAAAATATGAGCACATTTTTCTTGTGAAAGACTGCGTTTTTGTTGTATGTATACATAATATTTAAATGTTTAACGTAACTTTTGCAACATCTCACTTTATATGTTCATACTGCAAAAATTTGTGAAACGCGGAATTATTTCATAATATTTTTTCAAGTAGAATTGACAATATATGGAGTCTATTGTTGTGTGCTAAATGCTTACGTCTACTAACTGGTTCCTATTTCTATATTTTGTTGCATTTCGTGCCAAGAATTTTCATGTTTCATCGCATTAAATTAAACGCTCTGTTTGACTACAAAAATCCCTCAATAACTATTTTTCTTATTTTTCAACGCTGTGATATAATTTTGAATTTCTAATATTGCACGAATTGAGTTCTCTCCGAATCGAACAACCTGATGAATTTCAATTTGATGAAATTGCTGCATCATGTGTATCAAATTTGCAGTAATATTGTGCTTTAATTTCTGAAAATGAATGCATAAAATATGTTTAATAAGGAGTGAGTGAGACGGGCCAGGTCAACAAATTTCGTCAATTGCAGTCGTCAAAAAAAAACATTTTAGATTCTATTTAAATTGAAAAATATGCCAAATCTTGACTGTAGAAAATAGAAGACACACCTTAATTATCATAATGAATATTGATATGCTTGGAATGTCTATTTTGTAAATACATTAGATCCGCGGTGCAGAACAACAACGTTCAACACAGTTATTCAAACGAATTGTGTTTGGTTAAATTTTTGATAAAGAAATGGACAGTATCAACTCTTCTCAATTAAAGCCCATACCATCGTCTGAAAATGAAAGAATAAAAGAATTAAATGAGATCAAAATGAGTGGTGAAAATGCAGAAATAAATCCCAGGGCGTCACTTCTTTATTTTATAACTTCAAGTATGAAAATCCAACGCCATTCTAAATCTGCAATGATATTGCTTGTTGGAGGTAGTGGATGTGGTAAATCATCAACAATAAATCATTTACTGGACACTGGAGATGGAATTAGTGTTATTGAGACAAGTGATAACGAATCATCTACGAAAAAAACATCTGAGTATATTATTACTATTGACGAACCCAAGTATGAAGTGAGTGATTTAACCATGAGAATTATTGACACCCCTGGTTTAAATGATAGTGAGGGTGTTAAACAAGATGCATGTAATTTTGTATCTATAAAAAAATATTTGGAAACACATCCCGAATTTTCTTCGAAAACAAAGATTTATCCAAATCTTGTGTTCCTAGTTGACAGAGCCAGTAATAATAGAATAAAAGGAGTCATTAGCACACTTTCAAAATCCTTGAGAAGTATCAAGATGTTGAATATTGTTGACATCAGTCATCCAAATCTTGTTGTGATTTTAACACATGTTTGTTCAGTTGGCTACGCAAACCCGAAGAAATGGCAAGAAAGGATGCAAAAAATGAAAGAACGTGTGTCTGACATTGTTTTTGAAACTTTAGGTGTCAGAGCGCCAACTGTATTGATAGAAAATGATCCTTATGATGATTATGAACTAGAAAAGAAAGGAGAATTCACAATTCTTCCCAATGGTGAAAGACAACCTTTGAATTTATACAAAGCTTGCCTTGGCTTTCTCACAAAAAGCAAAGATGGAAACGATATCACAGATAAGTTTGGGCATATGGTGTTCAATGCTGCATTTACACGAAAGAAAAAGAAAACCATTAAAGGTCATGAAGTTAAAGCTAAAGTAGCAAGTAAAGAGGAGTTATCAGAGGAGGAATGGAAACTTGCAAAAGATTTTACTGAAGCTGCTGCAGGAGGTAGGATTTGTAGTTTTTTTTTTCATTTTTATTTCTAGCTATTAATCTTTTTTAATAAAATATTATTACATCAGTGAACGTTTCACTGCATTATGTAAAATACTGATATCGGATCACGCATTTTTTCCATAAACGTTATTTCCCACATTTACAAATATTTTCTGGAAGCAAGATTTTTCTGTAGAGTACTAAATTAAAAAAAAATACAGCAATCTTCAAAATTTCTGATCAATAATAGGTTTCATTAAAATATGCATCTTATTTTTAACACATTCTTGTATTTAGAACTGTTGTTTTTTAGAAGTTAACTCTTGAAATAAGAAAAAACTTTTATAGCAAGAGCAAATAACTTTTTCCATGTTTCATTAACGTTAGAAGCTAGTATAGGTAATAAAATGCGTTGAAATTTTTTTCGATTGTGATTAGTTGACTGAATTGCAGCTCAATGTGAAAATGTGTAATTGCACAGCAGAAAAGCTGTAATTGCAATGTAAATACTATAACTTGCTTGGCTGAAGAACAGTGAAAGCCAAACAAACCTATTTCAATTAAAAAAAACATGGCAGCTGTTGTAAATAAACGAAGTAAACAAGATTTTCACAATTGCAATCGTTTTAAATTCAAGAATTACAAAAGAATACAAAACAGCAAGTAGCTACTGTTTTTTACAAGTATTACCACACTGCAATTACACATTTTCACTGTGCATTTACAGATAAACTGCACTGTATTCAACCAGTCACTGCTGAGAAGCACATTGTTACAATTGCAAGTTTTTGTTCAAAGGTTTACCCAACTCACTTGCCGAGCGTGCAATGCAGTATATTTCCGAGAACAGCATCAAGGACGAAACTGTAAAAAAAGAACTTTTTGGGCTGGTAGAAACTATGAATGCGATGGGATTGTCGGATGATTCAAAATTAAAGCGCACAACAATCAGTAAAATCAACCATTGTCATGACGACATTATCACCGAACATGGCCTTCAAATGTTGGAAAAGCAATTTAACATAAAATGTGCTGAGTCGTTTTTTTCGGGTATTTGGAAATTTTTCTAACTTATGGCGAGCATCAAAAGCATTATAATAGTCAATTCATAAATAATTGTGGCCAATCCACAGTGGCGTAATTGGGTGTTCAGGTGTCAAGTGACGGAGGCCCCCGAGAATTAAGGGCCCCACACAAGAAATACAATATAAATTTATTAAATAAACAAAGTAAATTTATAGGACATCAACAACTACAACTTTGCAACTTTAGTATATATTGTCAATGAAATAGAAACATACATTTGTTGAGAAATCTTTACAATACTCTCAACAAAATAACATGCAGGGTATATTCGTGCACGAAAAAATATCGCGTTAGCTGTGATGTAAAAAAGAAAACACCTTAACTTATGCATCTGCTCTGTTGACATATTTTTTATAAAATTTTCTGTAATTTCCATAGCTACTTTGAAATAAAGGACCCGTGAAATAAAGATAGTTTAACATTTTATCTCTAATCCTTTAACAAACCATTAAAAATGCAGTTTCTGCTGCTCTTTTGTTTTTTAGCTTCAATTTCTTTTTTTTGTTTCTAATTGTGCTGTGGATGCTAAAGAACTCATTCTAGCATAAAAATACGAGATTTTTGCTAAAACTATAGGATACTAAACATTTAAAATTGGCTACTTTTTTACAACGACTCTCTAGTTAACTATGCACGTAACATAGCCTTATGTTAAAAAAAACTCGCAAGTAGAGGAAATATAAATAAATGTGTACGATCATTCAACCTATTTTCTACTGGAACATAACGGGGGTAACAAAAGCTATATGACGGAGGAGCCCAAATGCTTGTATTACGCCACTGCTAATCCAAATCATTGCTTATAAAACACTTACTTCATCGTATTTGATGAATAAGCGTAATTTCTAAAAACTTGATTTTTCTTTCTTGTAGCTGAATTTATTGGTCAGGGATACAACCTTCTCACAGACGACTTTGTTTCTGCTCAGGTTTTAAAATTATCTCTCGTTGATAATAAACAATTTGGCTTGAGAATTCCTAAATTTGCACAAATATTGAAGACAAATGAAACTGTAGACAGCGAAGTACATTTACAACGGAATGAAAGTTACATTAAGTCGCGCCTTTCAGCCTTGGGGCTAAATGTGAACATGGCACCAAGTATATTAAAGATGGCTCCAGAATTTGATGTAAATTACAGCATGGAGCGTGAGGAAAATGACTCAAGATCTTCAACCAGTACAAAGATATTAAAAGAAGTAAGAATCGCAAAGATTAATGTTGATGAATTTGATTCGAAAAAAATTACTTTTGCTGATGAATTTCGTTCTGCTGTGGAAGAACTTCCAAGTGAAAATATCGAAAACGAGAAAGTGATGAAAAAGTTCATAAATTTTTTCAATAAATTTGGTCAGTTTGTCGTCACGTCTGCATATGTTGGGGGATCAGTTGAATGTGATAATTATAATGACATCATAGAATTGTCAAACCGAGATGAAAATTATGTTGGCGGTATTATTGGTGCAATTATTGTGAGACTTTGGGCTAAACGACAAACACCAGTGAATACAGAAAGCAACGGAGTCTTGAAAACTAGATCCACTAAATGGAGAGGTGGGCATGTAGACTTGCAAGTTGAAGAAAAATTCCATGAATGGAAAAAATCTGTTGCCAATGACCCAGTGCTTTTAAAACATAAATTAACATTGCAGCACATTCACACGTTAGTTGGAATGATTGATAAAAAGAAAGGGAATCTCGCCAAACAAGCTTTCGAAAAAATGTTTCAGATTGATACTTTAGATACTTTAAGTCTTTACGGTAATGATTCTTCAAAAGCAAATTCGGAGAAAAAGGAACTGAAGCAAGAAAAAGCAGATTCTTCTAACACAAAGCTAAGTGAAGTTGAAGAACCGAGTTCTAGGGGATTAAGGAAAATGTTCGACTACATCAAAAACGTTTTCTCAACACTTGGTGATGCTATTAAAAATAAATTTGCTTGATTTAAAAAATAAGTCAAACTTCAAATGAAAAATTTGAAGCATCACTATTGCACTTTCACCGTTTAAATCTATTTTGTCTATTCGCTTTCAGTACATATTATTATAAACTACCTGTATTTAAATATTTAATTCACTCTGCAAAAAAGGCAATGAAAATGTAATAAATATGCCAAAACATGTATGTAATAAAACAATTTAGAAAAATTTGCGTTGATTTTAAATGTCTAATATAACTTTACACATCAACATAATTTTCGAAACTTTATTATAAGTAAACGTATGCTTTTATGGATATCAGTGATTAAATGTCCCACAAACCGAGGACATTTAATAAGCTTTCCTCTCTTTGCCGGACGATTACTAATATCCCTTAATAAAAACATGCGTTTACTCACAAAAAACCATACAAAACTCAAGGTCAAGGAACCAAAAAACTTGTGAAGTAAAGAATTAGAGGTAGATATCTTTACTGGATTTTTTGTTATTTTACCCAGATTACATTTTGCTACTACTGGTTTGACTCATAATATCATCATTTGCTTTTTTGTGACACATTTCATGATGACAAATAATCACGTCCAACTGTCCAAGACAGCTCTCTGACAAAATTGGCAACAATTTTAGCGATTACAATTGTTTTGCTATTTTTGGGCAGACAGTTCGTGTTGATTGTTGTTACTTTTTTCTTGAAATATTTGCAAAAGATTATTTTTCCAACAATTCTACATGTGTTGATTGTCTAGACAATGATTAATCGAACGCTTGACAACTGATCACAAAATATTTAATTGTATTTCATGCTTCAAAAGTATACGCTAATCCCAAAGTACTGCACTGTATAATACAATCATCATTACCCAAAAACCGTAATAATACAGGCCCAAAGAATGACGCAAACAATGAGGTGAAAACTAAAAAACTAAAGAAAGAATTAACTATAATGATTTGAGTTTTATCCATAACAAGGCTGGCTAGACCGCTGCACAAGAAAATAGGACGTTTCATTGCATATTGAACTCTGATGAAAAATTACATTTAATAAAACTTTAACCTTTGTTAAACTTATTGAGAACTGCACCGCGTTCTTCCTCCAATTCTTCTTTCATATAATGGTCGATTAACTTGTCGGCCATAATATTTTCTAAACTGAATCAGCGAACGGACTGGACAGTGGACCGGGATGGCCGAACTGGACCCAGTGAATGAACCATCTGGAGGGTGGGGGCGAAGGGAAAGTGTGGAGAATATTTTTGACATGTAATCCATGATGTAATCTAAACATTTCTGCTGTAATATAAAATTATGAAGTGGTTCATTGGTTGTGACAAATCCGATTGCGATTTTTTTTTGTGTTGACACGCAAAGCATTGGCTATTTTTGAAATGAGTTAAACTTGAGAAACGTATTCATATCTCGTATTTCTTGATTTAGGAACTACGCAGTGTGCAGTACATGGTGCAGTACCATTGAATTTAAAAAACATGGAACGCTTCCTGTAACAGGACGTCAGAATCGGGGGCTTAGGGTGAGGCTGAAACCCCCTCTCCACTTTGCAATGTGAAAAGAAGAAAGATATTTAGACTGAGTTAAAATTTTTGTTTAGAACTGTTCTGTAAGACATTATGGTAGAAATGAATACTTAGCCCCCACAATTCATATGTTGCTCCGCCGTCCATGTGTAGGAACCAAATGTTATACCCAGTCACGTGAGATTACAAGCGTGTGTAGTTCAATCAGTTTTCCATTCGCGAGAGAATCTCGAAACACTACACACGCGTGTCTGGGTGTAACCTTGCGTGTGGGTGTAAGATTTGGTTTCAATTATTTGCTTCTTCAGATAGCGTTCATGTATTTTAGTTCAATGTACAGTACCACTCGCACTGGCCATTTTCGAAATAACTTTTACAACAGTTCCCAGAGCTCTGGATCCCTTAAGTCTTAGAGAACTCAATGGACAGGTAACATGATCGTAGTTGTTCATGTAAATGCCTATAGTAATAACATGAGTATTACTTTATAACAGTGATTTACAGGACAGAGCAACTTCCCTTTCCCTATCTTTGTTAATTTATAATCACGTTGAAAATGAAATCGTTTGAATCATAAAGCTGAGCCATTTTTGTGGTAATACGGATTAACATTGCAATCTGACGTACCCAATAGACTTACCGCTGACACCAATCAGTTGAATAGCACAGTTAGAGGCGCGTGGGAGTGACTGGCAGCGCTATTTAATTAAACTGTGGAATTTATAGCCATTTATTCGCTCAGCTACCAAAGGATATATGACCATGGCAACACCGCTGGAGTTTGCAGCAGTCATTCGAGGTTCTTATTGCGTGTGATTCTTGTCGCAGCTAGAAATATGATGTCAATTAAGACATCTATTTCATCTATGTTGTTGTATTCAATGGCACAACGTGTTTCCTTCATGCACAGTAAATTCTTATTTGCCAGAACTATCTTCTTTGTTCCCGTGTCATCGGGGTCGATAACACAACTTAGTCACAAATAATGGAGTGGTTTCATGATTCTCATTCCAATCGTTAAAATGGTTGCTTTGAAACTTGAAAGTGTGCACGCAAGCATATTTTACAAAATTCTTCATACACAAGACAGCGTCTTCAGTATTGACGTTTCAACGAGTAATTTTGAAAAACATCTAATTATTTAGAATAAATAATATTTTTGTTGTTCCAATCTCTTTTGCTATCATGTGACGATACAGTTAAAAACATTAATGCATATGATTTCAAATTTTGTTTCACAATGTTGATATTCACAATGTAGAATATATAATGAGTGATTCTATATTGAATGAGCACAGGTTTTGTTATTTTAATGACATGCAAACAATTTTGCCACGTATAGATGTGCATTTTCAGGATTCTGTTCTTATTGATTTTCGAAGTCAAACTTCGCCATAAAATTCAGGTAACATTTCTTAACATGTTGTAACGTTTTAAGATATTTCGTTATTTTCTATTTATATGAGCATTCAATGCAAACCTGTTGAATTATAATTCCTATTGCTACAATAACTGTATAATTTTAAAGCAAATACAACCACAGCTTTACTAGATTTTTTAATCATTTATAATTTTTAAGCTTCATTAACAGAAAAAGTATTGTCGAAGCTGAGAAAGTTTTACAAGTTCTATATGCATTTTTGTGCATGTTTAAAAATAAAGTTCGAGTTGATATTTTTGGGAGAACAGTATAAAAAGTGTTGCAGAGGGGTAGCCACCGGTTGTGCTAAAATTTTCGATATAAATCCACACCAGCAATATTTGTATTTTGTACATGATCTTATCCGAAGCTTTCATATGTATAATATCTTGACTGACTTTTGTTATGACGCTTCTTAAGGAACATCGTAAAATGTTGTGAAGAGTAAGATTATTCGTATGTTAAGTTCCACTTCAATAGATTACAATATACAATATCATAAAATTTTGGGTGTGAAACGTGTTGTTATATATAGTTCATATTTTTAAACAACATCTTAATAAGACTTTATCTCCCGACCAACCTTTGCTGGTTGCAAATAATTTATGTTTTTAAAACATTGTGAAAGATAAAACATTGTTTTATCTTTCAACGTAGACGGACGCTTCACGCGACACTCATGAAATAATTGTGCAAAATTTGTCGTATAACGTCCCTCAGACCTGTGACACTGGAATTCCCGTATTCCTAGAACACGAGTTTTTTGAGCATTCAAACAATCAGCGTCCGTATTTTCATAAGACTATTTCCTAATATCAAATTTTATATGATAAATGCATGAAATATTGAGTTGCTTTAGAGTATAGAAGGCTTTAGAAGGCCAAATTTTCATCTTGCCTTAGCGTTAGCGTATAACTCATAGCCTTTGCCTAGATATAAGTGCTTTAGTCTATTATAATTTAAATACTTTTAGAATTTCGTTGCTGGATAGTAGATACTTTGGAATTTTTGCCATTTAATCGAGTCGGCATTTACGAAGAATTTTAGGTTAGGTAATGTACATTTGCTTATTTTAGTAAAATAGATAAACATTTTGTGAAAACATTCTTAAAATGAGCTTCATTCTTTAATTATATTTTAGCTATTCTGAATAATTTGAACTTTAACCACGACGTCCACGGGAAGGTACGCCGCTGTAAAGGTATTACTTACACACACACGATATCAAAATATGAGTAGCACATTTTTCTTGTGAAAGACTGCGTTTTTGTTGTATGTATACATAATATTTAAATATTTAACGTAACTTTTGCAACATCTCACTTTATATGTTCATACTGCAGAAATTTGTGAAACGCGGAATTATTTCATAATATTTTTTCAAGTAGAATTGACAATATATGGAGTCTATTGTTGTGTGCTAAATGCTTACGTCTACTAACTGGTTCCTATTTCTATATTTTGTTGCATTTCGTGCCAAGAATTTTCATGTTTCATCGCATTAAATTAAACGCTCTGTTTGACTACAGAAATCCCTTAATAACTTGTTTTCTTATTGTATAATTTTGAATTTCTAATATTGCACGAATTGAGTTCTCTCCGAATCGAACAACCTGATAAATTTCAATTTGATGAAATTGCTGCATCATATGTATCAAATTTGCAGTAATATTTTGCTTTAATTTCTGAAAATGAAGGCATAAAATATGTTTAATAAAGAGTGAGTGACGGGTCAGGTCAACAAATTTCGTCAATTGCAGTCGTAAAAAAAAACATTTTAGATTCTGTTTAAATTGAAAAAATATGCCAAATCTTGACTGTAGAAAATCAAAGACACACCTTAATTATCATAATGATAATTGATATGCTTAGAATGTTTATTTTGTAAATACATTAAATCCGCGGTGCAGAACAACAACGTTCAACACGGATATTTAAACGAGTTGTATTGGATTAAGTTTTGATAAAGAAATGGACAGTACCAACTCTTCTCAATTAAAGCCCATACCATCGTCCAAAGAAGAAATAATGGCAGAATTAGATGAGATCAAAATGAGTGGTGAAAATGCAGAAATAATTCCCAGGGCGTCACTTCTTTATTTTATAACTTCAAGCATGAAAATCCAACGCCATTCTAAATCTGCAATGATATTGCTTGGTGGAAGTACTGGATCTGGTAGATTCATCAACAATGAGTCATTTACTGGACACTGGAGATAAAAATAGTGTAATTGAGACAAGTAATTATGAATTATCTACGAAAAAAACATCTGAGTATATCATTACTCTTGACGAACCGAAGTATGAAGTTAGTGATTTAATTTTGAGTGTTGTTGATACACCTGGCCTCAACGATGGCGATGGCGTTAAACAAGATGTGTGCAATTTTGTATCTGTGAAAAAATACTTGAAACACATGCCGAATTTTCTTCGAAAACAAAGATTTATCCAAATCTTGTGTTCATAGTTGACAGAGCCAGTAATAATAGAATAAAAGGAGTCGATATCCTACTTTCACGATCCTTGAGAGGTATCAAGATGTTAGATGTTGTTGACATCAGTCATCCAAATCTTGTTGTGATTTTAACACATGCTTGTTCTGTTGGCCACGCAAATCCGAAAAAATGGCAAGAAAGTATGCAAAAAAAGAAAGAACTTGTGTCCGACATTGTTTTTGAAACTTTAGGTGTCAGTGCGCCAATTGTATTGATAGAAAATAATCCTTATAATGATTACGAACTTGAAAAGGATGGAGATTTCACAATTGTTCCCAATGGTGAAAGACAACCTTTGAATTTATACAAAGCTTGCCTTAGCTTACTCACAAAAAGCAAAGATGGAAACGATATCACAGATAAGTTTGGGCATATGGTGTTCAATGCTGCATTTACACGAAAGAAAAATGAAAAACCATTAAAAGGTCATGAAGTTAAAGCCAAAGTTGCAAATAAAGAGGAGTTATCAGATGAGGAATGGAAACTCGTAAAAGATTTTACTGAAGCTGCTGCAGGAGGTAGGATTTGTAGTTTTTTTTCATTTTTATTTCTAGCTATTAATCTTTTTTAATAAAATATTATTACATCAGTGAAAGTTTGACTGCATTATATATAATCCTGATATCGGATCACGCATTTTTTCTATAAACGTTATTTCCCACATTTACAAATATGTTCTGGAAGCCAGATTTTTCTGTAGAGTACTAAATTAAAAAAAAATACATCAATCTTCAAAATTTCTGATCAAGAATACGTTTCATTAAAATATGAATCTTCTTTTTAACACATTCTTGTATTTAGAACTGTTGTTTTTTAGAAGTCAACTCTTGAAATAAGAAAAAACTTTTATAGCAAGAGCAAATAACTTTTTCCATGTTTCATTAACATTAGAAGCTAGTATAGGTAATAAAATGCGTTGAAATTTTTTTCGATTGTGATTAGTTGACTGAATTGCAGCTCAATGTGAAAATGTGTAATTGCACAGCAGAAAAGCTGGAATTGCAATGTAAATACTATAACTTGCTTGGCTGAAGAACAGTGAAAGCCAAAAATTTTTATTTAAATTAAAAAAAGAAACATGAAAGCAGTTGTAAATAAAAGAACAAACAAGATTTTCACGATTGCATACGTTTTATTTTCAAGAATTACAAAAGAATACAAAACAGCAAGTAGCTACTGCTTTTTTACAAGTATTACCACACTGCAATTACACATTTTCACAGTGCAATTATAGATAAACTGCACTGTATTCAAACAATTACTGCTGAGAAGCACATTGTTCTAATTGCAAGTTTTTCTTCAAAGATTTAACCAACTCACTTGCCGAGCGTGCAAAGCAGTATATTTCCGAGAACAACATCCAGGACGAGTCTGTAAAAAAAGAACTTTTTGGGCTGTTGGAAACTATGAATGCGATGGGATTGTCGGATGATTCAAGATTGAAGAGCACAACAGTCATTCAAATCAACAATTGTCATGACGACATTATCACCGAACACGGCCTTCAAATGTTGGAAAAGAAATTTAACTTAAAATGTGCTGAGTCGCTTTATTTGGGTATTTGAAATTTTTTTATCTTATGGCGAACATAAAAAGCATAATAATAGTCAATTCATAAATAATTGTGGCCAATCCACAGTGGCCTAATTGCGTGTTTTAGTGTCAATTGAAGGGGACACCGAGAATTAAGGGCCTCAAACAAGAAACACCATATAAATTTATTAAATAAACAAAGCACATTTATAGGACATCAACAACTACAACTTTGCAATTTTAGTATATTGTCAATGAAAGAGAAACATACATTTGTTGAGGAATCTTTACAATACTCTAAACAAGCTAAAATGCAGGGTATATTCGTGCACGAAAAAATATCGCGTTAGCTTTGATTCTTACTTCATCGTATATGATGAATAAGCGTAGTTTCTGAAAACTTGATGTTTCTTTATTGTAGCTGAATTTATTGATCAGGGATACGACCTTGTCACAGACGACTTTGTTTCAGCTCGGGTTTTAAAATTATCTCTCGTTGATAATAAACAATTTGGCATGAGAATTCCTGAATGTGCACAAATATTGAAGACAAATGAAACTGTAGACAGCGAAATACATTTACAACGGAATGAAAGTTCCATTAAATCGCGCCTTTCAGCCTTGGGGCTAAATGTGAACATGGCACCAAGTATATTAACGATGGCTCAAGAATTTGATGTAAATTACAGCATGAAGCGTCAGGAAAATGACTCAAGATCTTCAACCAATACAAAGATATTAAAAGAAGTAAGAATAGCAAAGATAAATGTTGATGAATTTGATTTGGAAAATATTGTTTTTGCCGAGGACTTTCAGTCTGCTGTGGAAAAGCTTCCAAGTGAAAATATCGAACACGAGAAAGTGATGAAGGAGTTCATAAATTTTTTCAACAGATTTGGTCATTTTGTCGTCACGTCTGCATATGTTGGGGGATTAGTTGAATGTGATAATTATAATGACATCATAGAATTGTCAAACCAAGATGAAAATAATTTTGCCGGTAGTACTGGTGCATATATTAAGAGAATTTTTGCTAAACGACAAACATTAGTGTATACAGAAAGCAACGAAGTCTTAAATATTACATACACTAAATGGAGAGGTGGGCGTGTAGACTTGAAAGTTAAAGAAAAATTCCACGAATGGAAAAAATCTGTTGCTAATGATCCAGTGTTTTTAAAACATAAATTAACATTGCAGCACATTCATAATTTAGTTGGAATGATTGATAAAAATAAAGGAAATCTTAAAAACAAGTTTTCGAAAAAATATTTCAGATTAATACTTCAAGTCTTTACAGTGATGATTCTTCAAAAGCAAATTCGCGAATGGAGAGAAAGAAACTGTAGCAAGAAAACACAAGGGAAGCTCAACGTGAAGAACCGAGTTCTGGAAGATTGAGAAAAATGCTCAAGCGAATCAATTCCTTTTTATCAATAATTTTTGATACTATTCAAAATGCATTGGCTGGATTGAAAAATTAAGTCAACCTTCAAACATCACTATTGCACTTTCACCGTTTAATCTATTTTGTCTATACGCGTATAGTATATACCATTATAAACTACCTGTATCTAAATATTTAATTCATTCTGCAAAAAAAGCAATGAAGGTAAAAAAGTATGCCGAAATATGTATGCAATAAAAATGTTTAGAAAAATTTTCGTTGATCTTGATTGTCTAATATAACTTTAAACATCAACATAATTTTCGAAACTTTATTATAAGTAAACGTATGCTTTTATGGATATCAGTGATTAAATGTCCCACAAACCGAGGGCATTTAATAAACCTTTCTCCTTTTGCAGGACGTTTAATTACTAATATCCCTTAATTAAAGCATGCGTTTACTTATAAGAAGCCATCCAAAACTCAAGGTCAAGGGACCAAAAAACTTGTGAAGTAAAGGGTTAAAGGTAGATACCTTAACTAGATTTTTTGTTATTTTACCCGGATTACATTTTGCTACTACTGGTTTGACTCAGAATATCATCATTTGCTTTTTTGTGAAACACCTCATAATGACAAATAATCACGTCCAACTGTCTTAGACAGTTCTCTAACAAACTTGGCAACAACTTTAGCGATAAAAATTGTATTGCTATTTTCGGGAAGACAGTTCGTGTTGATTGTTGTTACTTTTTTCTTGAAATATTTGCAAAAGATTTTTTTC